TACACAAAGGATTTGTGATTATAAATGAATGCGTGCTTTATAGAAAATTTAGGAGAAAAGCCCAAAGCATAAATGAACTGTGTTGCCCTGCCACCTAGAGGCAGTTACTCGATGATGTTGTACATGTCTTCCCTTCTGGCATTTTTTTTTTTAACTTCCCCTCTGTGTGGCAGACATTTTCTCATTACTAGTAGTAGGTAAAATCCTGTGTACGTGCATATAGAGGGGTGCCTAATCAAAATTGAAGAAATTAGGGAGAGGATTGCCCTAATTCTGGATAGTGTTTGTACAAAATCCGCATAAAGTGCTCATTATGTGAAGGTGAACTAACGAGAGGCTACTTGCTCCTTAATCCCCAGTATTCTTCAGGCCCATTTCAGCTATTCCCTATTTACCAGATTAACTTGCTTCCACTTAAGAACGCATATTACCGTCTTCATTCCCCTCCTTAACCCTCTACTTTTCAGTGACCCCATAGTTCTGCTTCCCTCTCACAGCCAAGTTTATCAAAAGCATCTCCTACATCTGCTGTCTGTGTAGCTTCACTTCCAGTTGATTTCCTGCCTCAGTGCAGCAAGGCTTCCTTTCCACTGCCCAACTGAAACTGTTGCTTGCCAAGTCCAATTCTACGGGACATTTTTCTGTGGACAGATCTCATTTTGATGTTTGATGCAGTTGATCACTGCTGCCTCTTTTTTGTTTGTTAAGATTTATTTGAAAGAAAGGAGGGAGTGGGAGAGATCTTCCATCTGCTGGTTCACTACCAGAATGCCCAGGGCTGGGGATGGCTTAAGCCGGGAACTTCATCTGGGTTTCTCATGTGGGTTCAGAGTCCCAAGGACTTGGGGAATCTTCTGCTGCCTTTGCAGGCACATTGGCAGAGTGCTGGATTGGAAGCTGAGCAGCCCAGACTCAAAGTACTACCCAAACAGGATGCTGGCATTGCAGGCACCAGCTTAACCCACTACACTGCAGTGCCACCCATTTCCTGTCTCCTATGATACCATAATTAACTAGTTTTGCCCTTATTTCACCAGCTTCACCATTGCTGCATATGTTCTATTGAAAAGTCTGAGGAGCAGTTTTACTTTACTTTTTCCTGTGTTTTGTTTTAAAATAAAAGTTTTGGTATGGACCTCCTTCCTTCCTTCTCTGTAAGCAGCCATATCCAGGCAGGGCTTCAAGTCTGTGCACTGACAGTCACCTATTTCACACTCAATGTAAACGTGTGTTTTCGGAACTCCACTCAACAAACGTGTATTACTTGCCTGGAAGATACTGTGCTAGATGCTGAGAGCTTAGTGTTATAAATCAAACCCAAATTACAATTAATTGTTATGAGAGAAACAACCGGACTACAGTAATGGAGAAAATTACTATAATGGGGCAAGCTTTAGGTGAGTTGCTATTAGGTCTCAGTTTTAGTGTCAGTTTCTCAAGTGGACTGGCTGTGGGAAGAGTGGGCAGGAAAAAAGTTCCTGTGGGCATAGCACCTTAAAAGGACTGAGAGTGTCCCCCCAGAATAAATGCAAAAGTGTAATGTAGTTGTGCAGAGGGAAGAGATGGGAATGTTTCAGGAGTCAAATCAGTCTTGGGTTGTAATTAGCTTGGGTGTAATTCTAGGGAAACAGCTGAAAGGTTTTAATCAGGACAGTAGCATGATCTGATTTATGTTTTAAAGGGACTACTTCTGTTCTCTGGGGAATGGACTAGGTGGACGTGGAGAGATAGGTTGTCCCTGTTTCACAGTTGAGGCACATATTTTGTCCATGGCCACACATAGAGTTAAGGATTTCTATGCCAGGTCTTGGTTCTCTGTGTCTGTATTCTGCTCTGGTGGTTCTCCAGCTTTAATAGACTCTTACTAAAATTTTGATTCTGATTTCCTCTGGTATGGGAGGGAACTTAAGTAGAAAAATTTTTGTGCAATTTTGAGTCTCAGGTGATGTCAGTGAGGCCTGGCTACCACTACACACAGCTGTGGCTGCGACAGACGGGAACTACAGGAGTCCCCCTCAGCCAGTTCAGAATGAAAAGGCATTGTCACAGTTTCATGTGCTGGGGCAACTACAGAATGAGTCACCCTTCCAGAATGATTTCCCTCAATATATTTCAGTTGTACACACTTGCTCGTGATGCGACTGGAAAGGTGGATGGAGGGTGTAAAAATTTAAAAGGTGAATTAAGTAAAAATTTAAGTAATAGTAACATGAAAAATGACGATGCACAATAATTCATCCATTTCTTTCAAGTTGATCATCTTTGAGTTTGGGAAGGCCTGTATTTCGTATTGTGACTGGCCTTGCTCAGAACTCTAGCCGCTCCCCTACCCCCATGCCATTTCCAGAGATTTTTTTTCAAACGTGTGTGTGTGCGTGCGTGCGCGCGCGCGTGATTTTTTTTTTTTTTTTTTGACTTCCAAGAGTAAGTGGAATGCTCAGGGTACTATTTTCCTTTATCACTGAGATTTACGATACCTCGGCTTTTCACCTTGTTCCCCAGCTTCCTCTCTTGGAATACTTTTGATCAGCAGGATCTGAAAATGGAGGAAAAATCTGTCATAAATTCATACTCTGATCGCAGGCATTTATTATAGTAATAAAGCTGATAGAGTGAATAGCATGTTATTAAAGTGTGGACTTGGGAGTCGGACCAGGATTTAGATCTTGATGCCAACATCTACCAACCAGGCAAGGTCCTTCCTGCTCCCCCTTTCTCTGAATCCTTAATTTTCCCTGTAAATAGGCATAAAACTTGATGAGAGTGGTGAGGGTTGTATGAAGGTACTTCAAAGGGTTCATGAAAAATGGGATTAAAGGCTGAGAGCTTACTTTGTGTAAAAAACATTTTGAAGTCTGGAGTATGAAACATTGTATGAAGGCCTCTTGCGGCACATTTCAAACTGTGTTCTTTGGGATGCTTCAATTGCTGCATTTTCAGTAGATGCCATTTAAAAAAAATGGCTCTGAGCCTTAATGAGCTTCCTTTACCCTAGCTTTCTCGGAGCTACCAGTAATGTCAGCTCCAGGACCGTCCCAGAAGAAGGGAAATTGTGTTTAGCATTTCCCAAATTATTGATCCTTGTCTTCCTGCACAGAAGGTGGCTATAATACTCTTTGGGACACATCAGCCTCAGTGTTGTCCGGTTGGCAGGAGACTCCTGTGCACTGCCAGATTAGAAGTATGATAACTAGGAATAAAGCGTCTGGAATTTGCTTATTTTTAAAATTTTATTAGGTAGCTGGAACAAGTTCCCATCCACTGGTCCATTACCTAGATGACTGCAGTGGTTAGGGCTGAACCTGTCTGAAACTGGAAACTGAGGATGCAATCCCGGCCTCCTGGGTATCAATGACCTAGTTATTTGAGCCCTGGCTGTTGCCTCCCCTTGGTGCATGGTAGCAGGTGGCTGGAGTCAAAAGCTGGAGCTGAGCATTGAATTCAGGTGCTGCCATTGTGGGGCACGGAGATGTCTGACCACCATCCCTGAATTTTCTTACTCTTGATTCGTAGGTGGTGTTAACCTTTATTTAAAATCTTAAATACTGTCAGTGCAGTTACAGAAGCCAGGTTAGCATTATAGTAGGCGGGGGGGGGGGGGGGGGGGGGGGAATTTGTGTATGTTTGTTCATTTGAAATGTTTTGGCTTGGTTCCTAAATGCTCACACCCGGGATTTAGGAGTCTGGAACCACTGATGCAGATAACCTGAGATGATTTAGTATTTTGTTGGCAGCACAAGCACTCCCAACTGAATGCTTCCGTGGGAGGTCCTTGCTGTAGTGCCAAGCTTCCTAGCTTCTGGTGCCTTCCAATTTTCTGAATGTAGATCTCTAGGTGTCTGTCAGTTCCTTGAACCATCTACCATCCTTCCAGTAAATTACTTTCCTGCATTATTTTGCCAGCGTCTTTCTGTTGTTGTAGACATCTAAGTCAAAATGGCTTTGGTTGGTTAAAGCTTTAGTAGTATCTTCTATATAGAAGATATAATAATATATTGTATGTTTAACAATATATATTGTTTCACATTGGGTTTGTCCTCACTGTTTTGATTATTGTGGTTTGGATATTTATAACGACGTGTATTCACCATATCGTGAGGCGTGGACTCACTATCCTAAAAATCCTCAGGACTCTTGCCTGCTGGATGCTCCTCTGGCACTAATCCCGGGAGCCACGGAGCTTTGCGTTCTGGAGAACGATGGAGACATGTAACTTGAGGGCAGTTCAAAATGTTTGTGGTAGCCACAAATATAAATAATTGTGGTGCCCTAAATTCCATATATACAAGTAGTCATATGAACATTCATGGTCATGGGTGCTATTTTCAAAGCTGTGCCTGAGTTTCAAAAATATTTTTGCACCAAAAGGTAATCTTTGCTAAGGTTATTTATTACTGTCTTCAGGCGGGGTTAGGTGAGTATTAGATTCTGTGTGATTTTTTTTTCTATATTTGTAGAGGTCCTATGTCATATGAACAGGCAAAAGAAATTCTCTGATTTGTGTGCCTATTTCAATTTCCTGTCATGTTTGTAGGGGTTAGAAATTTTAGCACAATGCTGAACAAAAGTGGTAACAGGACACAATGCCTTGTTCCCAATTCCAAAAGGAAGTAGTTGCTTGAGGTGCATGGACTAACTGGTGTGACATGTTGTAGAAGCAGTTTTAGTGCTCCCAGCTAATGAATGCAGCCGCAACAATATGACAGCTAATTGCTCTGTAGATGTGATGGATATAAACATTGTTGTGTGTAAAGGACAAACATGGAAGCCTGAGAATAAGTGTACAAATAGTTCAGTCTAGGATCACTACCAGATTCCTGTTGGCCTCATTTTAATATTTTCAGATTGTTCGCAGTAGGCACTTGTTATTGGAGTTGCTGAGGTAATTTTAAGCATTTGACACTGTAGATTTAACTTTGTGTGTTGTGTGTGTCCTAGCTTGTCAAGCTCTCAGATGCAGCTTTTAAGTTCTCACCACTTTTGGGATTTTTCTTTTTCAGATCATAAAGATATTTGAAATCATGAAAGTAGACAGAACTAAACTGAAAAAGACCCCTACCGAGGCCGTAAGTATCCCCAAAAGCTTGCTTTGCCTGTCTTAATTTCAGAGCAAAATCTTTGTGAGCAGTTCACCCATACTTTTCCAAATAAGTCGGCGCTCATGCAGAGTACAGTAAAACAACAAATTGGAAACCGTTGGAGCTCCCCTTTTGGAGCTCAGATGGCCAAGTGACCAATGGAAAATGAACACTGGGCAGCTTCCCCCCTCCCCCACACACACACGATTTATTAATTTTTATTGGAGAGGCAGATGCACAAAGAGAATCCCAGGTGGGATTCTGGCTCTTGAGGAGGGTTTAGCTGATCCAGCCATTGTTCCGGGCCCTTGGGCAGTTCTTCGCTTTGTAACTATGCATGACTAAAGTAGGCTTCTAGGCGGCTAGTCCTATGCACTGAAAGGAAGCTGCATGCTATAATGGAACAAGTAAGTGTGGTTTAAAATTTTGAGCAGCTGTGAGAACCATCAAAGTCTTGGTCACTTTTGAAACTTCTTTAAATTTGTTTTTTTCTAACTTGGAAGGTGAAGACAAAATATCGAGATCTATTTTCTAGTTCACTATCCAAATGCCTGCAACATCCAGGACTGTATCAGGACAAAGCCAGGGACCCAGAACTCTGGTCGCACACGTGGGTGGCAGAGACCCAGGTACTTGAGGCATCACCTGCAGCCTCTCGCTGTGCATTAGCAGGGAGCTGTATTGAAAGGCAACACTGCACCCTAATCCAGGTACTCTGATGTACGCAGGTCAAGTGGAATCTGAGCTGCTGTGCCACATACCTGCTCCCACACTTTTTTTGGAAGATAAAAGTGGTAGCATCTTTCTTTGTTAAAAACAGATTTATTTATTTTACTTGAAAGATCTACAGAGAATGAGAGATAGGGGGAAATCTGTCATCTGCTGCTTCACTCTAAATGAGAGCAATGTCCAGAACTGAGCCAGTCCAAAGCCAGGAGCGAGGAGCTTCTAGGTTTCCCATGGGGGTGCAGGGCTCCAATACCCTGGGCCACCTTCTGTTGTTTTCCTAGGGCATCAGCAGGAACCTGGATTAGACGTGTAGCAGTTAGTCTAGTAGAATTTACATTACCCATAAGGGATGAGGTTGGTGCTACAGGCTAAGGATTGGTCTTCTGTGCCACAACACCAGCCCAATAACAACTTAATGGTTTCTTCTGAGGCCTGTGTTTTACCTTTTTCCCCTCCCCTTCCCTTATTGTTACTGATTCTTAATCATACAATTCAGTATAACCTGTGATTTGTGAGGCTGTGTCAGCTGATGTTGTATCAACAGTAGAAATTCAGCTTCTGTCTAGTATTCATTCCATCAACTAGTCTGAACCTGCACTCGGAAATTAAGGCGGCATTTCTGTGGCCCCTTGTGCTGTAGCTCAGAGTGCGCAATCCTTGGAATTAGACCTGCGCTTGCCTCTTTGTATATTTTTGTCTCTGAGGATTTATTGGCTTGCCTGATGTCCACAGGTACAAAATTGGGTTGATAGTTCCTACATCCTTAATGTGAGGCAATTACTCAGAACGATATTTCATATGCAATAAATTAGTTGACTTACTAAATATCAGCCATTTGGATTTTCCCCAACTTTTATAAGCTTACTAGAGGGAGAAATAAGCTTCACTTTTCTAACTTACTTCCATTCATTCCATGTGTTTTTCAAGTTTCTTTGTATCAGTATTAAAGCTTTTCATTTCTATTGGACATTGTCATGTGACTTTCTTACTGAAAGCTATGTTTATGTTGAGTATTATCTGTTGCAGTTACTTTTCTTTCATTTTGCTTCTGGCTAATAAGAAATGCTCATTTAGGGCCTGGTGCGGTAGTCTAGCAGCTAAAGTCCTCACCTTGAACGTGCCAGGATCCCATATGGCACTGTTTGCATCCCAGTGGCTCTGCTTCCCATCCAACTTCCTGCTTGTGGCCTAGAAAAGCAGTAGAAGATGGCGCAAAGCCTTGGGACCTGCACCTGCGTGGGAGATCCACAAAAGCTCCTGGCTCCTGGCTTTCAGTTCCCTCAGCTCTGGCTGTTGCGGCCACTTGGGGAGTGAACCTTCGGATGGAAGATCTTCCTCTCTGTCTCTTCTCCTATCTGTATGTCTTCCTTGCCAATAAATAAATCTTTAAAAATGCTCATTTATTAGGCAGACACAATTATTAATTCGCACTCCAGATACCTGCATTAGACTGGAGCACAGCCAAGAGCTCAATACAGTTCTCCCAGGTGGGTGTAGAAATCCTGCGATAACTTGGGAGTAATATATTAAGTGACTTATCCTAACATAAGTTAAGTTACTGTTTTAGTTCAAGTGCTAACTTTCCCCTTTCCTTGCTCTCTATGTCTCATATTCAAAACCGTTTTTTGTGCATGTTTGTTTTTCTTAGCCTGCTGACTGCAGAGCCTTAATAGATAAACTCAAAGTTTGCAATGATGACCAACTCCTCCTGGAATTACAGCAGATCAAAACATGGAACATTGGGAAGGTATGTGAATGCATGCTCCTGAAAGGCAGGCCTCGCTGTGCCAATATAGCCTTCCTTACTTTTTGAAGTGACAGTAGCAACACATTAGAGTCACCTTAGCAATTCCTTAACAAGCATCTGGCATATGCCTAACATAGCTCTGGACCAGGGGCTTTGAGGCAGAGTGGCCGCAAAGAAAAAATCTGAAATGAGAATTTTTATAGTTGAGGACGAGGACTTCTTACTCAGGTAATGATAATAAAGAATCTCAACCACAAAATTGTTTGAATGAGTTTGTGCATTTGATAGAGTTTACAGAGTTGATTTTAGCTTACAAGGATTTTAGATAACTAAAAATGATCCCTTCTGATGAAATGGCTGTTAGTCTGTAGATCTCAGCAAGCAGCCAAAATTTTCCCTCGTAACAGTTTTTGATCATCTTTAAGGTTTTGTGGTGTCTACAGCTGTTGACATATTACTTTGATGGATAAAAATGAGCTCTCATCCTTTTTCCGTTCAGAATGTGTTCTTGCTCAAGGGCACAAAGTAGAATGTGAACTCATTAATTAAAGTGTCATGTAAGGAGGCTCAACTGCTGAGTACACTCACAGTATTTTGCCGTGATCTTGTCTCCTCTTCCTCTCTCCAGTGTGAGTTATATCACTGGGTGGACCTGTTGGACCGCTTCGATGGAATCCTGGCAGATGCTGGACAGACAGTGGAGAACATGTCATGGATGCTCGTCTGCGACAGACCGGAAAGAGAGCAGCTAAAAATGCTTCTTCTGGCTGTGCTGAACTTCACAGCCTTGCTCATTGAATACAGCTTTTCTCGGCATCTGTACAGTTCTATAGAGGTAGGTGAGAGAGCAGCCCTACGTGGGCTGTACACCTCTTCGTATGTTTGCCTTTTTTCCCTTTTCATTATGGAGCTATTGGCTTTTCTGTATCGATAACAATGGCAGGTTATTTCTCAGGTTTTAGATTTCATGCTTTGTAAGCTTGATGCACAGGTTCTGTATTGCCACCTTAGCCTACATTTCAAGATTAAAGAAATTGGGCCTGGCGGCATGGCCTAGTGGCTAAAGTCCTCGCCTTGAACACCCCGGGATCCCATATGGGTGCTGGTTCTAATCCCGGCAGCTCCACTTCCCATCCAGCTCCCTGCTTGTGGCCTGGGAAAGCAGTCGAGGATGGACAAAGGCCTTGGGACCCTGCACCCATGTGGGAGGCCTGGAAGAAGTTCCTGGTTCCCGGCTTCGGATCGGCATAGCATCGGCCGTTGCGCTCACTTGGGGAGTGAATCATCGGACGGAAGATCTTCCTCTCTACCTCTCCTCCTCTCTATATCTGCCTTTCCAATAAAAATAAATAAATCTTTTTTTAAAAAAAGATTAAAGAAATCAAGGAGAAATGCAATGCATGTTTATAAGTCGCCTAGGAAATTAAATGGAGTTGATCTTCATCCCAGGTTGTTCAGAGGAGTTTCAGATTATTTTTTTAAAGATTTATTTTATTGTTATTGGAAAGGCAGATATACAGAGAGGAGAGACAGAGAGGAAGATCTTCCGTCCGATGATTCACTCCCCAAGTGAGTGCAATGGCCGATGCTATGCCGATCCAAAGCCAGGAGCCTCTTCCAGGTCTCCCACACGGGTGCAGGGTCCCAAAGCTTTGGGCCGTCCTTGACTGCTTTCCCAGGCCACAGGCAGGGAGCTGGATGGGAAGCGGGGCTGCCTGGATTAGAACCAGCACCCATATGGGATCCCGGGGTGTAAGGCGAGGACCTTAACCACTGTGCCACCGCGCTGGGCCCCAGGTTATTTTTAACCTATTAGGAAAACATTGGATTCCTTCACATTTTAACACACTTACCACTGTCCTAATTTTAATATGCGGCTTTTCATTCTCTTACACCCTTCCCCAGAATACACACTTGATGTCAGTGGGGTATTGATTCCAATGCCTGAATCTACCATGCACACATTCCTGAAAAATCAGTCTATGTATGAATATCCTCCCGTTATTTATGATACCTAATGTAATATAAATGCTGTGTAGATACTGTTGCTTAATGTGTAAATATTTACATGAGGATTAAGAAAAGATAAAATTCTGTGTATTAAGTACAGTCACACTTTTTCAGTAAAATGTTTTTAATTGAGAATTCATTGGGTCCACTAACGTGGAACATTAAACTAGGGAGGATCGGATGTATTTGTAGCAAGTCTCGAAAATGAATAGAAACAGTATAGGCCTCTCGCGTTGCTTAGGGGTGTATCCTGTCTGGTGCAGTCATACTTTCCTTTTGAGTAGTATTTGCACACAGCTGTCTCAGTATTCGAACTTCTCAGTGAAGGCCCCAGTGCTTTACTCAGTTCTTATGAAGTATGCACAAGAGACACAGAATTGGGGTCTCCAGTAGCACTTTGGTCCACTTGGAGCCTTAGTGTGTCATATTTTTCTCTTCTGTAACGTCTTTCATTTGTGCGATTTCGTGCTTATTGGCTAGCTGCAGTATCAGTAAGCTCTTTTTGGACAAGGTTACATGTTACAGGTTTTCATGTTAAAGGTTTTGTTTTGTTTTGTTTTTGTGACTGCTGAATGTTTTTGTCAGTGTTGCCAAATACATTGTTACATTGTTAAGTTTCTAAGGCTGGAGTGTCCCTGGAATCTTAAACTTTATCTTCTTTTGTCCTATAGCATTTGACAACTTTATTGGCATCCTCTGATATGCAAGTGGTGCTGGCTGTACTTAACCTTCTGTATGTATTTAGCAAAAGATCAAACTATATCACACGTCTTGGATCTGACAAGAGGACCCCACTGCTAACACGGCTACAACATTTGGCTGAGGTGAGTCATGTTTTCAAATGAAGTAAAATGTAGAGTTTGTAATAGTATTAATTGTGGTTGAAGCAATAAGTTTCATATGAAAATTCAACTCCGGGGCCTGGATCAGTAACGTAACGGCTAAAGTCCTTGCCCGGCACATGCCAGGATCCCATTTGGGTGCCACTTTTAATCCTGCCAGCCCTGCTTCCCATCCAACTCCCTGTTTGTGGCCTGGGCAAACAGTCAAGGATGGCCCAAAATGGGATTCTGCATGGGATACCCAGAAGAGGCTCCAGACTCCTGACTTCAGATCTGCTCAGCTCTAGCCATTGCAGTTACTTGGGCAACTGAATCATCGGCTGGACGTTCTTCATCTCTGTCTTTCCCTCCTCTCTGTATGTTGGACTTTCCAATGAAAATAAATAATCTTAAAAAAAAATTCAACTCTGACAAGCTCTCTATTGTGCAATATTTCTAGAAGCTTACTGCTTGCTTGCTCAGGTTAAAGGGATAACAGTTGTTGGAAAAGTTATTTGGGAGGAAACAATAACGTGAGCTTTTTAGAAGCCGATAGAATGACTATCTCACATAACATACAATCCAAATTCCAGGTTGTTCTTTAGCTTCGATGATTATGGGGGAACATTTTTTCTGTGATTTCAAATATAGACCCTAGTAGAAATTTGAGGACATATGAAAATATAGAGAAAATATAGGAAAATATAGAGAAAATACACTGATTAGGTGTAACTCACCCAAATGCATGTTTCTGAACATTGTAAGCATTAAACATTAGGTTCCCAGGTCGCAAGAGGAAATGATGTGTACAAAGATCTCGTTTACAATATGAAAAAGGTAGAGGATCTGTAAAATAAGGCATATTGGATAAAACTATAAGCTTAAGAGTAGACGGAATAGGGGCTATACTATGTATGGTTGAATGGTTGGGAAGGAATTTATAAAATCTCCAAAACCATTCCCTTAGATTAAAAATTCAGGTTTTAGAGATCTGTATTGTTGTGCAACAAGTTAAGCCATTGTTTACAATGCTGGCATTGTACCAGAACACTGGCTCTAGTCCCAGATGCTTCTCTTCCAGCTTCCTACTAATATACTTGGAATCACCCAAGTATTAGGGTCCCTATCATCCACGTGAGAGACCAGAGTGGACTTGCTGGCTCCTGGCTTCTGGCTTCTGGCTGTCACCTGGCCGAGACCATGCTGTTGAAGCTATTTGAGGAGTGAACCAGCAGCTGGCACTTCCTCTCCACTCTGCCTTTCACATAAGTTAATAACCTTTCGATTCCTTAGACACTTGCACTGAAATGTATATTGAGTATAGTGCAGCTGTCATTGAAGAAAAACTCATTTGTAGTGCAGTTATTAATGAGGTAGAATGGTGGTCTGGCTGGTATATACTCATTTGTTATGGACCAGTACATTGAAACAGTTTGTGATATAGCAGCTGATCTATAGACAGAATTCAGTAATGTTGTCAAAGACAAAAGTTAGCAGACTTTTAGTAGAGAGAGATATTTAGCGATGCTTTAAAGTTCAGATGAGATATCTAAAGAACTTCTCAAAAGCAGTAAGAATAGACAAATAGAATTGGTAGGCAGTGGATATAACAAATTAAAATAGGTGCTAAATTAGCAGAAATTAGGAAGCTGTGTAATGGTGAGTGTTGGTCATGTGAAGCTGTAGGAACCCTTCTATATTTTTGATTGTTTAGCCTGGTATTGTTGGGCCTGTATCCCAAAGATTAATGAGGTTAGTTTTGCATCATTTCACAAAGGTGATGTATTATTAGACATAAAAGAAGTTTTGTTTGTCTGGTTGGTTGTTTTTGGGGGGGGGGGGGTGGCTTCATGTTGAAAAGCAAGTTAAACTGCCCCCTGCAATGCTAGTATTCCCTATGGGTACCAGTTTGAGTCCTGGCTGGTCTACTTCTCGTGCAGCTGTGTTGATGTACCTGGGAAAGCAGCTGAAGATGGGAAGATTTTCATCTTCAACACAGACTTACATGAGGCTCGTGGTTCTTTATTTCAGTCTGGCCCAGCCCTGGCCACTGCAAGGTTTTGGGTAGTGAACCAGCAGATGGAAGATCTTGAGATTTATCTATCTTCTCTCTCTTACCCTCCCTCCCTTCTCCTTCTCCACTTCAGTCTTCCTTTTGCCTGTTCCTCTCTCCTTCACTCACTCTCTTCCTTTTCACTCTCCCTTGCTCCCTTCTCTTTCATTTACTTGGCTTTAAAAATTTTATTTTTATTAGGCAGAATTACAGAGAAAGACAAAGATTCCATCCAGTGATTCACTCCCCAAATGTCCGCAACAGCTAGAGCCAAGCCCATCTGAAGACAGGAGGCAGGAGCTTTTTCTGGGTCTCCGATATGGGTGCAGGGGCCCAGACACTTTGCACATCCCACTATCTACCCTACCACACTTTACCCCTGAACTTTCCCAAGCCACAAGAAGAGAACTTGATGGGAAGTGGCCAGTGAGGGTAGAAGCAGCTCCCCTATGGGTTGCTGGCACTACAGGCAGAGGATTGGCTTGTGCTTACCATAGTGCTAGTCCCAATATCAGGCCTTTTTCTGATGTTGGGTAATTTACTCAAAGTGGTGTTTTACATGCTTCTCTGAGATGATTGATAACCATTTGTTGGATTGTCTCCTTAGGTACCAGGGTCATAGGATAACACATTAGCTAGGAGAGTACAATGAGGAGGGTCCTTAGTGTTCTTTCTCCTGTGATGTAATTATCTGCTGTTCCTTATAGGCTTGGGGGTTGCTTAAACATGGTTCTTATTCTGTATCTGCATCTTCACCCAGATCTTCCAATTGATGCAAGTTAATGATCCAACTCAGTTGTAGATGTATTGGGAAGTACCTTTTTTTTTTTTTAACATCTAACTTAGTAGTTGAAAAAATGAATTGCAGTTGTGTAGTAATGAACTTCACAAAGGATTAGAGGTATTCTCAATAATAGCCTTGAATCTTAAACCCCCATATGAGCACCAATTTGGGCTAAGCTACTCCTCTTCCCTTCTGCTACCCACTAATGCATCTCCAAAAGCAATGGGCAATATCCCAAGTCTTTGGGCTCTCATACCGATTTGGAGACCTGAGTGGAGTCCAGGCCTGTGGCTTTGGCCTGATCCAGCCCCATTCATTGCCGCCCTTTGGATAATGAATTAGCAGATGAAGCAGTTCTGTTTACTTCCCTCTCTGTAGCTATGCCTTTCAAGTGAAGTATATCCTTTTATTTTAAAAAGATTGACCTTATTTTTATTGGAAAGTCAGATGTGCAGAGAGAAGGACAGATAGAAAGATCTTCTATCAGTTGATTCACTCCCTAAGCAGCCTCAGTGGCTGGAGCTGAGCCAATCCAGAGGTAGGGGACTCTTCCGGGTCTCCCACACAGGTGCAGTGTCCCAAGTCATTGGGCCATGCTCAACTTTTTTCCCAGGCCGCAAGCAAGGAGCTGGATGGGAAGCTGGGATAAGAACCTGCGCCTATATGGATCCCATCGTATGTAAGGCAAGGGCTTTAGCTGCTAGACTGCATTGCCAGACACAAAAGAAGTATATCTGAAAAGGTTTTCATGAATTTGTCTTATTGGTGGCAGAACTTTTCTTCCTACTTACAGTTGCTCAGTATTTTAAATGTTCACAAACATGTGAAAGAAAATTTAGTATCTCCATGGATCTCCTTATCATTTTGATACATTTTCATTGTCTATTCTGTGTTTATGTCCTTACATAGCTTAGTTCATGGCTTTTGCTTCTCCTTAATATTCTAGTGTCAGTGTTTTGCCATGTACTTCATGTAATTTTGTAAGAAGCATTTCTTTACATATAATAAAATGATACTATCTTCCAAATGTAGCATCAAAATTTCATGACTCATGCATGGGTTGGCCTGGTTTTTAAGGACCGCATCTTAGGAAAAATTAGAGGTGCTTGTTTTTCTTTGTTTTTATTTCCCATGACACAGGTTTTTTAAAAGACTTATTTTTGTTTGTTGGAAAATCAGGTACACATAGAGGAGGAAAGGCAGAGAGGAAGCTCTTCCATCTGCTGATTTCACTCCCCAGTGTCCTCAATGGCAGGAGCTGATCCTGGAACTTTTTCTTGTCTTTTTAGGGTTTGTTTAGTAAACAACATATGCCCCAAATGGTCATGTCCCAGTAACCCCATAAAAAGTCAGGATATTTCCTGCCCTGATAAGCCCATCATAAAGGCAGAAGACTATAAATCACATCATCATAAGTCCATCTGACCCTTGGCTTATGATGGGATTATACTATTGAAAAAAAAAATCATTGAGTCATCATTAGTTGGGGATTGTATAATTTCATGAAGTTGTATATGGCTACTGAACTCTGTTCCAATTGCCTAGTGTTCAGGTGGACCTTGGATAGCTGATACCTCCCTTCCCCCACCATGCAGACAGAAGGCCCCCACTCTGAGTTAGTGGCAGGATATGTTGGTGCACTCTACCATGGACTTTTCCCATCTGAAACCTTGGAGGTCTCACAGAGATGAATGCTTAGGACCTTCGCATAGGTTTTCACAAAATGTGCCAGCTGGGTCATGTATGTCTTCTGTTCTGTTTGGCTCCTAGAAATATATGAGGACTTTCGAAACCTTAATTTCCCAAATAATTTCACTCCTTTGTTTCTGACTTTTCTTCCCAAGCTTTTAAGTTTGAGTAAACTGTATTGGCCCAGGACATAGGAATGCATGGCGTTGAATGCTGTGAACAAGTGTTGGGCACCCACTCCTGGAGGAGTTTAGACTTAGGTAAAATATTGATCAGCCCCACATCAGATCGTGGAGGAAATCCTGAAGCAGACTGTAATACACAACTACAGGGCTTTTGAGGAAAAGGTGCATTCTGCTCACGACAGACATGTGAGCTGTTGGTTTCAGCCAGTACTAGGCCAAGGGAGTGAGGGCAAGGTAAATCCCATAGAACACTTCAAATTCCACTGCATTTTAGTTTTTATTCTATTCCAGTAAGCATTTGGCTAGTTGGTATAAAGTATTGTTTAATTTCCAGAGTTTTTATAAAAGTTGGTTCTAATGGGTTTTGTTGATTCTGATAAGTTTATTCATTGCTTCTGCGAAAGAGTAAAATTCTGAAATTCCTTACTCCCGTATTTCTGCCGACATTACTCCCAGGACAGCAGTCAGCTTTCAGTCCTTTGGAAGCAAGTGATATGTAATAATCTATTTCCAGGCAAACTTTTTTTTTTTTAATTAAAAAAAAGATTTATTTTTTATTACAAAGTCAGATATACAGAGAGGAGGACAGATTTTCCATCACCATGATTCACTCCCCAAGTGAGCCGCAACGGCCGGTACTGTGCTGATCTGAAACTGGGAACCAGGAACTTCTTCCAGGTCTCCTGCACAGGTGCAGGGTCCCAAGGCCTTTGGCCATCCTCGACTGCTTTCCCAGGCCACAAGCAGGGAGCTGGATGGGAAGTGGAGCTGCCGGGATTAGAACCAGTGCCCATATGGGATCCCGGGGTGTTCAAGGTGAGGACTTTAGCCACTAGGCCATGCCGACGGGCCCCTCCAGGCAAACTTTTTAAACCCACATTTCCACCAGAGAAGTAAGCCCTAATTACCTGAACTATCATCATATTGTATCCTGATGTGTGCTTCTAGAGTAGTATTAGGTGTATGCTATTCATTGCTATGCTTTGTCTAAGATGGAAATTGAGAAAAGCTGCCAGTAGGCAAAGTATAGTTTGAGATAGCTTATATTTTTAAGGGGCAGGCAGATTGTGGGGGCTCTTGGTTTTTCTGTTCAGCAACGGACACCTTTGTAAGTGGATATTTCAGTGATTTATTGCTCTATTAAAAAACAGGCTCTATTTGTATCTGGTAGGTGATAACCTGATAGCCACATCTAATGAAGAGGAAATACTAAAATGTGGGGAGCATTCTCAGGCCATGCTGGTAGCCTGAATCTGTTACCGCACGGGCTTGCTGATGAGTTCTTGGAAACCCTAAGCAAGACAGGATTTCCAGCTTTGTACCTGAGCTAATGTCAACAGAAAGAGACTGGAGAGCATGTGAATCTAACTCAGTGAGAGGAATGTAAACAGACGGAGTGGTTGGGCAAGGCACCTGTCAGCGAGCATGCTGTAGGCCCATGTAATGCTGCCTGTGTTCCTCTCAGGAGCTGCCTCACATGACAGAGAAACTGATCACATTAAAGAAAGCACCTCTAGGCCTACCCTCTTGCCTTGAGTCTTGCCTTAACTTCTTGCATTCATTGGTTCCTTCTTAACTCAACCTCTACTTTATCTTTTCTACACTGTGCTCCAGGCAGCTACATACTCTTCAGTGTTTTCTACATGGGGCACAGTAAGCACTGCTTTAACAGTCTTCTTTTTTCCATTTTCCAAGAGCTGGGGTGGAAAGGAGAATGGCTTTGGACTGGCAGAGTGCTGCAGAGACTTGCATATGATGGTAAGTAACTTACAGGAATGTTTCCTGGCACAATTATGGTCTCTTTCTGAACCTTTCTTTGCAGTAGGAAATATGAGGATACTTCAAACATTTGTGGACAGTGGGACTGAAAGATAAGCTTGTTCTGGTGCTGACTAAATTGGAAATTCATACATAGGTTTTTTGTTGCTGTTGTTTTTCAGAGTATTCGTTTTCTGCAATGTTTCTAAAGTGTTTCTTTGTGTTGAGGTTTCAAGATTGCTATTTCAGTTCAGGGTCTTTAAGGAACCTAAGATCAGTTGAGACAAAGTACACCTTAGGAGGCTCACAGTGCTTTGGGTCCTCAAGTGTGCTGGCACAGTAGGTCAAGATTCTCAGTTTACAGTGGTTGTTCATACCTAGTGCTTGAGTAGGGAGCTCTATGCATTCATTTGCTCTGAAAATGATTTTTAGAAATCTAGGAAAATGCATTTGCTTGCATTCTCACAGTGAAGCTGAAAAGGCTGTCAGCCCTGTGGCTGTATCCTGTATCCGTTTTCTTTACACGTCTCATGTACAGAATTAACGGCGTTGTAGCTGCTGAATACACTGCACATTCTTCTATGGAGCGGATTGACAAGTCACTAAATCTTTTGAGGGGAAAATTGGGCTAAGATGTTGTGTGCCTTCCCTGAATCCAATAAATAGAAGCTCAAAAAAATTTTTTTTGTACACAGAAATATCCACCCAGTGCAACTACACTACACTTTGAATTTTATGCAGACCCTGGGGCTGAGGTCAAAATTGAGAAGAAGGTGAGTTGCATTCATTCGCATTTTACCGATTGTAACCTGTCAAGTGAAGAAATGGATTTTGTGCTGTATTTCTGTCATCCCAATCTGAATATACCTACCAGCTTTTCCGCAACAAGCATCAGTTGCATTCCCAAATTGGTCAAGTTTGGTTCTCTTGTTGGAGGCTGTTGCATAAATAGGACTCTCTTTGTGGCAAACTGCTTCTGTTTACATTTGTTTTTTCTTGGCATCATTGGAGAATTCCAGTAGGTCATGTTGTCTGAATAGTGAGGCGTCAGTTTTCTCTCCCTGAGCCAACTTAGGCCTGTATATTGCATGTCGGGGTATTCGGTGATTCCTAACAGCTTTCTCTTAAATTTCAGACAACTAGTAACACACTACATTATATTCACATAGAACAACTTGACAAGGTAAGAGAAGTTGTTAGCTATCCGATAGTTTCTTAATATTTGCTTGACTCTTGTTCCTAATGGATTCTCTCCCCCTCTAACATGTAGATTTCAGAAAGTCCGTCCGAAATCATGGAATCTCTTACCAAAATGTACAGCATCCCTAAAGATAAACAGGTATGATACATCGTAAAATGCTGCTAGGATGTGGCTGCTCCACAAATGCCCTAGTGACATGTATTGAGATGGAGACAGGCCATGAGCAGGCCTGTTTGGCTTTTCTGGGCTTAGTTTTCTGGTCTTTTAGTGATGATAGCACTTAATATTTTTTTCTTTATGAATGTTGACTGGCTATCAGTTTCTAGTAAAAAGTGAGAGCTTTCTCAACACTTGGTATCAAAGGAGAAAGTGCTCAGCTTGTTCACCTTGTGGCTTTTTTATTTTTTGCTGCTGATTTAAGAGTATTTAATCATAACATTCATCATATAGTAACAATCGGGAGTCTTGCCAAATGTTTTCTCTTTGTTGCGTGTCATTATGGCTTACCTTGGGATAGTAGGAATCTTTATTTCTATTTTGTCAGCTAACCTAGGAACTTTAATTCTGTTTTGTCAGCTAACCTAAGTGGATCGAAGTAGTTTTATTTGATACCTTAACAAATAGTAATGATATCATTTTACCAGACTTAGCCCCAGAGAGAGTATTTACCTCTTCTGTTGATGTTGTGACATAGTTCTCATGCTCTCTACAGATGCTGTTATTTACACACATACGGCTGGCCCATGGGTTTTCAAACCATAGAAAGCGGCTCCAAGCTGTTCAGGCCAGACTGCATGCAATATCTATATTAGGTAAGAGAAAACACTATAATTAAGAGCCCCTAAGTAGGCTATTTGGACTGCATTTTTACTTGTAATTCACCCATGTTTGTTGCAGTGAGACCTACCGAAGTTACATAACAGGTGATTTAAATTGTCACTGTTCCCAGTGGTCACTGAATTTAATTATCCTTCTTGAGGGCCTTCATGTTGGACCAGAAAGAGGTTATGATGCTTGCTGACCTGGATTTGGTCTTTAATGTTTGTTTGTTTGTTTTTAAAATGAATTTGCATTTCACTGTCCTACCATTGCTCTTACCTTCTAGTCTTATTCTCCCATTGTTTTCAGGGGTTTAATTTTAAAGTCAATCAAAAGACACTTTAAGTAGGCAACACTGTAAACCTTTACTGTGGAAACAGTAAAATGAAAATCATGTGCTTTGGAATCAGTCCTGGACTCTTGGTCTGAATCTTCAGATTATCAACCACTTTTTCATCCTTTTAGTTTTTAGCTTTCTTGATTTCTATTTTAACAGTACTTATGATACAGGCATAAAAATCTGGAAAGCAATTCCGCCTTTCATGTTTCCATTCCCCAAAATACTTGAGCCTACCAGTACTAAGTGTGGGCATGTGGTATTTTGGGCTTATCACCATGTTTAGTCCCATCCTCAATGTCTGAACCTCTGTGATTCTGCCCTCTGATGCTACAGAGTCCAAGGGGTTTGTCCATGAATAGTGGCTTAACCTCTTCTACCTGCTTGCTTAGTGTTTTCTTTTTGCCTTTGCAGTGTATTCCAATGCCTTGCAGGAATCAGCAAACAGTATCTTGTACAATGGCTTGATAGAGGAGTTAGTAGATGTCCTTCAGATAACAGATAAGCAGCTCATGGTAAGTATTTATGAATTATCTCTGTTTATCAGGCTCTTACCTATGTGCCTTTAGGATTTCCCAAAAACACTAAAAGGCGGACAGGTTTTTTGGAGGGGATAGGGCTCCCATAAGTGAGGCTTAGCCCTTTTTCTTCCTCCTTGAATATTGATCTGAAAAGCTAATGGTGAGTTTTCAGGATTAAGTCTCTAGCCTTGCAGATGCCCAGGCAGTTAACTTCTAAGTGGTCAGGCAGTTAACTGCTGGGGATATGGGCAACGAAGTTCGTATTGCCTTCTAAACTTGATTCATTCTGTATAGGAGATTAAAGCTGCTTCTTTACGGACGCTGACATCAATTGTTCACTTGGAGAGAACTCCCAAACTCAGCAGTATTATTGATTGTACTGGAACTGCCTCCTACCATGGATTTTTACCGGTACTTGTAAGGAACTGTATCCAGGCCATGATTGGTGAGTTTTGGTAGTAATTATTAATAGGTGAAAAGATGTCCTTTTTAAATATCCAGCCATCTTAACATCAGATTCTGAGCTGTTTTTCTCCCTCTCCAAACTTCCATTGCAGATCCTTCCATGGATCCATACCCTCACCAGTTTGCTACTGCTCTCTTCTCTTTTTTATACCACCTGGCAAGCTACGATGCTGGTGGGGAAGCCTTGGTCTCCTGTGGAATGATGGAAGCCTTATTGAAGGTGTGCTACTGTTTTAAAATACATTCATGGGGAAAGAGGTTTTATGGTTGAGTATGTGAAATAGCACAGTGAAACAGATGTTGTAAGAAAACTCCCAGAAAAAGTTTCCCATATATATATTTTTTTATTTTGGCCTTTTGATTATTTCGTGAATACACTTTAAGACCAGTTATGTCGATTGTTAAGATTTTAATGTAATCCAGGAGAGAGCAATGAAGCAGGAGGTACTGAGTAAAAGTGAGATCATTGCAAGATAATGTTGAAACTTTAGTTGTGACCATGAGGAAAATGCATGAAATGTATATAGAGGTACCTTCAAACTGTGCTGTCATAGCAGTAAGCTTTTATGATTTACTGGGGACTGGCTATTTCTCACTAAAGGTTCTAAGTGTGCTAAGTGCTGGGTGTCCCCATTACTTCAGTCTAGATTGAGGCCTTAAAGATGGAGCAGACACCTGGCAGGCAATGCCTTCCTCCTCCCCCCAGTACTATGATACCTACATGAGGACTCAGAACATGTTTACTAACATGCTCTTTGTCCTTAGTTCAATTGTTTTAATTTCTTTTTTCTCCCCCTAATAGGTCATAAAGTTTCTTGGTGATGAACAGGACCAGATAACATTTGTTACCAGAGCTGTGAGAGTGGTTGACCTCATAACCAACCTGGACATGGCCGCTTTTCAATCCCATAGTGGACTTTCTATATTCATTTATAGACTTGAGGTATTATTCTGCCAAGGGGCACTTTGCATAGACTTGATTCCATTGAGAACTGAACCGAGGGTTCTCTTTCTCTCCCCCACCTCCCCGCATTTGAAAGGTAGATTTACTGAGAGAAGGAGAAACAGAGGCTAAGATCTCCCATCTGCTGGTTCACTCCCCAAATGACCACAATGGCTAGCACTGAGTTGATCTGAAGCCAGGAGGTCTGTGTCTCAGGGTCACAGTGGGTGATGTGTCCCAAGGCTTTGGGCCATTCTCTATTGCTTTTCTAAGGCTCAAGTAGGGAGATGGAAGGGAAGTGGAACTGCCAAGACATGAACTGATGCACATAGGATTCTGTCATGTGCAAGGCAGTGGATTAGCCATCGAGTCATTGCGCTGAATTCACAGGGCCTTTTTAAATGTGTTATCAAGGAAGCATCTTGCCCCTCTTCTGTTTCTGGAAGCCAGTTCTATAATTTCACTTGGAAATTCTCTATTGTAGTTAGTTGTATTTAAATCCCTGAAGCATATATAGAATTTTAAAATTTATTTACCCTTGATTGTAGCACGAAGTAGATTTGTGCCGAAAAGAGTGCCCATTTGTGATCAAGCCAAAGATCCAGAGACCCAGTACAACACAAGAAGGAGAAGAAATGGAAACTGATATGGATGGCAAGTAGCAGTTATTTCAGTGCCGTAATATCCCTATGTTAATCGTTCTATATAAATTGCAGAGTATTCAGTTCTGCCAAAGGTTGTTTGTTTGTTTGTTTGTTTTGTTTTTTGTGGGGTTTTTTTTGGCTATATGGTTGGCTTTGAAGTTGGTTTTCACTAGAACACTCAGAAAAGGCAGTGGGAATGTTTTCCTAATAGAAGTGGGAGGTGAGGAAGATGGTTTAGCTGCAGTAGACCCCTGCTGTCACACCTTGATATTGGTGTTTTATTGCTTAAGCCATGTTTTCTTATGACATTATTCATTATGTTATTCTCACTAAATTCTAAACTGCAGGGAATCACTATTACCATATTTTTAGTGCAACAATGCCTGATAAATTGTTAGTGTATGTGTGTTGTAGTGATATGGAGAATAGACTGTAAAATGGGACCTTTTCAAACTTTGAGAAAGGAAAGAGAGGTGAATAGGTATTTGGTAAGGAACAAATTTTAATAGTAAAATTGGAAAAAAAAGGTAGTCTAGCTTTTTAATCGCTGGCTGTATTTTCTTTTAAAATATTTTTAAATGTGTCCAATGCATGTCTGATTATAATTCAAAAAGAAACTATTGCCAGAAACAGCTTACTCAAAAGCTCAGTTACTTCTGTCTTGGTAATCTGTTATTATGCTTTATGACACTAGAATGTACAATGTTTCTGTCTTCCTACTGCATTAATAATCATAGGTTGTTTTCTATGATTTTGTACCTGTTGCCATACCTGAACGCCCGTTTCTAGTGTTTGGGGCCAAACTGACATTTGAATTCTTAAGTCATGACATCATAGACATCAGCGTAGTAAGCACTTTGTGCAAGAACATATGTGAAGTGGGTATATATGTATGTGTGACTATATGTACTTAAAAAGATTTCCAAATATAAACAGCCGCTTGCCCATTCTTGCTTATGGGCATGATGTTAAATGTTTCAATTGTTTTTATACTTATTATTACCTGCTATCTGCTAAACAGTGGTACATGAAATTATATTCCAAATCTTTCTACTTCATTCCATTCACTTCAGTTGATGAAAGAAATTGGTTTGATCAAGAATAACCTCTTTGTGGAGTGCCTTCCATGCTAATTATTTATTATAATTTGCACTTCAGTTGCAGATGTGAATATGGAGAGCAGTCCAGGCTCATCGAACCCCATGGAACAGCGGCTTGATGTCGAATTAAGGACACCAAGTTCTAACAACAGTGCTAACATCTCTTCTTGTTCTGTGCCTGGCACTGGCCCTGGGCCTGGCCCTGGCCCTGGGCCTGGCCCTGGCCCTGGCCCTGGTCCTGGCCATGGCCCCAGCTCTCGACCTGGTGTGTAGAGCAGTTTCTCTGTGATATTTCACAGTTACTTGAGTTACTGAAGTAGTGAATATCACAGTGTTGGCAGAGCTTAAATTTTCTTATTGTTTTCTCTTGCCAGGTGTGCAGTGTATTCCACAGCGGGCAGCACTTCTCAAATCCATGTTGAACTTCCTCAAGAAAGCGATTCAGGACCCTGCTTTCTCAGATGGCATACGACATGGTACTTTTTACTCTGCAAAACTGCTTCCGAAGCATGCTCTCCTCATCCTTACATGCTCTTTTTGACACATATTTCTCTTACCCTGGAGGCTTAGGGAAAGGCCAGGCCAGTTTGAATTGTTCTAGTTGGTTGATATCACTTTTTCAGGACCTTGTTAGTGGCTCACTGTTTTCTTAGTAGCTCATCAGTTTTTCGTTTTTCTACTTTTGTCTTTGTGTTGACTTCCCATGCTCCTACCTCTCTCAGAACTTCTGTGCTTGTGTTTTCATTGGTGACTGAAGAATAACTAGCAAAATACACAGAAAGGCCTTCTGATCAGAATTAATAGGGACTTTGTTAGCCAGAGTGTGCTATATGTAGCATTGTTTCATTTTCCTCACTCCTCCTGATCACGTTCTCATTGATGTTCACTTTCTTTCAGTGATGGATGGTTCTCTGCCTACCTCCCTGAAACACATCATCAGCAATGCAGAATACTATGGCCCATCACTTTTCCTCTTAGGTAAGTAAAGGTGATGCCTGAGATTATGTATCTTTATTATTGGTTAGGACTTTTTTTTTTTTCAAATGCATACTTGTTTATTTCCAACTGTTAATAAGCCATGGGATATAGATTATTTTTTTTTTAAGTAAGGTTTTCTTAGATCACAGAAAGTTGTTTTTTTTTTTTTTTAAGATTTATTTATTTGTATTAGAAAGGCAGATATGCAGAGAGGAGAGACAGAGAGGAAGATCTTCCGTCCGATGATTCACTCCCCAAGTGGCCACAATGGCCGGTGCTGCGCTGATCTGAAGCCAGGAGCCAGGCATCTCTTTCTGGGTCTTGTACACAGGTGCAGGGTCCCAAGGCTTTGGGCCTTCCTCAACTACTTTCCCAGGCCACAAGCAGGGAGCTGGATGGGAAGTAGAGCTTCTGGGATTAGAACCTGTGGGCACACAGGATCCTGGTGCGTTCAAGGCGAGGACCCTAACCATTACACTGTCGTGCCAGGTCCATGATATAAATTATTTGTGATGAGGTTTTTGTATCTCTGGCCTGCTTATGATATACTTACTTTTCATGTATAGTTATGAACAGAAATCATGTCTGTAGATAGGCATTTTGCTAGTGAAGATATTGGTAGGATGTGTGCTCTATATCAGGATGCTCGGGATTGATTCTCCACCTGATGCCCAATTCCTGCTTCCTGTTAAGGCCATTCTCAAGGCAATCACGTATGGTTCTAGTGATTGGTTGCTGTCATTGAGTTCCTGGCTCCCGTTTGGTGTCCATTTCCAATTGCTTGAATTTGGGTTCGAGTTAGTAGATGGGTCTAGCATGCATGCACTCACTTGTTCTCTTCCTCTCAAGTCAATACATAAAAAAATCATAATCTTTATTCAGCCTCTAATAAAATCCATCTAGAATCCTGTTTTAATATTGATTGCCATGGGAACTAAATACTGTTAAAAGGTCTACCCAGATACCCTTAAGACACACCTATGGCTCAGAATCTCTTAGCATTTATTTGAGCCTTGGGCCAGATATTTATCTTGTCTGGTTTTCACATTTTTAGATTTTCAGTCTAACTATTTTTCACACTATTCTTGTGTGTTTTAAAGGAGTATTTTTTGGCCTCAATGGTTGAGACTTGTCCAGGCCAAAGAACCAGGACCTGCTTCTGGATCTCCAATTTTGATGGCAGTGACCCAAGCATTGGGGCCATCTGCTTCCTTTCCCAGGCCATTAACAGGTAGCTGGATAGAGGAGAGCAGCCCGTACTATAATTGTCACTTTTATGGGATATTCACATCAGAGGCAGCGGCTTAACCCCCTAGGCTACAACACCAGTACATCCTTAGACAAAGTTTAAGATATTATACTGTTAGAAATTACTGGATGTTTCCTGTGATGTTCAAATGCTATATACCAGCAGACTGGTTTCTCTTCTTTCATAGATCATTTTCTGTTTTGATTTGGAGAATCTAGTATCAATTTCTTTATGTTAGCATTCACAAATTTGACTAGGTTACTTTGAGTTCTGATGTATTATTTGATTAGACACCTTAAAGATCTCTATATATTTCTCTGATTCTGGTTATTCTATTTTATTCTGTTTAGCATGCATAGTCTCTCCTGAAAACTTGTTTCAGGTTTATACTGTACTGTGTTCTGTATCACAGAAGGAGACTGGTTTATATACCTTGTGGTATGTATGTTTAATGAAACCCTATGCAGCTATTCAAAGTAATTGAGGTTATATTATGCATATTACAGTTAAAGTTCAAATTGTATAATCTCATCTAAAATGCTGATAAAAGCTAGAAGGTCACTGGATTATTATTAGGATTAGTCTCTGGGGCTCTCTCGTGCTTGGTACATGCTTAAATTATTTTACGTTAAGTATGTATTTCTGAATCCTTTGAGTATTTTTGCTCTTAATACCTGTGAGTCACCACTAAGTGTCCCATATTTTCTCATCTTTGTAGCTACTGAAGTGGTGACTGTGTTTGTATTTCAAGAACCATCACTGCTGTCCTCGCTCCAGGACAATGGATTAACAGATGTCATGCTGCATGCACTGCTCATCAAGGATGTGAGTCCTTTGTGCTATACTGGGGAACACACAGAGTTGAAAAGTTGCCCATGTTATGCATATCATGCTGAATATAACGGTTGTTACAAAAACCCTTGCTGTCTGTCGATGCGTACCCCTGGCCAGATTTTCCTAGCATCTATACCTGAATTCTTTGAAATCTATTCAAATTTACTTTATCTTCTCTCTAGGTTCCTGCTACCCGTGAAGTCCTTGGCTCCCTTCCAAATGTATTCAGTGCACTATGCTTGAATGCCCGAGGTCTTCAGTCTTTTGTACAGTGTCAGCCATTTGAACGTCTCTTCAAAGTTCTTCTGTCTCCAGATTACCTCCCAGCTATGCGGAGGAGGAGGAGTTCAGATCCTCTTGGTATGTTGCCAGGGATTACTGTATAATAGAAAATTGCATTATTTGGCCAGGAAAAGTCCTCATAAGCTCATGTAGTTTTTTGGCTCTATGCATTATATCACAGGTAGAAGCGAATGCTTCATCTTTAGCCTATTTTCAGTATTTCTGTTCCTCTCAGTAAGTTGCTATTGCGCTGTCCTGAATGCCAGAAGCAGTGCTTGATGTCCAGATGTACCATGTAGGCTACTAGAGTGAGGAATATGGAGTGGTTAGGCATTCTTCCTGGTAATGTGATACTCTGGTATCCACGTCTCTGAAGATGATATACAGCTGACTAGACTTAACTCCCAAACATGGAATTATTAGCAAGAATGTAGGAGTTCCAGATTGATTCCAGTTTTTAAAAATGTGCTTTGTACCGTTGACTACCCCTTAGACTGCCCGAGGATAATAGTTTATGCCTATTTCTGTCTTATTCCAGACTAGTTTTGAAATCTCTACAGTAGAGATTTCCAGGGAGGAGTGCCACACACACCTGCGTTAAAGGATGTAGTGTAATTGTGTGATTCCTTCCTCCCCATCAGGGATTGGGTGGTGGTTTGGTACAAAGGGAAGTTTGTCATTGGGAAATCACAAGCGTCGGCTCAGTTTCTTCTTTCCGCCTCGTGTTGGTACGGACCAAAAGTAGCTCTGTTTTTCATAAACTTCTAACAATCTCTTTTGTTTCTTAGGGGATACTGCCTCCAACCTCGGGAGTGCTGTCGATGAGCTCATGAGACATCAGCCCACACTCAAAACGGATGCAACAACTGCCATCATTAAGGTATGAAGTTGCCATGTCCTGTGACGTAGGACCGTAGCAGGTCATTCAGGACAAGGTTTTAGAAAAGATTGTCATTGTACTTAGGTCTTTCATAATGAAGTCTGTTCATCTTGACTGTTACAGATTGAGGATCAATTTCATTATGGAAATAATTTCTTTCTTTAATGTGAACATCTTGAGTTTTTTTTTTTTTTTTACTTGTTTTTTGCAAAAGTGCATTACCATTTCTAGTCACAGTTCCCTGATCTTTTTTTCTTATGAAAAATATTTGAAAGGCAGAGTTTCAGTAAGAGGGAAAAGCAAAAGACAAGGGAAGATCTTCCATCCCAAATGGTAACAGATCTCGAGGATGGGCAGGACTGAGGCTGGAGCTTTTTCTTGGTCTCCTTTGTGGGTGACATGGGCCCGAACACTTGAGCCATCTTCTGCTTTCCCAGGCTGTTAGCAGTGGGATGGATTGAAGTGGAGCAGCTACGAGTAGAACCTGTGCCTGGGTTTACCTGCTGTACCACAAGTGGCCGGAGTTGCACCAATCTGAAGCCAGGAGCCAGGATCTCTTCCAAGTCTCCCACACGGGTGCTGGGTCCCAAGGCTTTGGGCCTTCCTCAACTGCTTTCCCAGGCCACAAGCAGGGAGCTGAATGGGAAGTAGGGCTGCTGGGATCCCGGCGTGTTCAAAGCAGGGACTTTAGCCACGCCGGGCCCTGAGCTTTTTTCTTGATTGCCAGCCTGAACCCTGTCTCTTCACCTTGCCAGTTGCTGTTTAGGATTTGTAACTCATGAGTTGGTGTTCCTTGGTAAAATAGAAGTCAGATCTGTGACTTAAGCAGCAAAGTGAGCCAAATTACTTAACTTTACAGAAAATATATGTATAAGATAGTTTGGAAAAAAACATTGTATTCTCAAAATCATTAGTCATTTCTCCTTAATTACTGATATGGAATCTTACTTCCACTTTCAGTTACTTGAAGAAATCTGTAATCTTGGAAGAGACCCTAAATACATCTGTCAGAAACCCTCGATCCAGAAGGCAGATGGCACTGCCAGTGCCCCTCCCCCAAGGTCTAATCATGCTGCAGAAGAAGCTTCTAGTGAGGATGAGGAGGAAGAGGAAGTACAGGCCATGCAGAGCTTTAATTCTACCCAGCAGAATGAAAACGAGCCTAATCAGCAGTAAGTGTTGACAAAATAGATCTGTGAGTGTTCTTTTCAGTTATAAAAGGTGCAATGTTATATTAGATCATTTTAAAGTATTTAGTGCCGTAAGAGTATATATAATTTTCCGTTTTTGAACCAGTGTGTGTTGTTTGTGGTAAAAGTTGTTGCATTATGAAGCTCTCATTCGGGAAGGTGTTTGGGAAGTTGAATCGCAATTCAGTAAATCAGGTTGCTGGGCTTTGCACAGAAGAGTTATTTTCCGTTTGTTGACTGATAATCCACATCAATGACTCCTTGATTGCTTCAAGAATATAATAAAACACTTTGTACTTCTTGTTTGAAAGGCAGAGAGACAAATGGTTTGAGAGCTCCCACTGTTTTACTCCCTGTCTACCTTTGAGATCAGGAATGGGCCAGGCCAAAGACTGGAGCCACGATCCCTGTCCATGTCTTCCATGTCGGTGGCTCACCACTTGAATCATCACCCAGTGCCTCTCGGTGTGAATTACCAGGAAACTTGGAGTGGAGCTAAGATTCAAACCCAGCTTCTTGAATGTATGTGGGTCCCGACTTCCTAGTCCAAATGCACAACCCCACATTGCACTTTTGAAGCACATCTCCTACAAACTAAGAGTCACAGGAATTCATTGTTGCTGTTTTGGTATTACTCATTTGATATTGTAATTTTTTTTTTTCAAAACAGAGAGCTTTGGGATGCAATAGACATAACCAGGCATAACATATTCCTTCTCATTGCTATTTGTTTAAAAGATTTGCTGTGTGTAAGAAATGTCTACCTGGGTTTGAGTCGTGATGGGGGTTGCCTTAAAGGCTGCTTGCTGGTCGTGCATACCGTGCCAGGCTGTTTGAGCTTATGATATTCACCTGAAGTAACCCTATATCTGTAACTCTTAGTCACCTGTATTCCAGCAACCATGATGCACATACTCATTTATGTTGTTCTATATATACAAATTCTGAGAAGGTGAGACTCCGAGTAGGTTTGAGTTGATCAAGATGGGCAGTTTGGAACTTAACAAAAAGATTAAGGGTGAGAAAAGTTTGATACACATGTGCAAGCATCAATGCAAAAATGTGTATGTCCTCTTGGTACTCTACGTGGTAATAGTAATTTTGATGTGACGTGAAGTTCCATGTACATTGCTTTTGAGAAGGAAAACTGCCTATATTCTGCCTACATTTTCTTTAATGTTCTTTTTCCTGGGCTGTGACGGGAATCATCTTGGAAAGAAGGAAGATTGTTCATGTGTAAGGAGTCATAGTCTTACTGCTTTCTTAGCAACACCCCTAATTGTTGTCATGGGGCCTCCCAAACACAGGTCATAGTGATCGAAATCAGTGTGTGTATGATCTGCATATCTACCTGAAGATCTAATGGACCCCTAGATTTCATATGCCCACTTCAGATGGTTCAGCTAAATTAATGTTTTCTCCATGACCCCCATTTATTTATTATTTATTTATGTTCTGACTTGAAAGACATGACTCACTCACCAAAGACATCACTCACCAAAAGCTGCAACCAATACTAGACAAAAACCAAAGCTTCTTTTACTTTAAAGTTATCATTATGTCATTGAACTATTTCTGGAATTGCAAACTTGGGACTCAGGATGAAAGGAACTTTTATAGATGTCAACCTTATTCTCCCAACACTTGTTGAGATTCTGCATATGTGATAATGTCTTCTCACTAATTTCTAAGCTCCTCAAGGACAGTGTTTTCATTCAGCAGTTTGTTCCCAAGTATATATGGTAGGTAATCATTCACTAAGCATTGATTTAGTTGAATAGATAAGATCATCTATCAAATATTCTACCACAGGGAAAATTCACAGGTATCTTCCTAGATGCAAAATAGTTGCTGCATCATAGCAGTAACATAGGTATGAGTGTATTACTTTATCATTCACATAAGACAATCAAGAGCCTCCACTGCTAAATGTATGTAGTTTTTTTCTCTATGCTATCTTTTGAACCTTCCATTAGTTCACTGAATGGATTATGGCAAGAGACTTATTAAGGCTCTGGGTTCATTGTGAAAGCCAGAGGATGTTAAAAAGGGAAAGGTTTATCATCTTATCTCAGGCGTTCATGGTAGTAGATGTGTATGTTCTGCCACTCTGAGGAAGAGGCTTGGAGATACTTGGTATCTGTATCACCCTTGCCATATGTCTTATTACTTTCCTCTTAATAGTGGAACCTTCATAAAAACTGGTTTCATTGCTCTCATCCTTTTAGTGTTTCACACAAAAATACATACACATACATGCATATATTGTTCCTGGTAATTGTTATTGAAATATAACTGTCCCTGTAGTAAACTATATAGATTTTGAGTTTTGAGTTGGCAACCAAAAGTGAGATACCAGATACCTACTCATTTTCATTTTGTTGTAAGGTAACTTTCTGTTCAGGAATATTTTGTGAATGTAAGGATCTTACAAATGGAGTCTTACATATGTGTGTCATGTCTGTGTATGCCTGCTTGCTTTCTTCCCTCATTGTTGTTTCGTGGTTTAACGATTCATCCTTATGGTCTCATTCAGTGACTTGTGTCTTTTGGTTGTTGTGTTAATGTATTGACAGAATTGGGGTTTTCGGGTTTTATTTTACCTCAGAGTAGGGCGATGCTCTTTTTCCTTCTTCAGAGCCAGAGACTGATATTTAGCAGTTTTGCTTATATGTGTTCTTGGAATTCAGAGTATTGTCCCAGATCCATGGAGTACGGTCTACAGTGAGATGTTTTCACCAAATAGTACTATTTGTCTTTGATATAATCTTTTCTGCCTTCCAAATTGTTTTTTTATTGAAAAGTCAGATTTATGGAGAAAATGAGGTAAATTTCTTCCATCTGCTTGTTCCATGTGTCCACAATAGCAGTCTCTGAGCCTATCAGAAGCCAGGAGCCCCGAGCCTCTTGGGCATCTCCCACACAGGTGCAGGGTCCCAAGGCTTTGTGCTGTCATCTGCTTTCCCAGGCCAAAGCAGGGATCTGGAGGGAAGTAGAGCACCCAGGACATGCAAGGCGAGGGCCTTTAACCACTAAGCTACCTTGTGGGGCCCATTCCAAAATGTTTTGAGCCCAGAAAACTCGATACTGTTGCAAACAAGTATATATTGTAAGTATCCAGGATTTATATTTCAGGCACCATGGTTGGTTATGTGATTGATTTCCTTTAGTGTCCCTAGCTTAATAGTTACCTCTTGTGAGCAGTGATATCAGATAAATAGGTTATGTCCTCTGGAACTTAAATAACAGGGAACCATCTGTTCTCTGAGGTTGGGGGCAACTAATGAGAGGCTCTTTTGTTTTTAAGACATCCAGCTACCTCCACATTGCCTTGGAGAGAGAGTTCATTTCTCTGACTACTCTATAAAGAAAAGGGACATGTTTTCCTGGTCACTAAATATGGAACTCTCCTGTACTTATGATTAGTGCTTCTACCATCATAAATATATGCATAAATTTCAGTTGAATGTGTATGTTTTGATAATAGGGGGGAAATGGGGTTTTAATTAGAATAAATCATTCATTGTAAGGGTGTGATCTAGATGCATTGGACCAAAATTTAAAATTATATTGAGATTCAAATTATTTTTTTTAGATGACCATATATGTGGAATGGGGTGAGTTACTATTTAGGCTGAATGACTTTGTTCCTGTTCCTCAGAGCCTACACAATAGGAGTAGCCAGCAAAGTAGGAAATCAAGGGAGAGCTCCTTCATCATATTACTTCATTTACTCTGTGGCTTTGTCTTTTATGAAGGCATCTTTGTCTGATGCCTGTTTGGGCTGGAGCCACCCATACATTCCTTGTTTGTAAGAGGTAAATCTCTGGGTTCTTCCCAGTGAGGTAAGGCCAGGTTGAGATGGATGATTGGTATAAGTAACAGTGTGCTGCGATATTTTCTGAGGAGGATGGTCAAGAAAAGGTATGGTGTTCCCCCAGAATTGTTTGACGTGACTTATAGATTCTCCTCCCTTATACAAACTCCTACCCTGCAATTTGCCTTGAGGATGTTTGAAATAACCTACCCAAACTCTAGCCCTGGCTAGGTGATCTCTGAAGCCATTCACATTAGCTCTCCATCCATTTGATTTGCAAGTTAGCATTTCGCTTCTCCATTCCTGGCACATCCTTATTCACATTTTGTCTTGCTTAGATGTGACAATTAGTTTCTTGGCTTCTCTTCTACCCCTACCTCTTGTTTCTGTCTTTTCTCCCCTTCCCCATATCTCCCCTTCATGCCCCAGTCTGTTCCAAGGACCTGTGTCTAAAATGCCGCATTTTTCCATTTCTGTTTTACTCTTTCTTGCGAGTTGTCTTTGAAATATATTTGGTTCATTTCAATATAGAAGTCATTTTTCCATAAGTTACTTTAAAAAAAACTACTCATGGATTTTTAATTTTTGTACCTAAATAAACTTTCAATCCCTTATTTCCATAGTCTTAATATGATTTTTTGAACAAAATTCAATTCCATTTCCTACTTCTTGTAAATTTAAACTTGGTATAAGAACATGGTAAGATATTTCTTTCTGTCTTTAGCCTCTTTACTTAAGCTAATGTGTAGATAAAGACTTTCAGTTGAACTTAAAATGTTTTCTTGTGAATGAATCCTCCAACAGTAGTTATCTTGAGATTGGGTAATTTCTTTTATGATACATACAGATGCTGAGGTTGCGAAGGCTTCTCTTGTTTTCCTTTTCTGGTCTCAAGCCTCATCTGGCCAGGGAAGCTATCTTCAAAATTTCCCCTTATTTTTTTCTATAATATATAAGTCTCAAGACTCCTACACTATGGACTGTGACTAACTGGAATCTCCCTGTCCCTTTCCTCACTTTAATCTCTCACACTGCTGTTGTGAATTTCTGTGTAACTCATTCTTTTCTCCCTTGACAGGGTTGTTGGTACAGAGGAACGTATTCCTATTCCCCTCATGGATTACATCCTTAATGTGGTAAGATTCATTGTATGGGAAACTGAGTGAAGGTGTGTGCTTTTCTGGAAAATGTGTGTGGTTATCATAGAATCTAGTAAACTCCAAATTTAATTTTGCTGAGGCTTTTTTATTTAAAAAATTTGTCTTCATTTGAAGGAGACAAAAAATTCCGTCTACATGTTTATTCACTAAATGCCCCTAATAGACATGGTTGGGCTAGGCTAAAGCCAGAAAACTCATCTAGGTATCCCAAATGGGTGGCAAGCCATCTGCTTCCCAGGGTGAAAGGTTGAGGATGCAGGAATCAAACTAAGCATTCTGTGTGGTGCCTGAGGGTCCAGTTGGGGCTATTGTACTGTTGAGTTAAATGCCTGTCTCCAGTTTGGCTCTTCAGGACACAGAGGGGGGAACAAGGTGCAAGCCTTTTGTTTTTGTTATATCATACTGGCTTGCCCAGAACTAGTGGCCTTTGCCCTCTCTTTTACTGCCAATTTTCTGCTCTGTTTTATAATTAGAATCCAAAGAGAAGGAAAGTGAACTTTGCTAGGCCAATCCTATGTTTTCTGAGTTATATCCATTAATTCTGGCATGGATTCTTCATTTAACTTCCAGTATGTAAAAAAAAAAAAAAGTGGGAAGAGTATGAATCTTCCGACTTGGTTTTATTAATAATAGAAAGCCCATTTAGAACTTGTTCTAGTTGATGAAGCACTTCAAGTGATCCAAAAATGATTACTTTTACTTAGGTTTGTTGCCCACATTTTTTCCTGAAAACCACTTTGGTTCAAATCACTCTTCTGGAATTCCAGGTTTCCTTTGTATTTAAAATAATTTGTTTTCCTCTGCAGAGAAATAATGCAATGCAAAAAGCACTGAGTAAATGTGTTAACAGGATAGGACTGACAGTAATTCCTAGTGTGGCGCTGAGCAAGTCACTTAAGTTTTGTGCCCTCGAATTATTTGATTCTCGGTATGATTGATAAGGTAGTTTAGAAAAAAGATGTAATTATTCACTGTTTGCCAGAATTTTCTTAGAGTCTGTATCATAAATCTGTCCCTATGTACCTGAGGCATTGATGTACTATAACGTCGTGATGTAATGACTACAAAGCTGCCTTTGTCCTTACTCCAAGGTGGCCTTCTAGTTTGAAGTGGCAGGCTCTAACATTTCTTAAAAAATTTTCATTACCTAGATGAAATTTGTGGAATCTATTCTGAGCAACAATACAACAGATGACCACTGCCAGGAATTTGTGAATCAGAAAGGACTCTTGCCTTTGGTTACCATTTTGGGTCTTCCCAATCTACCCATTGACTTTCCCACATCTGCTGCCTGTCAGGCTGTTGCAGGTGTCTGCAAATCCATATTGGTAAGAAGCATTGGCCAAATACGTATATCTGTAATAGTTCTGCATATGTTCTTACTGTGGTCTCACCTTAAGCTAACAAATAATACATGTGTATTACGTTATATAGGTTAACTTTGTGACTAATAATATATAGTGTGCCAAATTATTTCTCACCTTTTTTTCTTTTCCTAAATTTGGTGTAGTTCTAGCATCATTTAGAGTTTATTGGAGGTAGAAGTGAGTTTATCTACACGAAAAAAATTGCAGCTGGGTTTTATTAATGAGTTTTTTTTTTTTAACAATCTGGCATTTTTACTGCTTCACGACCTTTCTTGTTAGAAAGAGACACAAGGATACTTAATTAATTCTTTTGGTGGAAAAAAAAATTTCATATTCACCCAGGAGTTTGTTCATCATATATGTTCTTCATGAACTTTTTTTTCCACCAAAATGAACTTTTTAGTCCCTTTTCAGCGAATGTTTTCCAAGATTCATGGAGAATGAGAGGCTTTTTTCCCACTAGTTCATTCTGCAGATGGCCTGAAGAGACAGTACTGGACAAGGCAGAAGCCAGGAGTTTCATCCAGGTGTCTCACAAATGCCTGGCAGAGGCCCAGGCGTTGAGGCCATCTTCTCATGCTTGCTCAGATGCATTAGCAGAGAGCTGGATTAGAAGGGGAGCAACTGGAACATCAATTAGTACAATACGGGATAGAAGCACTGAAGCCAGCAGCAGAGCAACTTTATGCCACGTTGACAATGTTGACTACCCCTCAATGAATTTTGAATTATTTCCATATATATTTTTAGTGTCATTGACTTGCATAGTTCACTAATCGATTCTTAACTAAAAATGAACATCCTTTAGCTTACTTTTCCTACTTTTGGTAAATCATACATGATGTGAAACTTGCTATCTTAACCATTTGGAATGTATAGTTCAGTCACATGGTAGTGTAACCAATCTCCAGAAGTCTGTGTTGAAAGGCTGAACAACTACTTCTCATTTTCCCTTCCCTCCTGCCCTTAGCAACTGTCATTCTAATTTTTGTCTCTACATTTGACTACTCTGATATAGAGGCACTTACTTCTCTCCTTGTGACTCATTGCACTGAGTGTGATTATGCCCTCTAGGTATATTTGTTTTGCAACCTGTGACTTTTTTTCCCTTTCTGAAGTTGCATACTATTTCATTGTATGTGTAAGCCTCCATTTTTCCCTTGATCTGTTGATGCATATTTGCATTGCTTCTACCTTTTGATGATCACGGATGGTGGTACTCTGAAAACAGGTACCATATCTTGAACATCTCACTTTTAATGCTTCAAGATGTGTAACTGCGATAGTTGTATCAAATGGGCATTCTATGTTTAATATTTTTTTTTTGAAGAACCACCAAACTATTTTCCATAGCAGCTTTACCAGTGTACATCTGCCCCAGCAATGTGTAAGGGTTCTAAGTTCTCAACCATCTTCATCTCTTTTCATTGTTTTTCACTGTTGCCATCACATTTGGTATGAAGTGATATTTTAATTTTGCCTTACATTTTCCTAAAGTTCACTGGTGTTTAGTATCTTTTCATGTTATTTTTGCCCTTGCTTATATCTTGAAAAAGGTCTGTTCAAGTCCTTTGTACATTTTGAAGTGGCATTTTAAATTGTTGGTCGGTAGCACCTTTTAAATGAATTCTATATATTATATATTAATGCACTATTAGATTCATTGTTTGTAAGTATTTTTCCAATTGCATGATGTGGATCCAATTGCACGATGTGGTGTTTGGCACACGAAAATGTTTTCCTTTCGACGAAGTTCAATTTATCTTTTGTTTCTGTTTCCTGTGCTTTTGGTCTTATATTCGAGAAATCATTGCTCAGAGTCGTGCAACTTACACCCTATGATTTTCTTCCAGCTATTGATGAATTTAGCATTTAGTGGGCCATTTAATTCTTATACCCTTTTAGAGTGAGTTGTTTTTTCATGTGGTGCAGGATAAGTATCAACTTAATTCTTTCACATGCAGGTATGTGGTTTTTGCCAGCACTATTTGTTGAAAGACTTTCATTCAGTGGTCTTGACACCGTTGTTAAAGCCATAGATTGACTGTTTGCTTTGGCTTCTTTTTTCTGTTCCATTGGTCTAAATGTCTGTCTTTATACCAGTACCACAGTTTGAATTCCTGTGATTTGAAATCAAGTAGCAATCTGGAAATGCAAGACCTCTAATTGTTTTTTCTCAGGATCCTTTTTACCACGTGGTTTGTTGAAATCTCCTATGGATTTTTGGAAAAATTTTTCTATTTCTGTAGAAAACAAAAACGATAAACTGTCATTGGGATTACTGCAAAAACTCCAATATAGTGACATACTAACTCACTGGCTTCTCAGTGTGCATAATTGTGACATGATTTCACTCGATTTTCTGTACGTATTGATTTCAGTGTTACATGTAAGACACATGGGAAAGAAAGGATGCATCTTCATGCTACCTACAAGAAACGCTGTAGTGCAAGTTGGCTTAGATTTACTTAACATCGGAAGAAGACGCCTAGTTTCTCCTGTGCTTGAATTGCATGAAATTGATATTTTACTGTCAGATTTTTTTCCCTCAGGTTTGAAAAAAAAAAATGGATCATGTAATCCATAGGTTGCCTAGGTGATATCTGTCCCAGAATTGTTTCTTGTCTTATGATGAAACTGACACTTTAATAGTGATATGCTTCCATGGTTTAGAACCCTTAAATATTATTGCTTCCTACTGAGAAAAAATTTGTAATTGATCTTAAAGCTTAATCTTTTGAATAAATGCATTCCAGTTTTCCCATCTTTTCTGGATGATTGGCTTACAACATCTGTCTTTTTAGAAACAGTTTTTGAGGTACCTGGTATCTGAGTTCATAATGTGGTTGTACCATGTATCACCTGAGAGACCCATGATTGTCAAATTTGGGAGACTTTGATAAGCGCTTTCTTTGTGACTAGCAAAGCTGCGATGCATATGAAGATCATTGCCTACTAACAATGTAATTATTATTCTTGTTTCAGACATTGTCGCATGAACCCAAAGTCCTTCAGGAAGGTCTCCTTCAGTTGGACTCAATACTCTCCTCCTTGGAGCCATTACACCGCCCAATTGAATCCCCTGGGGGATCAGTGTTGTTGCGAGAGTTGGCTTGCGCTGGTAATGTTGCTGATGCTACCCTCTCAGCGCAGGCCACACCTCTGCTACATGCACTTACTGCTGCGCATGCCTACATCATGATGTTTGTTCATACTTGCAGAGTTGGACAGGTAAGAATAATGTGAAACACATAGAGCATACACTTGATAGGATTCCCTGCTTAGAAGCAGAACAACCTGGGCTGTCAGCTGAAAAAACTATCAGATTTAGGGTGAGAAGTTTTGACAGTGTCTATCCTTGCAGTGGCAAGTTTGTGTTTCTGCTTCAAGTTCTTATGGCTTTACTAACCTCTGTGACAGTATCACTTATTATATGAACCCCTTTGATTCAGGAATATGTTTAGCAATGGTGTTCACCTTTCTCTTTACAAAAAGTCAAAAATTGCTTGTAAATTGGAGAATCCTATGTGGAACTGTGCTGTTAGATGTGGACATTTTCATGAAGAACATGTTTTGTTGAAGAAAGGAAAAAGAATCTCAATCTTGCTTAAAATTGATTTGGAATGCAGTTGGTAAAAGGAAATCTCAAATATAAAATTCTTTCTGCTTTTTCTGCAGAGTGAAATTCGGTCAATTTCTGTAAACCAATGGGGCTCTCAGTTGGGCCTGAGTGTTCTGAGCAAATTGAGCCAGTTATATTGTTCCCTGGTGTGGGAAAGCACTGTTCTCCTCTCTCTGTGTACCCCAAACAGGTAAGAGAATAGTCGTTATACCTTTGGTTATATCTGTGAGCTTTTCTGGCAAAGACAATAAGCTCAGGAAATCTTCACACTGGGTGTTGGTGATGGAAGGATATGGTGAAGAGTTCAGTCCTGTCCACTTAGCAACCTGTGGACTACATTCAGAGGAGCATCTGACCCATTTGAGCTTGGTAGAATTTAAACTTTGGACCAGTTGTAAGTGGTATGTGAAGAACTGATTTTGTCAGTGAGCAAGTTAGAGAATACATCTAAGCATATTTGGAAAAGTTCCTGGAAAATGGACGTAAAATTGAAGTTTATTTTTGTCCAGAAAGATTTATTTGTTTGAAAAGGCAGGGTTACAGAATTGGGGAGAGGTACATACAAAAGTAGTCTTTCAGTGGGTTTGTTCCCCAGATGGCTACAGCAACTTCATGCTGAAGTTACCTGGGGTACCTACCACATGTGGGTAACAGGGGCCCAAACAGTTTGGCCCTCATTTGCTGCGTTTTGCAGGCCATTTATTCAGGAGCATCATTGGACATAGAGCATCCAGGACAGAAACTGGAACTAGTATGATATGCTGCTGAGATGGACTTTACCTGCTACACCACAATTCTGGCCCTGCAAAACATTTTTAAATCTATGCATGAAGCATGCTAGTTGTCTTCAGAAAGTTCATACAAAATGTTAGACAGCTAAAACAATGCATGTATTTCGAGGATTTTTTGCACCAAAATAAGCATGACGTAACTACAGGTTATAACTCACTCTTTTGTTACAGCCTACCATCTGGTTGTGAATTTGGCCAGGCAGACATGCAGAAACTTGTTCCAAAGGATGAGAAGGCAGGTACGACACAGGGCGGAAAAAGATCAGGTAACTCTAAGAAACTAAAATACTACTCATTCTCAGTTCTGTTCGTGTCTCTCTGTAGGTTTGTTCTAAAAACTTAATTAGCTCTCATCTGTAATCCTTCAATTTTCATCCTGTTTTAGTCATTTACTTTAGAAATATATATGTACATATAATTGCAAAAAGTAGAAAATATAGGAGAAAGAAGAATCCCCCAGTTTTTCTTCAGCATATCTAGGGGCATTTGTGATGTCTTAGAAAGTACTTAATAGTTTTCTTGCTTTGCTTAATATTAGTTGCCACGTAAAGTTAAATAACTTGTCCATTCCCTGTTAAGTTTTCAGGGTATTGTTTTGAATAATGAACATCTTTATATGTTCATTGATTAATTCCTAGAAATCACTATATTAAAACATTTTGATAATCTGAACTAAAACTATTTTTAGTTTTTAATGTAAAATCTCAATACTCAATAGTTTTATTGCAGTGGGTTAAGCAGTGTATTTCTAACTTCATGTGTTCACTTTCCAAATTAACTGCTAGGAAAGATAAAATCATCTGTAACTCACATTATGATTCTTTCAGGTAGTGCTGACTTACATAGTTGCTTTCGCCATATAATGCTTTTGAGGCATACATCAAAATCATACACACTTTTTAACCTAAGTGTAGGCCAAAAATTAAGAATTTTTCCAGAAAGTATTCCTGTGTTCTATATCAAGATGTGAAAAATAGTAAACTATTAAGAAGAAATATCTATGTGTAGAAACCTAGTGGATAAGTTTAAAATTGTACTGAAATTACTAAGGAGAGCGCAGGAGAAAATAACACTAAAAGCAGGACCTTGGATCTCTGTCTGTCCAGTGGGTGGCAGGGACTCGGGCCGTGGGTTGTCTATCACTGCCGTCCCAGGTGCATCAACACGGAAGCTGAATTTGAAGAATTGCCAGGATTCAGCTGCTGCTCTGCTATGGGATGCTGGCTTCACCATGTGTGCTGATCTCCCTCATATGCCCAAATCAATTACAGATATCAAACAGTTTACTAAGAACTGAGAATGAGATTAGGTTTACTTTCAGGGAACTAAATATTCTAATATTCCAGATGAATTTTCCTGCAGTTTATTAAAAACAGTTGAAGATGACATACTTTCTGCCCAATTTTTAGGATACTAGTACAAATCCTGGTAACTTGTTCTAGTTTGCATAAAGATGATGTATTCTTATAAGATTTATTTATTTTCATTGGAAAGGTAGATCAGATTTACAAAGAAAAGGAGATGCAGGAATAAAGGTCTTGCATCTGCTGGTTCACTCCCCATGTGGCTGTAATGGCCAGAACTGAGCCAATCTGAAACCGGGAGCCAGGAGCTTCTTCCTGGTCTCCCACATAGGTGCAGGGTCCCAAGACTTTGGGACATCCTCCACAGCTTTCCCAGGCCGCAAGGAGAGAGGCGGATGAGTTGTGGGAGCGCCCATGTGGGATCCTAGCATGTGCTAGGTGAGGAATCTAGACACTAGGCTATCATGCTGGACCCAACATATGTTTTTAAATCCTTAGAGCACATGCATTTAAAATAATTCCTAACTACTGGAAATAGAATTCTCCCCTAGTAAAAAAAAAAAAAAAAGGTACAATTTGAAATTGTTGGAAAATTCTACAGGGCTCCTGCATTGAGCAACAGACTGTAGTCCATGAATGGTGCCTGCCCATGTCTGCCCTTTGATGGATATGCTTAGTAAGCTCCAGACAGAATAGCATCAGTTCAGTTTTCCTTTTTTGTTTGTTTGTTTGTTTGTTTGTTTTGTTTCCGCAAAAGAACAAATTCCAGGGGTAGCTCTTACTCTTCATCACAAGGCACAAAATAAGTGATTCCTCTAGAAGGTCTTCATGTTTCCTCTTGTGTCTACAGATGGAGAACAGGATGGGACCGCTGGAAGCATGGATGCTTCTACCCAGGGATTATTGGAAGGCATTGGGCTGGATGGTGACACCCTGGCTCCCATGGAAACAGATGAACCTACTACTTCAGACTCTAAGAGCAAATCGAAAATTACACCAGCTATGGCTGCCCGAATTAAACAGATCAAACCTTTGTTATCAGGTTAGCAAATTTCTTTTTCTACTTCAATTTTTTTAATTTTCAGAGCCTTAACCAGTCCTCAAACTGTTTGTTTGTTTTTTATTTAAGAAAGTGCAAAGTGCTATGCCTTGCTTTCAGGTGTAGTTTGCTTTATGTCTGTTGTGTATCAGGCTCTATACTAACTGCCAAGGAACTGGAGATAAGGAATCTCATTCCAAGAACCATGTCTCCCCTCCCCACTTTAATTCTTTCCCTGCTACTCTTCACTTATTGCAAATACTTCCTTCTTCTGTTCCACTAATGTTGATTCCACTTAATCTGTTTAATTTCCCTGCTGACCTGTCTGCATCTGGACAGATTGCCCACCATTTTCTATTCAAAGCACTCTACCTTTGGTTCGTGCGTTCCTGATTTCCACCTCTCCCTCTTTCTGTCCTTTCCTCAATGTTGGTGGCAGATGATAGAGCCTGGTGTGGGTTTTATTGAAGTCACTCGAAACTCCATGGATATCATAGACAGGAATTTTTTAGCCCTTAAAGTCATTTCAGTGTTGTGTTTTGTACATTCCTTTACTGTTGCCTCTTCCTAACAACTTAATATAAAGAAACGTGAAAGTCTAACTTCTGGAAATTTGGAAGGAATGCTAGTGAAATGCAGAAAAGTGGCCTTTGTCATCTTAAATTCTTATGAGATTTACATTTTTTCCTACTTTTTTAGATTTGAAAGTTTATCAGCAGTATTCCTAAATTGAACTTGACTTTTTTTGATGTAGCCTTGGCACACTACCTTTGAGTCACTTTGCTGTTTACCTGAAAGCCATAGTGAAAAATGGAAACTTTATGTTTTGATATGATTTTCCCATTGATTCTAATTCATTCAATTTTCAGCATCTTATTACACCAATCCTACAACCAGTATGTAAAACCTATAGATATATAGATTGGCTATACAGTTACATATATGGATAGATAGATATCTGTTACCTGGGATTAAGAGATCCCAATTTGAACGGAAAGGACTTTGTATATTTCAAGAGTTACTCTGTTTTTAAGCATGGCATGTGACATGAGTCCAAGTAGAACTTGTTCCTATACCTTGGGTTCTTATGGGCATATACATGTTTACAAGACATTTTTTGAAGGTTTATGTTATTTATTTGAAAAGCCACATTTATAGAGAGGTTGGGGAGAAGAGAGTTGTTCCATCTGCCTGTTCACTGCCAGAATGGCCACAACAGCTGGGGCTAGGCCAGGCTGAAGCCAAGGAAGTAGGAGCTTCTTGCAACACCACTCTTGCATGTGGGTGCAAGCATCTAAGCATTTGGATCATGTTTGCTTCTCCAGGCAAATTAGCTAGGAGTTGCATCAGAAGTAGAGCAGGCAAGACTATACAACAATAGTGTAAAGTACAGAACAATTTTTAAAAACTATGAAGCAGTGTTTGTGTTAATTTTTGTTCCTTTTTACGTGTTGTCTTTAGATATAGTTGTGGTCTTTTTCGCTCAGCCATGTAATGGTGCTTCAAAAAGAAAAGTTCATGGAAAATGGAATTTAAACTTAGTTTATCTAAATTCAGAAATTGAAGTCCATGAGCATGAGTGGTTTTCAAGTTCTTGGAAAGTTTGTGTTATGAAAAAAAACATTGAATTTTGCTATTGTTTGCAATTAAAAACCCTTATCTTTTCATTCTATTTTTCCATAAACATTTTATTTTGTGATTTTGAATTTCCCATGTGCGTTTTGAAGTACCCACATAAATTGAACATATCCTATAGAGAGGAACAGTTGAAGTTTCTGTAATTCTTGTGAAATGTGAGTGGTCAGGCATAAGACTATATTAATGATAATGAGCATGTTGTGATGAAACCATTTTGAGAATGCAGCCTGATCTTGTACTTTCTGGTTCCAGCTTCATCTCGATTAGGCCGAGCACTTGCTGAGCTATTTGGACTCCTTGTTAAGCTGTGTGTCGGGTCTCCTGTTCGCCAAAGAAGGAGTCACCATGCTGCCAGCACCACTACAGCACCAACACCCGCAGCTCGATCCACAGCCTCCGCCCTCACCAAGCTCCTTACAAAGGGTTTGTCTTGGCAGCCCCCACCATATACGCCTACTCCACGCTTCAGGTGAGTTTCTGCTTTACAATGAAAGAACTAGAGTCTTGCCAGCTATGCAATGCATAGTTAATTCTATTTAAATAAGGATTGTACTGTTCAGTTACAGAACTAGGATGTCACTTGCTACCTCTCAATTCGTACCTTACCTTAAAGTGTAAGGTGTTAGTTTATGTGTTTTAAATTGCAATTCAGTAACTTCACTGCATCTGCCTTCTACTACTTTGTCACGTGAATGAGTTATAAACTGTTACACATGACTTTTTACATAAATGCTCCATTGCTGCTGATGCATTGTTTGACTCAGAGAAGTTGAAGCTTTTCATTTGCCCTCTTTCAGGCTGACGTTCTTCATCTGTTCGGTTGGTTTCACATCCCCAATGCTGTTTGATGAGAGGAAGTATCCTTACCATCTCATGCTACAGAAATTTCTCTGCTCTGGAGGCCACAATGCTCTTTTTGAGTAAGGATCATTTGCTGCAAAGAGGAGCATGTCTTTTTGAAGTTTGATCTTTCCTGGATGCCTTTCGAGCCCACAGCTTTCTAGGTCACCTATGTTGTGACACTCGGATATGTAGTGGTGATATTCTTGGTGATGTGAACTTCACACATTGATTTTCCTTGGAAAAAGATATTTGTTGTGTCCTCGGAGTATTTAGCCTCCACCCCTTCCGTTTTGTGCTCTCTACTGAATGTAGGTTACAAATGACATGGCCTGATGGGGCTTTATTGAAGTGACTGGCAGCTCCATGCATTATATGTGGGCAGGACATTTTTTAGCCCTTAATAGGCTTTGTTGTTTTGCTAAGTAGAGCAGTCTTTTTAATGTTCTTGTTAACAAAGATTTTAAACTGCTCCATACCTTCGCTTTGCTAGGTTAGGCCTGGCTATGGGAATCTCTAAAAAGTACAATTAATAAATGGTGGAGAAACCTGTAGATCAAATCTAGAGATTTGAGACCTCTTAAATGTAACCCCTTCTACCCCCAATTAAAATACTAATACGCTATCTCCTTACTTTTTCTTACTTGAATTTAGAACTTTCAATTGGGCTCTGTCCATGGGAGGCAAAGTTCCTGTTTCTGAGGGATTAGAACATTCAGATTTACCTGATGGTACAGGAGAATTCCTAGATGCCTGGCTTATGCTCGTCGAGAAGATGGTCAATCCCACCACGGTGCTTGAATCTCCACATTCTCTGCCTGCAAAATTGCCAGGAGGAGTCCAGAACTTTCCACAATTCAGTGCCCTCCGTTTCCTTGTAGTAACCCAAAAAGTGAGTATTTGACATTTAAAAGCAAGAAACAGTTCTCATACTAAATAGTTAACTCCCATTTCAATCCATCCTCCTTGGAGAAGTAGTGTGATTGGTGAAGAACAGAAGGGACTACAGACTAGGGAATTTTCTGTATTATACACACTTGTTTGAACTGTAAATTAATTGGAGATTGCCCCCCTCAGATTGAATTCTGTTTCCTTCCTCCGAGCTTCCTTGGGAGCTCTCAATGCCAGCCTTGGGTTATTATTGGTTACAGTGATTTTGAAAGGAGAATTCCATAGTCTTTGAACCTTTTCCCCCTAGGACTTTGAACTGAAGCAAATTGATCTTTACCAATGTTTCATATAACAGGCTGCATTTACTTGCATCAAGAACCTGTGGAATCGGAAACCCTTGAAGGTGTATGGTGGACGAATGGCCGAGTCCATGCTGGCCATTTTGTGCCATATCCTGCGTGGAGAACCTGTGATTCGGGAGAGATTAAGCAAAGAAAAGGAAGGATCTCGAGGAGAGGAAGATACAGGGCAAGAAGATGGTGGTTCTCGCCGGGAACCTCAGGTCAACCAGCAACAGCTGCAACAGGTAAGGTTCTTGCCTTACATGCCACGCTCCAGACTGTGTACCCAAACCAGTCCAGTGTTCTGAGTTTTCTAGGTTCGTGTACCACTAAGTGCCCTGTCCTGTTAGCATAATTCACTCCCTCGCACAGCAAGCAGTATTCTACAGTATTCTCCAGCCCAAAGCTGGAGTGTGGTCCTGGTACTATGGCACCAGTGGTTTCTTTGTGTATCCCCAAGCACGTGCAGCTCTTAAAGAGTATCCTCAGTAGCTTGCTTCTGCCAGCTTGTTTGGAAGCTATCGCAGCCCATTTTCTGTTGCTGATAATACCATATCACAAACTGGGTGTCAGTTATAAAGAAAGGAGATTTATTTTGACTCACGGTTCTGGTTCCAGGGGTAAGGCACTGCAGCTTGTGGTGAGGGTGTTTTTACTTAGAGTCCCAGGGCAGTACAGGGCATGGATGGTGAGAGACCTAGACAAGCTCTTTTATAGCAGACCCACTCTGAACGTAATCTATTAATCCATTAGTTGCATGAATAGATAAATCAATAATTCGCCTCTTATCTAATATTGTTATTTAAATTTCAACAAGATTTTTAGAGAAACCATAACAGATGCAAACTTTGCTTGGCTAATTTCTGGTTAATCTGTAAAGGTTAAGGGATACTGTGGTCTGGATTTATTCTCCAAGAGCAGTTTGAAACCTAAATCACTGCAAAAATTTTTCTCTACTTTCAAATAAATTTTTTTACCGAAATTTTGGAAATTGCAGACTAGAAGGAGGAAGGAAATGACACATCAGATCCTTCCACTTCAACCTCGAAGTGTTTCAGCATTTTGCTCTTGGAATTTTTATGTATGTGTGTTTCCTGTGTCTAGAGTCCTTTTCCCATCTGTCCTCTATTACATGCATGCACCATTTCTTTTGAAAAGTAATAAATGCTCTCTTTAGAACATTTGGAAAGCATAGCCAAGTATCTTTTTTTACAAGGCATTCAGAATGACTACCTTCACAAGGCAGTCATTGTTTTCCTTTCTAAGTCACTTGGTTCCGTGCCTAATTTTTCAACCTAGTCAACATCAAACAATATGTAAAACTGTAGCGCTGTCATTATGAAATATTTTTGTTTGATGTTTAAAAGCTGTGGGGTGTAGTTGCCTTATGTGCATCTCATGTTAATCGCTATAGCAGTAGAAAATTCCTTAATAAGTTTTATGGGCACATTTTCAATTACTAGTTTGTTTTCTATACCCTTTGTGGTTCAGTGTAGAAATCTCAACCTTTTAATTATAGTTAACCCTGTTAATCACAATAACCTCCTCTCCTCCTTCCCCTCTTTCGTAGCGAATGGAAATGAGAATCACCTTGATTTCCTTCCTCAGTAACTTTAATGTTTCAATGCTGTGGAAGCACTAAGCTGAAAGGGTTGTTCATGTTACTAACTGCCTTTACTTATACATGCTCTCAGTTCTTATCTTAAACAGAATCCTTTCTTTCTAAAATGCATTTGAATTTTTCGGTTCGTATGGTGCTGAACTCTTGCATTCTTTTTATAGCTCATGGACATGGGCTTCACAAGGGAACATGCCATGGAGGCCTTGTTGAATACCAGCACCATGGAGCAGGCCACAGAGTACCTTCTAACCCACCCTCCTCCAATCATGGGAGGAGTTGTTCGAGTGAGTTGGCTCAGGAGCTCTGGTTTTCGAGGATATTGCTTTGGCTACCGATATCCTTTTTTTTTACCCTCATCCTTCCATCACTGATCTTTCTATAAGCTGCTTCTCATTTTCAAATACCTCCATGCCAATATTTTCTTTTTCATGCTAACTCTCAAATCTCCATAATATAATGACCAGAAGTTTCCTAAACCTCGGCCATGCAAATTACTGGACTTGGTTTGCAAAATAACCCATAGCCAGAAAGCACTAGAAGAGGCAGAATTTCCTGAGATGGAGAGTTAGGTGGTCACATTGAAGCCCCTTTTCTATGCTTAATTTTCATTCTAATTTATCCCCTGGGTTCTTATAGTCACCAGGTAAGCCTAGATGGTTTTCTCTAGAGAAAGCAGCATTTGACAACCCTCTCCATCTCTAACATATGAGCACAAGATGTCTGAATCCTTGTCAGTTGGGGCAGTCGCATTGGGTTCCTGTGTGGATCTATGTAGTTGCTGGATTTTCTGTTGTCTTTCTGTAGGATCTCAGCATGTCCGAAGAGGACCAGATGATGAGAGCAATTGCCATGTCTCTGGGACAGGATATCCCAATGGATCAAAGGGCAGAGTCACCTGAGGTAACTAGCGAATAGAATTCTGAAGAGCTTGGTACATCCCTTAGCTTTGTAGTAAAATGGAAACTTATGCCATGTAATTGGCAGAATTAAAGTCTAAAGAAAGACAATGTGAGCACCTGTTAGTCCCAGCTATGCCATCTATCTTTGAGCTACGTCATATTGTCCTGAATCTTTATAGATGAAGCACAAGAAACATTAATCATTATCGCCAGATATGACACGTAAAAATATATATGCTAGTGCCCATTAGGATAAATTTGTGGGATGTAGTTTAAGATGCTTTAGATGAATTGTCAGTGTTTTATGAAATGGAGATTTTTCTTCCCTTTTGCCTTCCCCACTTTGCCTTAACCTGTGTGTCTGCCCTCATGCTTGTTACCACACTCTGAAGTGTTAATTGCTTGCCGAGAAGGTAGAGGGTGTTAACGTGATGGCACATCTGTTCTGACAGTCTTCCACCTCTCCCTTGTGCTGTCCCTTCCCTTCCCTTCCCTTCCTCCAGGAAGTTGCTTGCAGGAAGGAGGAAGAAGAACGGAAAGCCCGGGAAAAGCAAGAAGAAGAAGAAGCCAAATGCCTAGAGAAATTCCAAGATGCTGACCCTCTGGAACAAGATGAACTCCATACTTTCACAGACACAATGTTACCAGGCTGCTTCCACCTTCTTGATGAGCTGCCAGACACAGTGTATCGCGTATGTGATCTGATCATGACAGCGATCAAACGTAATGGAGCAGACTATCGGGACATGATTCTGAAACAAGTAGTCAATCAGGTGAGCTCACAGGTAGCCATAAGAAGGGACTAAGTGAAGTCGTTCTCTGTCGTCTGCCCAAACCTGCTTTCTGAACTACCAGGATTTTTCAGTTTCCCATATGGATATGTTTAACTTCTTTTGATCTAGTAACCTGGCTGTGGCAACAGTGCACTAACTGTTTTGAGAAAGCAAAACAGAGCTCTTCTCTAGTCTTGTAAATATCCAGAAGATGTCTTGTGCTGCAGGTGAATTAGGTCCCCCGTGGGTTTCAGGTGAATAAATGATTTTTCCTTCTTTGTGACAACCTCAACAATTGGGTCCCCATTCTGGCGAGTATTTATGAGGAGGTGGGTTTCTCTCTTCAAAAAAGAGGTGTTTGTTGCTGTTGTTGTTGTTGTTGTTTAAAGGCAGCTTGATTTACACAGAGAAGAGAGGAGAAAGAAAGAGCTTTTATCCACTGGCTCACTCCCCAGTTAGCCACAGCGGCCAGAGCTGAGCTGATCCGAACCCAGGAACTGGGAACTTCTTCCAGGTCTCTAACACGTGCAGGGTCCAAGGCTTTGGATTGTCCTCTACTGACTTACTGCTTTCCTAGGCCGTAAGCTGGGAGCAGAATAGAGCAGGGACACTAACCAGCTCCCATATGGAATGCTGTATATGCGATTGGGTAACTGTACATTTATGAAATACAGTGTGATAATTTGTTAGGTTTTGTAAAGTGTCACCATTCCTCTATCACTGAGTATCATTGCTTTGTATTGGCAAACTGTAAACAGGACTCCTATTTCTTTATAACATGTAGAATAATATTATTTTTCATAACTTTTAAGCTTCAGTGAAGATGGAAATCAAAAGATGCAATCATTTGTGGTGACATCTACATAAAATTATTGATTTTTTTTCCAGAGAGCATTTTAAGCCCTGGCTATTGGGGGCATTGGGATATGAACCAACAAATGGCAGATATATCTCCCTTACTGCCTTAAAAGTGTCTTTGGAGTATCAATTTCCTTGTTTATAATGTGGTCCAAGAAAGTAGTCATTTTGTTGATCATCCTTTAGGGGCATATATATCTTTTGATACAAATGCCAAATCCTTTAGATAGCTAAATGTTACTGTTTAACTGCCTCTCTTCAGTGAATCTAGTAACTTAGAATGGAGCATGCTAAAAAGCTAAACCTATTACCTGACTTCTCCCCCCATGTTCTGTCCCCCGGCAGGTTTGGGAAGCTGCTGACGTATTGATCAAAGCTGCTCTTCCACTGACAACAAGTGACACAAAAACTGTGTCAGAGTGGATCAGCCAGATGGCTACCCTCCCCCAGGCCTCCAATTTGGCTACTAGAATCTTGCTTTTAACTTTGCTCTTTGAGGTAAGACTTGGATTTTTTTGGGTCCTATGATTGATATATGAAAGAAATACCAAGTACCTATTATATATGAAACATTGAATTTAAAGAAGGCTATGAGGCATGATCACTGTGTTTCTAGAACCCAGCATCCCCTAAGTTAAGATGTGCATAGTATAAAATATAGTTCTCTGCTACACCAGTGGCACCAGCAGTACGTCATTGTGTGTGTTCATGGAAGGCATATGTGTGTCATTCAACTACATTGTGTCACAAAGAATTATATGGTGGCAATTCAAAAGGAGAGTATTCAAATTGCTCTCATAATGTGATCCTGGAATGTTTTTGCACCATTGTATACCTGTAAGTGGAGGAGTGTAGAAATTAAATTTGTTCAACGGGAAGGTGGCAAGCATCAGGTACAATCTGATTCCTCTTCGTTTCTTTTCCTGATTGGTCAGATTTATTGAGACACTTGCAAGGTTTGTACCAGGCATGATTCTTGTTCTAAGTAACGTAGAAACTAGGAGATAATTAACCATGAGTTGCTCATTGGTAGCTTATCATGTTAAAGTTTAAATGGAACATATTCAACTACACCCCTAACAGCAATTCTAGAAGTAAGTCCAATATAGGGGCCACATGCCGCTTTCCTTTATCATGTAGCTTTCCTTTATGACAGACATAGTCATTTTTTGTAGCACTACAAATATATTATATACTTGTGGGGGGATGCGCAAGTTCTGACTGACAGTTGGAGGTCCTGAGTAACAAAACCCAAAAATCCCTCATGGTCTCATCAGTCTTATTATTTTCCTCTGGTCTTTTTCTATCCACTCAAACAATTGAAATATACTTACAAGGTGTTAGACTCATTTTATTCAGTACTGTCTGAATATTTTGTCATGTTGTGGATACATTGTTTCATCTTTTGGTTATTCTTTAACTTAGATAAATAATTTAACTTTTGTTGAATATTTACTTTCAGAAGTAACATTTTCCTGCCGCCCTATAACCCCAGGATCAAAAAAAGTAATGTGTTTATCCCATCTGCCTTGTTAAAATTCTAAAATGTCTCTAATTTAGAAACTACACTTCCCACATAGTTAAGGATTTATGGCTAGGGTCAAAACTCCCATTGATGTAAGTAAGAGCATTCATATTAAGCACATAGTAATGCCCCAGGCAGTTTGTAGGACACATTTATTTATTGGAGATAAAAAATTGAATTCTCTTAGATTCATTGGAAAACCAAAATCCAGCAAGTTCAGGTAACTCATCACATTTTTGCCCAATAGGTAATGGAAGGAGGTGGAATTTGATTTCAATTATGTTACTTGTCTTACTATTTGCTTCAGTGTTCTACAGTTTCTTACTTCTTAGTACTGAATATCACTTGGTATCTAGTTGGTTTGTTTGTTTTTCCCTTTGATCGACAAATTAGGAGTTGAAGCTACCTTGTGCTTGGGTGGTTGAATCCAGTGGCATCCTTAATGTTTTAATCAAACTTTTGGAAGTGGTTCAGCCTTGCCTCCAGGCCGCCAAGGAACAGAAGGAAATACAGACCCCAAAGTGAGTAACTATTTACTTATTTTAATAGATTTATTTTCTTTTTATTGGAAAATCAGATATATGGAGAAGAGGAGAGACAAGAGTGGAAGGTCTTCCATTAGTTGATTCACTCCCTCAGCAGCTGCAATGGCCAGAGCTATGTCAATCCAAAGTCGAGAGCCAAGAGCCTCATCTGGGTCTCCCACATGGGATCAGGTTCCCAAGGCCACAAGCAGGGAATTGAATGGGAAACTGGACCACCAAGATTAAAATCAGCAGCCATTTGGGATCCCATGGAATGCAAGGCGGCGGGGACTTTAGCCACTAGGCTACTACACCTGGCCTGAGTAACTTTTTCTGACCTGTTTGTTCTTGCATTGCACTGGGCCTTGACCCCCTATTTTCTGGTTCCTGTGTGGATCAAATCTTGAGTACTTTAAGTGTTTTGATGAGTCTTGACATGCCTAATGAAATCAAGAGAAGGTTGCCAATTTGTACATCATATTTCAGACATTTTTGTTTTCGTTTGCAGGTGGATCACCCCAGTGCTGCTCCTGATCGACTTCTACGAGAAGACAGCCATATCCTCGAAAAGGAGAGCACAGATGACTAAGGTGTGTGTTGTGGGGCGTTTGTTTGCTTGGTGGGACATTGCAGCTTTTCGAAAGGAGCAGTTCAGAAGAGAATGTTGGAGAGCATTGGAAAGAGTACATTTCTTAAAGCAATTTGTAGAGATGTCTCTTAATGGAATAGGGAGGTAGAATTAACTTTGTATGGAACTGCTTGCCAAATGCCCCAAAGCTCTTACTCTGGAAGTCACTGCTTAAAGCGTATAAAGGCTTGAGAGGATTAATGGCTCTGATGCTACAAGAAGGACTAAGTTCCAAAGACGAAGATGCCCGTACCTTCTCAGGAACAAATTTGTGTTGCAGTATATCTCAAATGAACATTCCTCTTTACGGGAAAATATTTGGAAAAAAAAAAAAAAGGAAGGGAGAAGATGGATTTTTGCCTAAATAAATGCTAAGGAATGTGAGGGCAAATGTCAGATGTCCAGTAGTCCGTTTTCCTGAATTAGATTTATCGGTGAATGATTATGATGTTACTAAAACTGACAAACTTGAAGCAAATACAAAGAAGAAAATGTTTTTGCTTTGACATCTAGTACCTACAGTCCAACAGTAACAATTGGCGCTGGTTTGATGACCGCTCTGGGCGTTGGTGTAGTTACAGTGCAAGCAACAACAGCACTATTGATTCTGCCTGGAAATCAGGAGAAACAAGTGTGCGGTTCACTGCAGGCCGAAGAAGATACACTGTCCAGTTCACTACAATGGTGCAGGTATACACTTATCCAATACCATAAACTGCATTGAAAAGAGGTGAATGTGGTAGGTGTCCCTCACGGTTTTCATTCCAAAACAGCAGGATTACGACTACTTAGTTTTGCTATTTCAAAGTTATTGAGTTATGCTTTTCGTGAGGGTTTTTATCTGAGGGTTCGGTGCCATGGTGTAGAAAGATAAGCCACCACAGTGGCTTAACATCCCACATGGGTGCTAATTCAAGTCCTGGCTGCTCTACTTCATATGCAGTTCCTTACTAATGACCTGGTTCCTTCACCAATGGCTGGGTCTGAGCCAGGTTGATGCTAGGTCCTCCAGTGTAAGTACCAGGGGTCCAGTACTTGAGCCATACTCTGCTGCTTTCTAAGGCACATTTAAAGGGGTGCTGGATCAGAAATGAAGCAGCCAGGTCTCATTGACACCCATAAGGAATGATGGCCTTGCAGAGAGCGGTTTCACTTTAGTATTACAGTGCCATCTAATACAGTCATGGAACCAACCATGAATCTGTGGCAGTTTGACATTATGCTTCCTGAAACTGGCTTTTTCTAGTCAAGGTTTAGAGAGTGATTGGAGTAGATGCTTGCTCTGCTGGAAAGTTTAAAGGGCTTCAATGTTTGCTACTTTCCTTTTGGCTTCTCTCTGTATGCGATTTGCTCATCCCTGTAGATTGCCAGGAGTTCTTCAAGATGCAGCATGTTCTTGGGAAGTCACTTCTCATACTCCTACATAATTCCTTGTTGCATAGAGGTTCTTTCTCTTTTATGTATCTATCTATTTATTTCTATTTCTTCTCCTAGGTTAATGAAGAAACGGGGAACCGACGCCCTGTGATGCTGACTCTTCTCAGGGTCCCACGACTAAATAAAAATTCAAAAAACAGCAATGGACAGGAACTGGAAAAGACCCTGGAAGAAAGCAAAGAAATGGATATCAAACGTAAAGAAAATAAAGGCAATGGTATAAACTTTCGTTTGCAATTTTAAGTCATACTTTAATCTATGATGTCTAAAGCCCAGGCTTAATGTCTGCCCACTTCCATGGTGCCTGGCTAGCTTTCTGGAAGATTGCCTTACACTTTAAAGATACACGATCTTCATTAAAGATTTATTTATGTATTATTTTTTATAGAACAGTTGCAGAGGTAGAGGCAGGGGGAGATGGGTCCGTCTGCCCAAATGGCTTCGGTGCCCAGAGCTGGGCCAAGTCAGAATCGGGTGCTCCTTTAGCTCCTTCCACATGGGTGCAGTGTCCCAAGCATTCGAACAGGCTTCTGCTTTCCCAAGTGCATTAGCAGGGATTTGCATCAGCTGTCGAAGAGCCACATCACAGCTGACCAGTCAGTCATATGGGAGGCATGCTCTTTTCTTCTTGTTAGAACCTAAGTGTTTAGCTGATTTGTTAGAAGGAGAGGTATGGCAGGAAGTGTCAAACTGTTTTTGTTTTTGCTCTTTATAGACACCCCATTGGCTCTAGAGACTACAAATAGTGAAAAGGATACAAGCCTGGAAGAAACAAAAATCGGGGACATCCTGATCCAGGGCCTGACAGAAGATATGGTGACTGTTTTAATCCGGGCCTGTGTGAGCATGCTGGGAGTCCCTGTGGACCCAGACACTTTGCATGCCACCCTTCGCCTCTGCCTGAGGCTCACCCGGGACCACAAATATGCCATGATGTTTGCAGAGCTGAAGAGTACCCGCATGATCTTGAATTTGACCCAGAGCTCGGGCTTTAATGGTTTTACTCCTCTGGTCACACTTCTTTTAAGACACATCATTGAAGATCCCTGCACACTCCGTCATACGATGGAAAAGGTGATTCTCATTAGTGTCATGCTGATTTAACTCTCTATCCTACCTTTATTTTCCTTGGTCTCAGATCTAAATAACTTCTGATGCTTTTTGGGATACATAACTAGATTTATGTGTATTTCATGTTATGTATGTACTACAACAGAACTCCTCAGCTGTATACTCGGAAATTTGCTTGGACATGGTAGAATTAAGTTTACTGTAGTAATGACTCCGATGTAGGAGCTCATCTCTAATGAGAGTGCCTCACAGGCAATCACCCATGAACTTGTTTTCAAAACCTTGTATTTCCAGGATATAAAAGTGTTGTAAAGCTTTTTGAGTCATTAGGATCTACTAGGCACAGTGAGAGGCACTTGAAAAAAACCTATGACAAAGCTAAGGAACTGATTTGTGTGTTTTAGGAAATATCTAAAGCAATGGAAGATAGAATACAGTCAATACAAAGGAATAAAAATGTAATTTTGTTAAAACAAACAGTAAGATTTAGCGAACATGTTATTCTGGTTTTTTTTTTTCTACTTAATTCTTTTTGGTAAAACATTAGTGATTCCCGGCTTCTGTCTGTTGGTTTATTCCACATGTGTTCCGCAATAGCAGAAGCTGGACCATGCTTGAGTAAGGATCCTAAACTCAGGCTCTCCCACATGGATGCAAAGGCTTAAGGACATAAGCCGTCTTTTACTGCTTTACCATGTACATGGAGTTGGCTCAGAAAGCAGGGTAGCCAGCACTCGAGCAAAGCTCTTAAGTATGGACTGGTATCCCAAGGACCAGTTTAGCTCATTGTGCCACAACCCATTGCTTCCCACGTTTATAAGTCATGTTACAATATACATACATGGTCATGCATGCCTTGGTTTATTTAAGATTTTAATTTTAGAAATCACATCAAAATTTAAAATATAATTTAACTTGATTTGCCAGAAATGTGGTGCCACTTACATTTCACTCTGCATCTCAGATTCTCCAAACATTTCTTAACCCTGTTTGATTTCACATCACATCTGGCACATCCTATAATATAGAGATTTTAATGCAGTAAATACAATTACAATTACAACAAATGCACACTACAAAACAAAGCATTGTAGTTGGTTAAATTGTTAATTTGCTTGAGAAAAATGTCAAAGTTTTTGCTGAATGAACGGAAAACTTTCAAGGTTTGAAATAAATTTTGATTGGATCCAGAGACAACCAAAGGGTGATCAGTGGCAGTTCAAATAGTCAAGCTGGCAAAATGAAAACAGTTGCTAATAGCTATTTCAGGTACAGGTGCAGGTATGGAAAACCAGGCATATTCTTCCATTTGGTAAGAGTAGACATTGGTGCAGCCACATTATAGAGCAGCGTTTTGTTGCTGTTTAAGATATCCTCTGACCTTGAAATTGTATGGCTAAGAGTTTTCCTGAGTAGCAACATCAGGCATGCCTACACAAGAGGGTTAGCTGTGGATTTGCTTCTAATACCAAGAAACCTGACGTTGCTAATGTCTCTCAATAGGGCACTGGATAGGTTATGACATTTTTTATATACCAGTAATTGTATATTTTGACCCATTCTGGTTTAAGATTGGGATGACATTGGGCAAGCTAGAATCTGGCACTGAGATGTGGAAGCTACCTGAGATCTGTGGTCTAAGCACATTTCCTGATTGCTGCAAGGAGCATGCAGCTCAAATCTGAATATTTGATGGTTTAGAAATATGACGCAACTTTTTGTGACTCATAATTTTTAATCAAGCATTGATAGGACAAGTTGTTAAAAATGAAACATCTTAATATTTTAATTAAGCTTGCTTAGTATCTTAATCCTTCAATTTCCTTGACAACATTTGTATTTTTAGAAAGCAGTGCTTAATTGGCAGTTTTTCTCCCTTTCTTTACCAGGTTGTCCGCTCGGCAGCTACAAGTGGGGCTGGTAGCACTACCTCTGGTGTCGTATCCGGCAGCCTAGGCTCTCGGGAGATCAACTACATCCTTCGTGTCCTCGGACCAGCTGCATGCCGCAATCCAGACATATTCACAGAAGTGGCCAACTGCTGTATACGCATCGCCCTTCCAGCCCCTCGAGGCTCGGGAACTGGTGGGTTTGACTTGCTTCTGGCCACATTTATGGTGATGGCCTGGTGTAACTCCCGAGGTTTCCCTATCAGGAGGTCTATAACTTGAATGGCCTCCTTGCCTAAATGTTGCAACATTGGCTGATGTAGTCCTTTAGGTCAGTTCAGTAGGTGCCTCAGCATCTTCTGATCACTTCCAGACAAATCAAGGATTCAGCCAGTGCAGTCCTTGCCTTCAGAGAGCTCTGTAAGTAGGGTAGTAGGGCTTACCTGCTGCTATGGATTACATACAATGTAGTAATTATGAGACAAATGGATGTCTGTCTTGGGTGTTGCAGTGGGTAATGTCATCTGTGCATTCTAGCCAAAGAGGTTTGACTAGTATTTCATTACAAAGGAACAGTAAGATAAATGCAAGTTCTAGGATGTTCTAAAAGGTGACTGGCCTACACTTTTGAAAACTATTACAGTCATCAAAATAAAAGGGGGAAAAAAAAGCGATCATCTCTTGTTGACAAAATGAGGCAGGAAAGAGAATTTTCTGAATCCAGTAAAGAATGATCTAACTCACAAGTCCTTCCTATTTGGTACTGCTGTATTAAGTCCTGCAGTATTGAGTATGGCAATAAGCATATTTTCTAGTGAACTACTTAAAGATTAGCCCTGTCTGATGCTTATGTCATGCACACCTTTGAATGTTCATTTATTATCAAGTTTAGGAACTGTTTCACTGTTGACTGATTGTTCTCTTGTTTTGGCTTAGCATCAGATGATGAATTTGAGAACCTTAGAATTAAAGGTCCTAACGCTGTACAGCTGGTAAAGACGACACCTTTGAAGCCATCGTCTCTGCCAGTCATTCCTGATACCATCAAGGAAGTGATCTATGATATGCTGAATGCTCTGGCTGCTTACCATGCTCCAGAGGAAGGTATGTGGCTAGCCCTCCTCACGAGGTTAGGCACTGGAAAATACACTTTGTCTTGGGTCTGATTAACCAGCTCATGGGATAGTGTACCCACCCACTCCCTGAAGACTCAAGATGAGTTGAGACACACCAGGCAAGTCCGAGGAAGCTGATAACTCCTGGAGCATGACCAGCACCACCAAGGTAGTGATGTTTCCTAGGGCAGTGCAACTGGCCTGCTTAGGCAGGGGTGGGTAAGAGCTGAGAACGCTTCCTAATGTAAATTCTGAAATGATTCTTGAATGATGAGGATGAGACGATTGTGGAAGTTTTGAATGAGTTTATCACCATAAAGAGGGAAGAATAAAATACTTAATAGAGGAGGCAGTATCATCTTATAATTATAGTGAGAATATAGAATTTTTAAGGTGTTTTGTAAGCAATATCATGATTGAATTGCTTGGAAAGCAGGGTGACATTGCATTCATGTCCTTGTACATTTCTTTCAGGAAATACTAAATTCAATGCAGACTGCCTTGAATAAGTCAAGAAAATACAAATCTTACAGTGCTTCTCGTCTAAAAAGCACTGTGATACATACATAGAATCCCTTGCTTCCTCACCACAGAAACTGTATATCCTCTCCTCTCCAAAATAATTTACCTATATAGCTATAGTAACCATGTATTGACCTCCCATTTTGTAAGCCTTACACTAATCCAAGCTAATTATAAGCTTAATGATGACAGCTCAGGAAAATAAGGAGACTGACAGTCAATTGCTTGTGGTCAGAAGTTGTGGTTGCTTAGAACAACTGCATCCCACGTGAGTGCCAGTTCAAGTCCTGGCTTCTCCACTGGCCATGCACCTACATACTGATGTACTAGGAAAGAAATAGAAGATAGCCAAGGTGCTTGGATCTCTGTCACCAAAGGCTCTAGCTTTGGACTGGCTCAGTACTGTCTGTCCCTTGAAGCCATTTGCGGAGGGAACCAGTGAATGGAAAGTCTCTCCACATATGTTTTCTTTGTCTCTGTGTGACACTGCCTTTCAGATAAGTCCTTCAGGAAGAGGCAAAAGTCCAGTTAATGTTCCAATAAGACTGGTCGCTATCATAACTAATCCCAAAAATTCATGTTAAATTGAATTAAAGTTTACTTTAGTCAGGGAATTCCATGCAAAGGGTTTATGTAGCCAAAAGTTCGTGAAAAGTATATTATGAGAATTCTGTACGCCATAGATGCTTGTTCTCATGCACTCATGTATGAGACAATGGCAAGGACAAATTAGAACACACTGTGCAAGCCCAGATGCTGTAGTCTACTGCCCAGTGGGGCTTCGTTTTGTTCCATCACTTGTGCAATCTGTCAGTGACCCAAAGGTCATTATGCTGTGACTATGCTTACACTGCTTCTGAAAATTCAGTGATATGTTATTCTGTAAATAGTTCTAGCAGCATAAAGTAAAGTTGACCAAGCTACATTCACATTGCACAATTAAGTGGAATTTTGTTGATTCCTCTTTTTATTGTCCTGTTTTTATAGCTGACAAATCTGATAGTAAACCTGGGACTATGACTCAAGAAGTTGGCCAACTCCTGCAAGACATGGGCGATGATGTGTACCAGCAGTACCGGTCACTTACACGTCAGACCAGTGACTTCGACGGACAAACAGGTTTTTCCATTAATGTAAGTTGGTTGCAACAGCCTCTAATCTTCTCCATTTGTAATGTCTGTACTCTCCCAGAACTTTGGGTTATGTCAGGGAAATTTCAAGTGTTAATTTTTATGTAAGTGAAAATTATCTGTTGCCTAAAAATGTGATGTTCACATCACCAGGGTTTCTTTTTTACCTTTTGTTGGATATAATTTCCAGAAGTTATTATTTTATCTTTTTTCCTGCTTTCCAAGTTACTATGCTTATAATGATGGGTTCCCAAATATTAGTGGTATGGAGAGGACATTTCACAACACAGTCAGCCAAAGAGTGTTTGTAGCATTCACAGCCAGTATTCTGGTGAAGATTCCTGCCATTTATGGTCTTTTATGGCTCGATATTTTCTCTTTCCACAGAGTCAGGTCTTTGCTGCAGATGGTGCCACCACTGAGAGTCCTGCTGCTGGGGCCACCCAAGCAGAAGGTAAGGAATTGTTTCTCCCTCCAGGTTCTTCTTTGTTGGAAAAACAGCTTCCAGAAATTGTGGGTATCTTGAACTTTCTCAGAGATGTACTCTGTCCAAATAAAGGGCTTCTCTGTATCCTGAAATTAGTTGGAAGTAAAACTATGCTAGTTAGCATCTTTCAGTTGTGTTCTTGAGCCCACATCATATCATTCTGGCTTCCTTCTATAAGCGGGTGTCAAAAACTTGTAGTTCTAGCTATATGGTTTTCATAGTACCATGTCCTGCCTTCTAATTCCCAAATGGAGCATCCTGTGGGAGCAAAACTAATGAGACCTTTCCAGAACTTTCTTGGCACAGGTGTTTCAGGTTATATTGAATATTTCTAGAGCATAAAATTATATATAAAAGGAGGAAAGGTGGGAGATGCTTGAACAAAGGCACAAAAAACCTTTCTGAAGTTATACTTGGCATCATGCACCTTCGACACAGGAGGTGCTACTTCTTTGTCCTCCTACAACAGCATGAGGAGAGCATCAGTTTAGACCAGTATAGGAGTGGTAGTATTCTTTACCCATGTGACTTGCTTGTCCCAGTTTCTAATGTGAAAATGACCCAGTGTTTGATTTCCCACAGCTGCTGCGACTCCAGAGGAGTCTCGAGATACGAAAAAAGATAAAGAAGGGGACCGGGCCTCTGAGGAAGGCAAGCAGAAAGGCAAGGGCAGTAAACCTTTAATGCCTACCTCCACTATCCTTCGTCTTCTGGCCGAGTTGGTGAGATCCTATGTTGGTATTGCTACCCTGATTGCCAACTACAGCTACACTGTGGGCCAGTCTGAACTGATCAAAGAGGTAAACTTCCCAACTTCTACTTGAGATGTTATACTTCCGTCATTTGGGGACCTAGTCTGTGTTAGGGAAGCATACATGCATAATCCAAGGATGAGAGGATCAGAGGACTCTAGGGAATTGAAGAGCAAGGTCTTTTTGACATGAAGAGCCAATAGGCTCTCTACATGAGGAGTGGTGAGTTTGATCTCTTCTATTAGTCTGTTGGTACAGTGTGGAGGTACAGTCAGTTGGTACAAAAGGCAAAACAAAAATTAAAAACAGCAGCTCAGTTCAGAATTTTCATATGGTAATTCAGATAAACATGAGTTTGGTTAAATGGATGAGAGGAGGCGTTTTAAAGGAAGAAATAGTGAAGAATTGAATTTAGAGTAAATTCAAAGAACACAGCTTTGATTTGAAGGAGAAATCGGGGCTTGAATCATTTCTTTCTTTTTTCTGTTGTTTTTAATTTATGGGTAGGGTTAGTATTTGAGGAGAAAATGTGGAATTTGAGTTATTTATGGGGCATTTAATTAGGTTGGGATAAATAGAGTTTAGCTATTTATCTTCCAGATGTACTTACAAAGATACCAGATGTAGTAACAATATAAGTAAAGATGAAACGTAAGCCTAACTGTCCAACAATAGAGCTGTGAAAAATAATGAAATTCTGATTTATGTCATGGTAACAGAATTATCTTGAAGTTAGATTTCTCAAGTTAGTGGGTACTAACACTCTCACATTCCCGTATGTCTAAAAAGGATGCCCAAGGAAGCTGGTTTTTATTCATGAAGGGGGACCTTGTTCTGTGGGTTATGTCATTGTTTTATGGTTGGTTAAGCAGCAAGTAGTCTGAGAATGGGGGGGGGGGGGAGCACTGATACTGTAGAACCTAGATCTGAGAGTAGCTGTCATTTCAAATACTATTTTTACCTTGATTACAAACTGCACAACCTGAGAAGTCAAGTGATTCTCTAAAGATGCTCCTCTCGAAGTGGTTCTGTGCTTCCTATGAATGCAGTCTTCAGTGTGTGTTCTCTTGTGTTTGCTGTCTTTCCTTAACATGTTTGCAGGCTTAGCTTTGCAAATCTTTTTTAAAATTTGTTTGCGTGTCTGTGTGAAATTCCATCCATTCTGTTATGGAATGGTTGGGTAGTTTCCTCTGTTTGGAGTCATAAGTAGTGCTGCCATGAATGTTCTTTCAAACATATTTTGGAGAAGATGCCTAAGCACTTTGGTTGAGTGGTCTGTGCCCGGGAGTAGAATCACTTGGCTCTTAGAGTATGCATTTGTTCAGCTTCAGCAAATTGCACAAAAAATTCCCAAGTGATTTTTGTTGATCTCTATGTTTGGTATCAGTCTCTTGGAACTCTGATTCTTTCATCCCCTTAACCTTTGTATTTTACATTTCATCCACTGTAGGACATTTGTTATTAGTATGTTTTTGTGATGGTTAAAATCATCTTTCCCCGTGACCATTCTTTCATGTGTTTATTGGCTATTTGAGTGTTCTCTGGAGAGTATCCAAATCTTTTATTCTTGCGAGGCCATTCCATTCTTTATGTCGTTTGGATTCAAGTCATTTCTGGTTAAGCTTTCTTTATTTTGAAGTTTTTATTAATTTCTACCATCTGGACTTATACAAGTATCACTTGTGAGGTAAAACAATTAATTATGAACTTAGTAGGAATCCAGTGATCTGCTAGTGCTGTGTACCAGGGGGTAACTTAGAAATGCTATTGTAAGAATAATGCCACATTCATTGACAGGAGAGAAGGCTCAAAATGGTAAGTAAGTTGCTCAATACCACTCCTCCAAGTAGCAGAAACTTTCCCAAAATGCAGAGCTGTCCTCCAGTTTTCACATGGCATTAATTATTTTCTTCAGAAAGCAGTTTTAAGTTTGCGTTAATCACTGCCAGAAAGTTAGTCTTTATTTCTAGTAGAATCAAAAGGTCACTTTAAAATATGCAAGATGGAGGTATTTCATACATCAACAAGTGTTGTAAAACTATTGCATAATTCTAAATGGTTTAATGGATTTTTATCCAAAATATGAGTTACAAAAAGAACTATTTCTGTCAAAGATGAGGAGTTACTGTGACAGACCTCACAAAGAAACAGAAAGCTTGATGACTTCATTCCCTCCCCTTGTTTTGCCCTTTTTGGATTCTTGTTTTTTGCTATTTTAAGTAAACCTGCGTTGAATATTTTTGCTTAGATTTGTCTGTAACTGGAACGTTTTTTTATCTTGAGATTCATTTATTTGAAAGGCAGAACAACAAAGAATGAGAGAGAGAAAGAGATCATCCACTACTGGTTCATTTCCCCGATGGCTGCAGCAGCCTGAGCTGGGCCAGGTTGAAACCAGGAGCCAGGGACACCATTTTGGTCTCCCCTGTGAATGTCTGAAGCCCAAGAATTTGTGCCTACCTTCCCAGGCACATTAGAAAGGTGCTCATTCCAAAGCAGATAAACAGAGAGGAGGAGAGACAGAGAGGAAGATCTTCCGTCCAGTGGCACTCCCCAAGTGGCCGCAACAGCTGGAGCTGAGCCAATCCGAAGCCAGAAGCTCTTCCAGGTCTCCCATGCAGGTGCAGGATCCCAAAGCATTGGGCCGTCCTCAACTGCTTTCCCAGGCCACAGGCAGGGAGCTGGATGGGAAGCAGGGCGCTGCTGGGATTAGAAGCTGCACCCATATGGGATCCCGATGCGTTCAAGGCGAGGACTCCAACCACTATGCTATCGTGCTGGGCCGGTTTCCTCTTTGATAAAATGTATCTGATTAGCACTTACTGGGACTGGGTGACTGCAATGAAAAAATATGTATGCTTGTACCATATTGCTGTGCATGTGATAAGATATACTTATGCTCATGAGTAAATGTCATGATTAATGACTTTGCAGGACTGCAGTGTGCTTGCGTTTGTGCTGGACCACCTCCTCCCACATACGCAGAACGCAGAGGACAAGGACACACCTGCCCTGGCCCGCTTGTTCCTCGCCAGCTTGGCTGCCGCAGGGAGTGGCACAGATGCACAAGTAGCCCTAGTGAATGAAGTAAAAGCAGCCCTGGGGCGAGCACTGGCCATGGCTGAGAGTACAGAGAAACACGCCAGGTAAAATCCAACCCAGGCCTGACCCAGTGTTAATGACCAAGAGAGTTAATCCGTAGTTTCTTTTTACTACTTGTACAAGAGTTCTGGTCATGCTGGCATTTTATGCTTTTTCATCTTTGCAAATAGTTCAGGTGCTCCATAAGTCCCCAGAACACTGATCATGTTTGGATAACAATTTTGCAAGTACAAGGGGCATTTGCCTTGCGTTTGTAGAATCTACAAGCAAGATACTAACCACATTAGCCAGCCTTATTTTTGGTGGTGTTTCCAATTTATTTATTTGGATGTCAGATTTACAGAGAAGAATAGATGTACACAGAAAACATATCTTTTATCTGCTGGTTCATTCTACAAATGGCTGCAGGAGCATTTTTTTACCTCTTCCCACGGGGGTGGTTTGTTTGGGTCCAGAGATCTGGCCCATCTTTTGCTGCTTTTGCAAGCACATTAGCAAGGAGCTGCATCAGGAATAAAGCAACTCAGACATGACCTGGAACCCATTTGTGATATTGTTACAGGTGGCATCTCTACCCACTATACCACAACGGCAGTCCCCAGAATTGTTTTTAAAAATATATACTTGTGGAATATAGATCACACTACTGTCAAGGGGGTACGTTCTCTTGTGTTCAGATGTTACTTCCAGAAGAAAACAGAAAAGACCACGGTGTTATTTTTGGCAAGTTAGTGAGGATGCGGCTGGCCAATGGGAATTAACTACTCACCTGATGGAGGTGTCGTGCTTGTCTCCCAGGTTGCAGGCAGTGATGTGTATCATCAGTACTATCATGGAGTCTTGTCCCTCCACCTCCAGCTTCTACAGCAGTGCCACAGCTAAGACCCAACACAATGGCATGAACAATATCATTCGACTCTTCCTGAAGAAGGGATTGGTTAACGACCTTGCCAGGGTGCCTCATAGCCTTGACCTTAGCAGGTAAGTGAGTGAAGGGTTGTTTTAAATTACTTGACTACTTATCTAGTAAAATGAGTTTTAATCCCACCTAATACTCAAATCCGTAACCAGAATCCAATTAAGATTTTATTTACATCTGGTTATGTCCTCTTTGGCATTGCATAATGAGTAGTCTTGACATAGTCCTTACTTGGATCAGTTCATTTCTCTGAGATTTATGGATGGCTGCTTTTACAAATTAGTAGCTGCCATTTTTCTGTGAGATAACCCAAGAGGGAGTTATTCTGCAGTGCATTTCCTACTGAAAAGGAAGCATAAAACCTTTTGCTTCCAATTGCCAAAGTAAACTCAAAAATTAGTGTTTGATCACCACTGTAAAGCAGGGTTTTTGGGGGGATGCAGGGGAGACTATTTTCTAAATGGTCACAGAGTCCCTTCATGAAAGTTTGTAGAGAAAGTAAACTTTAAAGGTGCAAAAAAAAACTTGAGATAACCAGTCATTCTTTTCCATGTTCATGTGTGTGACTTTGTCCTTTTGATTAAAAAACAAACTATCCCTTGTGGTATGTGGACTGATTAAATGAAATGGCTTACCATTTCCCTTTTGGCTTCCCTTCGTGAGAGATATTGCCTTACATAGTGATAGCAATTACATCATCTAAGAGGTGAACTGTTGATAATGTAAAATATGCATCCTCTTAATTATTCCAGTTATGTTTTTACAACATTTGACTGTTTTTAGAGAACAATGTGTAATTGCTCCTGTGTATTTAGGTTCAGGATGATTGTGGGGGTTTTTTTTGCCATCCCCCAAAAAATTAAAAACTGCATAAGTGATAATTGCCCTTCTTACATCACCTCAGACACAAAATGTCAGCTGTTCATTGTTGATACTGAATTGATTACTGGGATCACATAGTTAGATTTCTGCTTTGTAATTAATAAGTACTCTCTGAGGTGCTGATTATGTGAATGTTTTAGGACCTTGATCTTATGCCTTCCTTGGTGATTTTTTTTTTTTTAATGTCTGCTCGCACGAATGATGCCCTGATTCTATGTATTAGCTCGCGTTCTGTAATTAAGGACTCCCTGTCGTCACTTTCCTATCCCTGTGGTTGTAGGTTCTTTTTATATTCAACATATTTTAGTCCATTACTACTATTGTTTTTTCTTGATACTACTTTGGGCCCATTTATCCCACCATTAATGTTTACAAGACTACAGGCACCTGAGGTTCCCTCTGCTATATTACAAGAGCAAGCTGTTCTAATGAACCTAGCTTCCTTTTACTTCAAGATATCAGAGACCATTATCTAGGTAATGTGAGCATATGTATATGAATATGCATATAGAACATCAGCAAAGCCACCTGCTTGGTACTTCTTCGGCCCCTTTCTCCTTTAGTAGCTTTTGCTGCAGAAGCCTCTGTGGATAGACACCTGGTATTTCTGTGCTCATTCCATCTCTTTATCTTCCTTTATCTCAGTCCCAATATGGCCAACACAGTCAATGCTGCTCTAAAGCCTTTGGAAACACTGTCCCGAATTGTAAACCAGCCCAGTAGTCTTTTTGGCAGCAAGAGTGCTTCTAACAAGAACAAGTCTGAGCAGGATTCCCAAGGAAACTCCCAGGACTCCAATAGCAGCCAACAGGATCCAGGTAGGGAAATCAGAGCCAATGGCGTGGAGAGCTAGAGGGGAGGGAGTATGTAGCTGCTTTACGGGCATGGAATCACTACTGTTCTGGCGTGGTATTGTTTCCCTGGGAACCTGCTGGCCTTCCAGAGATCTGTCTTAGTGGCGTGGGAATGTGCCCCACAAAGAATGCCTTCAAATTGCAGCCTTGTTTGGCTATCCTCACACGTAGCCTTGTCTTTTCCTTTGTCGCCCATTCGTTTATTTGCTGAGAATTTGTATGTGAACTTGCCCGAGGAAGGGACCGTATTGTCTTCGCACTTGCCTCGTGGTGCCTAGCACATAGGCACCCTTTGATTATTTTTGCTGGTTGGTTGACTGTTTCAGGCGAGCCTGGGGAAGCAGAAGTGCAGGAGGAGGATCATGATGTCACTCAGACAGAGGTGGCAGATGGGGATATCATGGATGGGGAGGCTGAAACCGACTCAGTGGTGATTGCTGGGCAGCCTGAGGTGCTCAGTTCACAAGAGATGCAGGTAGGGAGGCAGATCACCCAGCATTCCTCTGTTGCGGCGCTGAATCCAAACCCCCAGGTGGTGTGGGTGGGTGAGTACTTTAGATCCTTGCCTCAATGCTGTCTGCTTTTCAGAGGAACCCAGATGATATGCTTAGTAGATGCTCAGTAAATGTGTTTGAATTGTTTTAAAGGAGGGGTGGGGGCAGGGCCAGGCGCCATGTATATTCTGTGAAACAGTATAGATCCCAACCAGAAAATTTAGGCATGTTGAAATGTTGAAGTTCTATAGAAAGCTGGCCTGAGGCCTTTGGGCCCAGGGTCTTTGATTTACTCGGCTCTGGTCATTAATGGAAGCTCTTAATACTGCGTTCTGCCTATAACACCAGCTCTTGCTGAGGCATTAAAATGACAGTCTTCTAAAGACCCTAAAGAATTTAGTGTAATTGCTGGAGCTGGTGGCAATGGGTAAGAAATGGGGCCTACAGTCCTAAGCTGTTGGCTCTACGGAGATCTGCATGTATGTGTATGCCTTGACAGTGTAAAGACTAACCTGGTATCAGACCATGGGAATGGACCCATTTGAAGGACAGTCTGAGTGTGGATTGGCAGCACGTGGTAGTTTCTGTGCCATTAGCACCAAGTGTGTGGTTTTTATGTAACATCTTCCGTCACACATTATCCTAGAAATGTATGCTCACTTTGCTGGCTTTTTTTAGGGTTTCAGTGCTAGCACAATGATAGATTTGTGTGCATCCATATGTATGTTCTATTTCTCTCCAGGTTGAGAATGAGCTGGAGGACCTGATAGATGAGTTGCTTGAGAGGGATGGCGGATCTGGGAACAGTACAATTATAGGTGAGAGCCCCAGAACTGAGTATAGCCTCTTCCTTTGCCTCAGTCTCTCTTGGGAGGACCCTTTTTCTCATCATCTGCTTGCTCAGCTCTGCCTAAGGGCTCATAGCCAGCCTAGATTGCTGCTTGTCTTGATGTTGACAGTCTTACAGATGAGAAATTCACAAGCCATCTCCAGGCCTGTGGCCGGTCTGAAGCATTGCCTGTGGGGGGGGAGGTGGGGGGGTAACTGACCATCAGTATAGATGATACATCAGGCACATGGAAAGATTGTTAACTCATGGAGGCCTAGGGGTGCCGTAGGGTGAGAAAGCGCTTTCCTTTCAGTTCATCGTCGAAGTCCAGGGGCTTTCTGCCTCTGAGGCTCAGTAGCATAAGAAGAGTGAGCATTCCCAAAGAGCGGCCCTTTTTAACTCGCAGAGGGAGACTACAAAGATGCCCTGCTGACACCTGACTTCGAAGGGTGTATGTGTTAACTCGATCTTATTTTATTGGTCAAGGAAATCCATGGATAAATGGAAGTAGACATGTATTCCTAAACGATACAACGCTTTTGCACACCCACTGTCCTCTGTGGCTTCACAAAGAGTGGGACTAGCAGGGCAAATGTGATCATCCCATTTTACAGATGAGGAAACTGAGACTCAGACAGGTAAAGTGACTGGCCAAGCTCATCTAGTTAGTTGACAGCAGAGAAGAATCCAGGTCTTCTTCCTCATCAAAAAAAAAAAAAAAAAAGGAAAGGAAGAAAGAAAAGGAAAGGAAGAGAAGAAAAAAGAAAGAAAAAAAGAAAAGAAAAAGAAATTTCTTTAAAAAAATTTTTTTAAAAAAATTAAAAACAGTGGATATCTGCTAGATGTACATAGCTACTTTAGGCGCACCCAGTCTGGAAAGGGAAGTCCTCTGTTGTTCAGTGAAGGCTCTGCTCTGTAACCTTCAGTGAGCAGAAGTGGAGAGGATGAATCACAAGAGGACGTGCTGATGGATGAAGCTCCTTCCAACCTCAGCCAAGCTTCCACCTTGCAGGCCAACCGAGAAGGTGAGAGTGCCGAGGCCAGAAAGGCCTCCCTTCTTGCCCTGCACGTCTGACAGACACTACACTAGGGTTTTCCTGAAGGCAGCTGCCCACATGTGCAGAATAAGGAAGCATCTGTCTGCATGCGCTGACATACACCATCCACTTTATCCTCAGCCAGTGTTTCAAATAACATGTTACTACTGCTTGCCCAAAGTTTGTCACTTCTTACTTGGTTCGCTTTCTTCTCACCCACCTGCTGTCATCGCTCCAGATTCCCTCTTACCAACAGGATGCAGTCAATAGCAAACTAGGGCTGGAAAGACAAGGGGGCACCAGCAGACGTGGCCGAGTCCTAGACCATGGCTCCTCAAGCACCACCCTGTAGCCAGCCTCCACATTCAGCCACCCTGCTCAGCGTGTTGATGCATTGATTGGCACTCTCAGGAAGTCGGGGCTGTGCATCACCCCACATCTGGTTCTTCCTCTCCGAGTCAGACACCCCATCGCCTTCCCACTCAGTCTGCCGGCCTGCAAGTAGTCTGTTTTCTAGCCACTGAGTGTTAGTCCTGCAATGTGCTCCCTTTGTTTTAGATTCCATGAATATCCTGGACCCTGAGGATGAGGAGGAGCACACTCAGGAAGAGGACAGCAGTGGCAGTAACGAGGATGAGGATGATAGTCAGGATGAAGAGGAGGAGGAGGAGGAAGATGAGGAAGATGATCAGGTGAGGGGGGACTGTGTTTGGGTTGGTTCAGATAATCTCTTCTATAGGAACGCAGAGCTACAGAAAATCAACAGTCTGGGTTGCTAACTATGCTCAGCGCCTCCCTCTCTCGTGTGCACATGTGGCCGTGACATCAATCTTCAGAAAATCCTTACCTGCAGCAACTCTCCATCTCCTATTTTCCCTTAAGGAGGATGATGAAGGTGAAGAGGGAGATGAAGACGATGACGACGATGGCTCTGAGATGGAATTGGATGAGGATTACCCTGATATGAACGCTTCTCCCTTGGTCCGATTTGAGCGCTTTGACCGGGAGGATGATCTCATCATTGAGTTTGACAACATGTTCTCCAGTGCTAGTAAGACTCACAGGGGCTCAGCTGGGGTTTATCTCTTTGATTCTTAAACCCTTGTCTAGGGTAATCCAAACAGTGAACCACAGCAGCTGTCAGTCTGATTAAAAAACAGCACTTCTTTTCCTATGCTGACTTCCTGGGGCAAGGGATGTCTGAATTCATCTCAGTGGTGTGTGCTTACAAGAAGGAATAGTGAGAGACCACTTTGTTTTCTCCACCTCAGTAAACAGGCAGCCTTTTTAGAGCCTGGACAACTTGATGATTTGCTGATTTTAGGGAAAAAAAAAAAGTGAGACCAAAGCTGACTGCATCAGGCACCTGTGTGCACGCTGCAATGCCAAGGCAATCACTAATCCTTATGTTTGTGACGCTCAAATCTTGAGGGTCTGGATGGACACCCTTGTGCTTGGCATTGGGGAGTGGATGTGAACGTATTCACTCTGTTCATCAAGGATACATCTTTTCCAGGCAAAGAGTGAATGTCTCTGCCTCCCTCCCCCCTCAACGTCTAAGTTTTCCTTTTAACATCAAGTTAATTGACAAATTCTTAGAATCAAGCTGTCTTGAGAGGGTAGGTTTTTACCTCAAATCGCAAACATAAATACAGCATAAAACGCTGAATTGGTCTGTTGTCTTGGCCAAGTAATATCTTACCTCTTTGAGCCTCAGTTTGTCACCTGTAAATGAAAAGTTGAAAAGAAAATAAAAGGGTTGGATTAGGTCATTAAGGATGACTTCAATGATTCTTGTTGCATTTTTTTCGTGACTTTCTTCGGTCTTGCTGAGAGTTGAGCCTCTGTGCATTCAGCATAGTGAACAAAATTTTGAGGATTGCCTAGTGTGTTCTAGGTATTAGGCAGTCTTCGTCTGTCACAGGAGTTTATGGTCTGTTTGGAGCAACAAGTAGCAGACATAGCACAGAAGTATGGAAAGAAAAGCCCAGAATAAAGGACGATCTGATCCAATCTGTACAATTCAGGTGTCACAGAGGAAGTGACGTTTTAGGCCGAGAATAGATCAGGTGAAGAAAGGGAAGTGGAGTCTTCAAGGTGAAGGGAGCAGCATGTGTCTGAGGGGCTAGAAGCGTCACTGTGGCTGTAGTGTGCAGAATGGATGAGGAAAGGGTACTGTGCATTTTATTTCGAGGTTGTTGCAGTCTGTAGGTGAGAGATGATGGCAGAAGTTATTGCAGTGTCAGTGATTGTCGAGGATGTGTGGGAATGAGGGAGAAAGGACAAAGCTCAGGTTTCCGTGTGAGGAAGCAAGGCCCAGGATACATGGTTCTGCTTAAACAACCATGAAGCAAATTTCTTGTGGGCACTGATCCCTTTGCGTATTATCCTTGCAGCAGACATCCCCCCATCCCCAGGAAATATCCCTACCACCCACCCATTGATGGTACGTCATGCAGACCACAGCTCCCTGACGCTGGGCAGTGGCTCCTCCACAACTCGCCTAACCCAGGGCATTGGACGCAGTCAGAGGACGCTGAGGCAGCTGACAGCCAATACAGGCCACACCATTCATGTTCACTATCCCGGAAATCGCCAGCCCAACCCTCCACTTATCCTCCAGAGGTAGGTTCCGAAGGGAAAACCCTTTGGGTTCACAGTAACTCTCACAAAGACTTTGCTAAGCTTTGACATTGTCTGGCCTTTGGGAGGGGAGGGTTTATAGTCCACTGCTCGCTCTCTCCCTCTGCTCCGCCCTCCTTCGCTTTCCCTCTCAGTCTCTCACACACACAAGTAGGATATCTGTCCTGTCTTGTCAGCTTTCTGTATGGTTTATTTTGCATAAAAGCCCAGGGCACTCCTATGCCAGGCACTTAAATACTTTAGATACAGAGCCAGGACAAGATGCCTCTGCCTACAATTTAGCAGAAAAAAGCTTTTTAAAAAAGTAAAACAAGGTGGATTTGATTGTTGCCATTGTCGGGCCACAAACTATCGAGAGGGTACATCAGAGGCATTATGCCCTAACGCAGTGCCTGGCACATGGAAGCTTAGCAGCAGCGTTCAGTGTGCAGGAACTATGGAATTAATATGCAACCTCAGCCCAAGTAAAATTCTCAAAACAGGTATGTGTGATAGTCACAAACAGTCCTGTAAGTTTATTGTGCAGATTTAGATTGATAATCCTGTTATCCAATAGTGAGGGGTACAGAAAGAGGTTTTGTAATTGTAATAGGCTGAAGGGAGCCTTTGAGCTTAACCATAACCGTGGTATCCACCATTGGCCTACAGGTTGCTCGGTCCCTCAGCTGCTGCTGACATCCTTCAGCTGAGCAGTAGCCTTCCCCTACAAAGCCGAGGCCGGGCCCGCCTCCTCGTGGGCAACGATGACGTCCACATCATTGCCAGATCCGACGACGAACTACTAGATGACTTTTTCCATGACCAGAGCACAGCCACCAGCCAAGCAGGCAAGTTGACAAGGCACATGGTAGGGTTGAGTTTCTGGGATACTTACATATACATATTTTCCCTTCAAAAATTTGAAATTTCTGCCTTGGAGGATCTTCATTTCATAGGAGCCATAGCTACTCGGTGACTAAGTCAAGGGCAGCACAAACTTGATTGTTTCTAGATTCCTGACCTTGGTGACAAATTTTGGGTTTTGTTCAGCAACCGCTTCCACTTTGGATCAGTTGACACTTCCCAAGGCCAAGAATCGTTCTTGTCTCTGTTCACTACAGGAACCCTGTCCAGTATCCCCACAGCCCTAACCCGCTGGACAGAAGAATGCAAAGTTCTTGATGCCGAGAGCATGCACGACTGTGTCTCAGGTGTGTGTCTGTCGGCTTGCTCATCAGGACAAGTGAGCCTTTGGGGCTAGGCCGAGTTGTGGAGGATTGTCTTCCCTACGTTCAGCCTGCAAGCTCTTCCTCTTAGCTTTATCCCCATCCCCACCAGCTTGGTCTCTGATGATTCCTCTTTGCTGCAGTGGTTAAGGTGCCCATTGTCAACCACCTGGAATTCCTAAGGGATGAGGAGCTGGAGGAAAGGAGGGAGAAACGAAGGAAGCAACTGGCTGAGGAAGAAACAAAGATAACTGACAAAAGCAAAGAAGATAAGGAGAACAGGGAACAGAGTCCACAGGTAACTGCCCAGGGCTGGAAGGACTCATCTTTGGCTATCTCTCCTGTAGCTTTCATGTGATTCATGCATACACTTGACAACCAAGTCACTGAAGAATCCCACAAAATTCACATTGAACTTGGGAAGGTATTCCACATTCGCTGCACATTTACCTTGTTTTCTTTCTAATTCAGACCCAGAGGGAAATTTATTTTTCAAGTGTCCCTCTGGGGAAAAGCTAGAGCGTGGTGACTACCTTCCACGACTGCAGCTAGACAAGAAAAGAAAGTCACTCCACTGCTGGTTGCTCCTTCCATTTCTCCCAGCAAACCACCAGGGAGGGAAACCTAACCAAGATGACACTGTAGCCACATCTCATGTCATCTCACGATAGATGAAGGGATGGCAATTGTCATGTGAGTGACCTCTTGACCTGTCCCTTCTCTTTGCAGTGTGGTGGATCTAAGACAAGTGACTCCCCTGATCGGAACCTCTCAGGTAATTCTCCCTTCCTTTCCCACCTGTTGGCTAATTGATTCTTTTCCAGACCTTTCTGTATAGCTGGCCCATGAGGGCTGAAGATGGACATTGGTGCTCTGTGGGATGAGGTAGTAGATTGTATAGTTTTAGGGTCATACCCCATCTTGGAGATAACTATACAGTCTACTGTCTTTCCTACGGTGGTACATTTCTCTTCCAACTGGCTCTCTGTTTAGGGGTTTTTTTGGTGGGGTGTTTTTTTTTGTTTTTTTTTTTTTTTGTTTTTTTTTTTTTTTTGGTTATGCTTCATTCTGACACCTGCTTGGTAAGGTCACATGTCCTGAGTGGCTCTGGCCTCCAGAATTGAGCATGTATACCGTTGAGATGATTAGCCAGTCCTGTAGTGAATGCTCTGATATGGCGCTTCACAAGAACACCTGATGACAGTGGTTCTCAAATGCTACTTCTCACTGGAAATTAACAAAATCGCAGAGATTGGATGCACGTTTGGTTGTATTACATGTTCATCATGTTCTTCCTAGTTCGTTGAAATCAAAAATATTTCCAGTGAATGTTGCCGATGAGATTTCCATCCTTCACTGGCCTAGATAGTAGTGGGTATCTCCTACATGAGTCTGTATGCTTTTTTGTTTGTTTGCTTGCTTGCTTGTTTTGTTTTGTTTTTAAATCAAAATTTTGCTGGTCTTAAACAATCTGCTTCGGGGAAACATAGCTCTGTAGGCTACACCATATGATTGTACGCTTTTATTACTCCTTGTATCCAATCTTAGTGAAGGTCAGTGACCTTTTAGAATCACGTTTTGTGATTCTGACAACTGGTTTGTATGGTTTCCTGTGTCTCCCTCATCCCCATTTCCCCGGAACTTTCTTCTGCTTCTCCATATACCTTTGGCACTTTTGTTGGGAGATGATTGTTCCAATGCCTACACTATATATATTTTTTTTAAGTTTTATTTTATTTTTTGTTTGAAAAAGTTACAGAAAGAAGGAGACGGAGATCTTCCATCCACTGGTTTACTCCCATGGTTGCCACAATGGCTAGAACTGGGCCAATCAGTAGTCAAGAGCCTTTCTCCTATGTGGGTGCAGGGGCTCAAGAACTTGGGCTATCCTCAGCTGCTTTTCCAGGCCATAAACAGAGAGCTGAATCAGAAGTGGAGCAACAGGACTAGAACTGGCACCACAGGCAGGGAATTAGCCTACCACACCACAATACCATTCCACACAATATTTTTAAAGCAATGAAGGAAGATAAGTGTCCTGATGCCCTTAATCTAGCAAAAGGTCTTGGAAAGGGTCTGCTGCCAGGTAAAATGGCATTTTGCCTACTTCCTTTGCTTGAGGATTCTGCTCATGCCGGGGTGAGGTAGTAAGTTGTATTGTTGTGGGGTAGGGATTTTGGGCCCCAATAAGAAGATAACTATACAACTTACTACTTTCCCTGATGTGTGGCATATTCACATTCATCCTGCTTTGTGTTTACTGGTGTGCCTTGAATAATCAGGACTTAGGGAGAAGGGATGCAAAAGGGCAGACAGTATTCGGGGTACGGCACATGCTATCGTTATAAAGGGCCTTGTCCTTTCTTATGTGGAGCATTATTTTACTCTTGGGCATGAACTCAAGCACATTTCTATTCAGATTACTTCATGTGCTTAGTAATATAGAGCAGAAATGTGCACAAGGAGATAGAAAGTGTACTTTGAGGCATTTAAGGGACATTCTGATCTTTGGTTGTTCCAGACCAATGACAGAATGAATAGACTAGATTTTCTGTTTGCCTTCAGCTATCCTGAGTTCAGCTTCACCCTATGTATGTGGCCTGAAACCTTCCCCATCCAGCTGGGGCACAGAAAGGATTTTATTCTTGACATCCACAGAATCATACTCATTCTTAGGACAGATTGTGCTGAGCCTTAGTGTGAGCAACCAAGGAATTGGTTGTGGAGAGCATTCTGCACCACTGACTAGATGGGATACATCCCAAGATGCGTGTGATGGTTGGGGTGACTCCTCTGATCACTGGCCGATTTCCCCTTAACCCTCATTGTTGTTCTTTCCGAGAAAGATGGGACTCCTATGCCTGACAGCTACCCAACAACACCATCTTCCACTGATGCTACATCTGAGTCCAAGGAGACCCTTGGCACTCTGCAGCCCTCCCAGCAACAAGCAGCCCTCCCAGCCCCGCCAGCCTTGGGACAGGGGCCTCAGGAGCTGCAGTCCCCGGCTGGAGAAGGAGGGGGCTCTACACAGCTAATGATGCCTGTAGAGTCACAGGAATTGGGTCCCACAAGGCCAAGTGGAGAAGCAGAAACCACTCAGATGGAGTTATCTCCAGCTCCCACCATAAGTGAGTAGAATCTCTCAACTTTTGAGAAACACAGGAAAGGGGGGAAATCACTGCCTTAGCTTTCCTGTTTGAGAATAGCAGGCACTCAAATCTGAGAGGCTTCTTTGTTCTCAAGTCATTCTATTTGAATATCTAACGACACTGGTGGTGGTGCTAGCCATTTCTTAAGGCAGTTACTCTGCCCTAGGCTACCATGCCAGCCTTATTATTTGATTTCTTAGGAAAAAAAAATAGTTCTTTACAGTAGCTGGTGTTTTCTCCATGAATAAGCCAAGAAATTCAAAAGTGAGCCCAGGGTCACTAAGTGGTTAAGTTGGGTCTATCTGGCTTTAAAAGTTGACTTCAGCAGTACCAGGATGGAGGCACACGACTGCACATACACAGCTCTCCCATCCTCCTGGTAGACTACATTTTTCTTGGGGCTCTGTTTCTCACTGCTTTAGAATAAGCCCTCAAGCTTGGTGGTTCACTGTTCCTACCTCCTTGCCATCCATCCCTCCCGTATACTCTGCTTCCAGTGGTGTGTGCTGGAGATCCCTTACCGTCCTGAGTGAGGTCTTTTCCTTCAGAAAACCTTGTTTGCTTAGATCATGAGAACCTATTACGTGCTTGTACAAGTGGTGCCTGCAGGGAATCTGAAAGGGACAGAATTCAGGGCAGGCCTTGTGGTGGAGCTGGTTGAGGAGCCAGGCACTTCCTATCTGGAGTATGAGTGCATGGTTTGTGTCCCGCCTCCACGTCCAAGTCAGCTCCTTGGCCAATGTACTTGGAGGACCAGAAGATGATGGCCCAATTACTTGAGTTCCTGCCATCTACAAGGGAAACCTGAATGGAGTTCCTGCTTCCTAGCTTCAGCCTGCCCCAGCCCTGGCTATTATGGGCACTGGGAAATGAACCAGCTGGTGGAAGATTCTGTGTAGTGTGTTTGTGGGAGTTTTTTGTTTGATTGGTGTTTTGTTTTGTTGTTTTTGTTTCTGTCACCCTCCTTCCATCTCTTCCCCCTCCCATCTCATTCTTTATCACCTTGTCTTTGAAATAAATAAACCTTTGTGAGCATAACATATCAGCAGGTGAGACTGAAGGGAGCCACTGACCAGCAGGGAATGAAGTCAGAGAAGTGACGAGTGTGAACTGACTGCTCCTAAGGAGCAGCCTAAGAAAAGAGCTCATCTGTCATGCTGCTCTGATTCGAGGCAGAGCTAACCTCTCCCTCTGACTTCTTCCTAGCCTCTCTTTCCCCAGAGAGAGCTGAAGATTCAGACGCATTGACGGCTGTCAGCAGTCAACTGGAAGGCTCTCCCATGGACACCAGCAGCCTGGCTTCCTGTACCCTAGAGGAGGCTGTGGGTGACACCTCATCAGCTGGCAATTCTGAGCAGCCCGCAGCAGGCAGCTCTACTCCTGGGGATACCCCAACAATTGGGGCAAATGTGCATGGCCGGGGTGATGGGTCAGGGGAACCTGCCCAACCAGCTGAGGACAGGTAAGGACCGTGTGGGCAAGAGGATGGCATGTGGTGGTGCTCTGGGGACATGAGCCTGGTTGCCGTGAGAAGGGCTGCTGTAGCAGGGTTTCGAAATATGAAATCCTGATGCCGAAAACAACCAAGACTGATTTTCCTCAGCTCTCCCCCTGCATCCTCTGAGAGTTCTTCCACCAGAGATTCTGCCGTGGCCATATCGGGGGCCGATTCCCGAGGGATCCTGGAGGAGCCACTGCCTTCAACAAGCAGTGAGGAAGAAGATCCCCTGGCAGGTATGCTCCATATGTGCCCCGAGCACGCCGGGCTTGGTTCTAGTAGGCCTTGGCAGAAACGTGGCTGCCAGACAGTCCCAGGCAGATGGAGAGCATGCATAGAAAGAGCATAGCTAGGCCACCTTGAATCAAAGGAAGGTGGGTGGGTAGGTGTGCCTGGTCCTGTGTACATAGTGAAGCAATACAGTGCTGAGGGCTCTTAAGCAGTGACCTGGCTTGTTTTTCTCCAAGTACATTTTAAGCATCGTGTCAGTTCATCTGTGGGTCTTTTCACATCATGATCTGCCATTCCCCCAGGTATCAGTCTTCCCGAAGGCGTGGATCCCTCTTTTTTGGCTGCCCTACCTGATGATATTCGTCGTGAAGTCCTACAGAACCAGCTGGGCATCCGTCCACCGGCCCGGACTGCCCCTTCGAGCAATAGCTCAGCTCCTGCGGTCGTGGGAAATCCTGGAGTGACTGAAGTGAGCCCCGAGTTCCTGGCTGCCTTACCTCCCGCCATACAGGAAGAGGTATGTCAGGAGGAAGATGGTGGGCCAGGCAGGCTGTGTGGCACAAGATACGTTCCTACTGACTTCCTTCTACTCCATAGGTGCTGGCACAGCAGAGAGCTGAGCAGCAGCGACGGGAGCTGGCGCAGAATGCCAGCTCGGACACCCCCATGGACCCTGTCACATTCATCCAGACTCTGCCCTCAGACCTCCGCCGTAGTGTGCTAGAGGACATGGAGGATAGTGTGTTGGCCGTGATGCCCCCTGACATCGCAGCCGAGGCTCAAGCCCTGCGACGAGAGCAGGAGGCCCGGCAGCGGCAGCTCATGCATGAGCGTCTGTTTGGGCACAGCAGTACCTCTGCACTCTCTGCCATTCTCCGAAGTCCGGGTACAGAGGGAGGCAAGTGGGAGGGCTCTGGACTATCTCGCTTTGCCACAGGAGTCTCTGTTTATTCCCCTTTGCCCCGCCCGGACCCAGTCTACCACCCCCGACTCCGGACTCACTCTTTGCTTTCCTTACAGCTTTCACCAGTCGCCTGAGTGGCAACCGTGGGGTACAGTACACTCGCCTTGCTGTGCAGCGAGGTGGGACTTTCCAGATGGGGGCTAGCAGTAGCCATAGCAGGTAATTTGGTTCTTTTTCCACCTTCCCTTGAGCCATCATCAACTTCCAACTCTGCTAATTGAACTCCTTTGATTTAAAGGTAGAGGAGCCAGAATGCAAAGAGGTGGGCGGGGCGACCTCTCTAGGTCGTGATTTTGAATGAGTAGGAGAAACATCTTTTCCCTAACAAGGCTGAATTAAATTGGATTCAGCATGCCAAGGAAAAATGAAGGTGGCAGGTAACCCCCAGGCGATCTAGAACAGGCAGAAGTAAGCATTAGTTCCTGGCCTGCGTATGTGCAGCCAGGTTCTGCCTGTCAGTGTGGATGAGCTGGGCTAGAATTGGTTGGTGTGTCCCAGTTGCTGTATGATCTAGAATGAGTCACCTGGCCCATTGGAACCTTTTAGTAACCACCTCATGAGGGGGTGATACAGCAGCGCTGTAGAGACACAGGCACTATGAGGTGCCTGGTCCATTTGTTGCCACTAATCAGGGCAGCGCTGGGGTGAGCATTCCTGGAGGTTCCAGCACATTCTCGTCCCCAGCACCAAGTGTTATCCCGAATTCGTGCTGTGTTTCTAGGCCTTCTGGCAGCAATGTGGATACTCTCCTCCGCCTCCGAGGACGACTCCTGCTAGACCACGAAGCCCTGTCTTGTCTCCTGGTCCTGCTTTTTGTGGATGAACCGAAGCTCAATACGAGCCGTCTCCACCGAGTACTGAGAAATCTCTGCTACCACGCCCAGACCCGGCACTGGGTCATCCGTAGCCTCCTGTCCATCTTGCAGCGCAGCAGTGAGAGCGAGCTGTGCATTGAAACCCCTAAGATCTCCACAAGTGAGGAAAAAGGGAAAAAATCAAGCAAAAGCTGTGGATCGAGCAGCCACGAGAATCGGCCCCTGGATCTACTTCATAAGATGGAATCCAAGAGCTCCAACCAGCTCTCGTGGCTTTCTGTGTCCATGGATGCAGCCTTAGGCTGCAGGACTAACATCTTCCAGATCCAGCGTTCAGGCGGGCGTAAGCATACGGAGAAGCACACAAGCAGTGGCTCCACTGTCCACATCCACCCCCAGGCTGCTCCCGTTGTGTGCAGACATGTTCTGGACACGCTCATTCAGTTAGCCAAGGTGAGGAGCTTGATGGAAACCAACTCCTGGGGATGGTAAAGGGATCCAGGAGCCTGTGGGAAATCCCAGCTCCAAGGTGGCTAGTGAGTCTCACTCTGTGGGTTTTTTTCCTCTTCACCCTTTATAATTTGTGATCTGCAGAAATAATGAAGAAGGGATTCAGGACATGTGACTAGGAAGTGATAGAAGTGCACCTAGAGCTAAGTTCTGGTGTGCTCGGTGTTCTTCCAGGCATGAGCCCTGCTATCATGTACCAAGAGCCTGCACGTGCCAGGCACTGTGCAAAATACATCATCTGATGTAAACTCGACCACTTGGCAAGTCAGTGTAGTTGTCCTCCCCGTTCCACAGGCACAGACACTGAGGCTCAGAGAATATTACCCGTCCATCTGTTTTGCTTCAGAGCCCTTGTTCTTTCTCAAGGCCACTCTGCCATCGGTTGGAGAATGCTCCTGTATAACCCCTCCCTCTTGTTACCAAAAGCTGTCTCCAGGAGAAGAGTATGGAGGGGAGGGCCATTATCTGCCTTTCCCTATAAGAAGGCAGCCTTGTCCACTGTGGAGGCCACTGTAGACCAAGCCTGTCCTTCTCTCCCTGGCAGGTGTTTCCCAGCCACTTCACACAGCAGCGGACCAAAGAACCAAACTGTGAGAGCGATCGGGAGAAGGGCAGTAAGCAGGGCTGCAGCCCATGTTCTTCACAGACCACCAGCAGTGGCATTTGTACAGACTTCTGGGACTTGCTGGTAAAACTGGACAACATGAATGTCAGCCGGAAAGGCAAGAACTCCGTGAAGTCGGTGCCAGTAAGCTCTACTGGCGAGGGCGAGACCTCTCCACACAGTCTCGAGGCCTCTCCACTGGGGCAGCTCATGAACATGTTGTCACACCCAGTCATCCGCCGGAGCTCCCTCTTGACTGAGAAACTTCTCAGGCTCCTTTCACTCATCTCAATTGCTCTCCCAGAAAACAAAGTCTCAGAAGCACAGTCTAATTCCAGCAGCAGTGCCTCCGCCAGCCCTGCCACCTCGTCCACCACGTCTACCACCACTACCACTGCCACCTCCTCCACATCCACGCCCACCGCAACCACCCCCATCACTTCTTCTCCCTCCCTGGTTGCCTCCTCCGCTGTCACCACCATTGCTGTATCTGCTTCAACCACAGTGACCACCCCCACAACTGCTACCACTACTGTTGCAAGTAAGTATGGATGGATGCTGGGAATGCCTACCTCACCCCTTGCTGCCCACACCACAGCCCTCAGCCAGGCAGGGCTCCCGGCATGATAGCGGCTCAGCTGGTCTTTGTGCTTGTGAGAGCAGATCATGTTCCTTTCCCACCCTTCTGTGTGGCAGTTCATCCTCTTGTCTTCTCCTCCCCATAAGTCCCAGCAGGCGTTCCATGACAGCGGCTTCCCTGGACTAGGTACCAAAGAGAGTTCCTAACTCCTCCAGCGTGTTCTCAGAGTAGGGTGTGCTGTGGTGTTAGTCAGGATAGCCAGACTAAACCTACAGAAGGTGGAGACTGTGGCCTGCAGCAAATCCAAAATAAGTAGCTGAGCCGTTAGGTTTTATAGAATGCCTGGGCCTCTGACATGAGAAATATATGGGACAGGTGCCTGGGATTGTGTGGAAATCCCAACATCCCCAATCATTCTGGCTTAGCTGCGGCGGGGGGGCTTTCATTCACCTTGAGAACTTTCCCCAACCCTGCCACCGGTGTCTCTGGCTGTGAGTCTCATGGAGATTGACGGTGTTCTGTCTCTTTCCTCAAAGCTTCTACTAAGGGCAGCAAATCGCCCGCAAAGGTGGGTGAAGGAGGCAGCAGTGGTACAGACTTTAAGATGGTGTCCTCGGGCCTCACAGAAAACCAGCTACAGCTCTCCGTGGAGGTAAGTCCCAGCTCTTCCGCCCTGCACAGTGCGCAGGTGCCAGTGGTCAGGGGTTCCTGCTGGGACTCACGCCTTTTCATTTCTTGGCCCAGGTCTTGACATCCCACTCTTGTTCCGAAGAAGGCCTTGAAGATGCAGCCAATGTTTTACTGCAGCTCTCTCGGGGAGACCCTGGGACTCGGGACACTGTTCTCAAGCTGCTACTAAACGGAGCCCGCCATTTGGGATATACTCTTTGTAAACAGATAGGTAATGACGAGAGTGAAGTGCTGTGTGGGTGAAATCTTCCAGGGGATCCCCATTTGAAATGGAAAGATGCCCAGCAGTGCCTCCTGTCTTCTCCCTTCTGAGAGCCCCTTGCTGATCAGAGCCTTCAGGCTCGGGGCTTGCGGACCTAGAATGATGCCTTCTGTTCCTGGGTGATTCTGAGGGTGCAGACCTCAGGGAGCTCTCTTTGATTGCCACCTTCATCCTTCCTGTCAGGGCAGCATTGGGAGTGACCCAGTAATGGGATCAAGGACTAGAACTAGCGTCCCTTTCACCGGAGACTTTGCACTTTCTCAGCCCTGTCTTAACCACAGGTCTCCTTGGGATTTCTCCTTCCCACAAGTGTCCTGAAGAGTTGGGTGCCTATATAGCCTGTGCTATTCTCGGTTGCATGGCAGTTACAAGATTCTTACAGAGAGCATTTGCCTGCCAGCCTCTGCCCTTTTTTGACTGCTACTATTTATGCAGCCTCGGCCTATGGACCAGGACTCTGTAGACTGTCACATAGTTAGCTCCTAACCCTTGGAGCAGTCCTGAGAGGTTAAGTTGTATTTATTCGCACTGGTTACAATGATAAACCACCTGGGAGACGAGGGCCAAGACATTTGTCTGAGATCATTGCAAAGCCTATGTTCAAGAGAGAATTTGGGACTTGGACTTTCACTTGCCAGGCTCCATTCCTCTTCTGCAGCAAACTATGTCTCGTGCGGATGCAGCCGATCCCTGAGGCCAAGTACATGGGTGGTCTCCAGGTGGCTGGCCCATGAGTACACAGTGCAGAATGCAGACTCACTCTGGGTTCTTTGCTGCTGGGCAAAGAGGTTAGCTTGGCTGGTGTCTTTCAGCTACTGCACTAGCCAAGTCTCTGAACACTCGCTGACTCCTCTGCCCGCCTAGGTACCCTGCTGGCCGAGCTGCGGGAATACAACCTGGAACAGCAGCGGCGGGCCCAAAGTGAGACCCTCTCTCCCGATGGCCTGCCCGAGGAGCAGCCACAGACCACCAAGCTAAAAGGCAAAATGCAGAGCAGGTGGGTTGTGGCCTTTGTCAGGGGGCTAGGTTCTGGGCCTTTCTGAAAGGTGGCTCTTGGTGCTTTAAAGTCTGGTCTTTTTTTTTTTCCCCCTTTCTCTGAGTGATTTTCCAGTCTGCCTTCTACATACTTGACCAACTTTTTTCTGCCTCTCTGTACTTACACGATTTCTTCATGAGGTTCTTTACTCCTCTGGTTGACACCGATGAGCTGCTTGCTTGCTCTGGGTGTTTGTTTTGACACTATCAGTATACGCAAGCCACCTCTGCACCATCTAGGTTTGACATGGCTGAGAATGTGGTAATTGTGGCATCTCAGAAGCGACCCTTGGGTGGCCGGGAGCTCCAGCTGCCTTCTATGTCCATGTTGACATCCAAGACATCTACCCAGAAGTTCTTCTTGAGGGTACTGCAGGTCATCATCCAGCTCCGGGACGACACAAGACGAGCTAACAAGAAAGCCAAGCAGACAGGCAGGCTAGGTACGGAATGGGAGTGTCCAATTGAGGGGCAGGGTTGGTGTTGGAGAACCCAGAGTTGCAGGAAGGGCAGGATTTAATGTCCTGTCTCCTTCCTGTTTGACATGTTTAATGGTGATGGTTGCATTCTGTTTCTTATTCAAGCTATGTATGCATACAGAATTGCTTAGGGCCAATGGGAATGAAGGATAAACAGGAATCTGGCAAGGAATTTGGGGCCAGCTTTGTGCTGAATGACTTCACTCTCTGGGTGTACCTCCTTTCTGCTCCGTTGGTCAATCCTAACTAAATCACTCCAGGCCTATGGCTTTAGCCATGACCTACAAAACAACCCCCCCCCCCAACCCCTACACACACAGCTCATTGCTCCTGCCCCACACAACCCTCTCACATACTAGCACCCCTCTGCCCTTGTCCGTAATCTCTGTGTGAGGAGGAGTATACTGAAGCCAGGTACCTACTGGCAACCCAGGGGCATTTCCTCCTCCTCATATGTTACGTCTTGCCTTTTTCTTTCTCCCAGGTTCCTCCGGTTTAGGCTCAGCTAGCAGCATCCAGGCAGCTGTTCGGCAGCTGGAGGCTGAGGCTGATGCCATTATACAAATGGTACGTGAGGGTCAAAGGGCGCGGAGACAGCAACAAGCAGCAACGGTTAGCATGATGCCTGTGGCCCCCTCATTCATTCGTCTGTTTCTCTCTCTCTCTCTTTCTCTTTCCCCCCATCGTGGGGTTCAGCGTCATGACCTCGTATGCTTTTGCATTAAGTTTGCTATTTGAATGCTTCTGGGTAATGGGTACTTTCTGTTTATATTTTCCTGTTTGTTGATTGCTTTGTTGGTTTGGTTTGAAGTTTTGTTTGTTTTAAAGCTTGGCCATCATACCCCACTCCCAGCTATCCAGTCACCAGTGGCGCTTTTGCAAACTGCCTAATGCTAAGTGTCTGGGTTCTGAGGGGCTGGAGGGTGGGGTCAAGACTTCATCCCATTTCATAGAACTGCCAGGTACACCAAAGGCCTCTAAGGAATCCTACCTTTGAAGGTGTCCCAAAGTTGCTGGACATCCCTCATGGCCACTCCTGTGTGTGGCTGATCCCTTGGCACCTAGGCATGTGGGCACACTAAAGTATTTAGTACAGGTACTAAAGTATTAGCTCAGTGTTGAGAGCTGGTATGGCATGACTGCCCTGCAAGCCTGGCATTGTGTACGTGTGCTCTGGCACCCTGTCAGTGCTTGCTGTGTCTGCAGTGTGCAAGGCACACCTCAAAGAGTCCAGAAATGGCAGTATTCCTGAAACCTGGTTTCTCTTTGTGGGTAGTCACTATTTTATAGTGTAGTCTCACCATGCTGAAACCAGCTTAGAATTAGGTGGCAGTGACCTCAGGAGAGGAGAAAGGAAAAGCAGGGAAACCTGTTTAGAGTGGCTACCTGCCTAATATCTTCCCCATAACCTGATTAGGTTGATTTTGTCTTTTGCAGTAATTCCACCCACGAGAGGCTGCAGTAGTTCCCCTAATGGTGCCCTTTTAGTGAACAAAAAGCAAACCTCCCTCTGCCCATCTCAGTTACACACGTACACACATGTGTGCACACATTTAAAAAGAAAGAAAGCCTATCCCCAGAAGAACACTTGAAGTCTGTATCCAGGTAGCTGGTGTCTTGAGTAGGCACAAGAGGTCGACAGCCAAGTAGGTGGGAATGTCATTTTTCTGTCCTAGAGAGTGGGCTGAGCCCTTCCAGAATCCGTGTGTGAGAAGTGGAAGGGCCACCCTCTGGTCTGTCTGTGAGGAAAGCAGAGTTGCGCTCGTTATGTGACTTCCTCTCCCTTTTATCCAGTCGGAGTCTAACCAGTCGGAGACAACTGTCCGGAGAGAAGAGTCGCCCATGGATGTGGACCAGCCATCTCCCAGTACTCAAGATACTCAGTCCATTGGTCAGTCCTACTTCATGTGTGCAGCCCAGCTAAAGGGTGGGCCTGTGTTAGGAAGTGACTGTGGGATCACCTGCGTTCCAGCATACCTAAGCTCAGTGCTTTCCAGTTTGGTGCGCTGGAGGCTGGTTGTTCACATGAGCAGACCGTATGTGGCGCTTCAAGTCTTGGTGCCCTTGGTTTACTAGTTCTCAGGCACTAAACATCATCTGATGGTCTGAGCATCCTTTTTGAAAATAGGACTGTTGGTTGTTAGAATTAAGCAGGTTGATGTGTATGTAGCACTTAGAGACAATCACGGCTCTGTGAGGCGTTTTCCCTGAAGACAGCCAGGTTGGAATGCTAGAGTAAGTCGTTGACTGTTCCTTGGGACTTTGGAAAGTAGATAACATTCCTGCATTTTTGACCCAGGATCACACAAGCTGCAAGTGCAGAAGCCTGGAATCAGACCTAGGAATGCCAGGGCGAGATTTGAGGAGTGTGTGAAGATAAAAGCAAGGGTCAGGGAGAAGCCTAATGCGTTGCAGCAGGGCAGTTGTGTTAGAGGGGAGTGGGTGGGTCCAGAGAGGGAGGGAGAAGGGTTTGTGAGGAAGCGATTGCTTCTTTCCCATCCAGAAAACGAGGCTGCGTCTTGCTGCTTGGCTACTGAAAGATTTCAGAATACTCCTCCGATGGATCCCCGGAAAAGTGCGAGTTATGTGGGTCCGTCTGTCATGCCATGGTGTCCCAGAATTTTTTTTAACTGTCCCAGAACAAGATGACTAACAAAACAGAAAACAAAACAAAAAAACAAACCCACAGCCTCAGACTTAGAATCAGAAAAGATAAAATCTGATTTTTTTTAAGTTCTGAACCCATCCTTGGCTAAGAAAACAGGGAGAAAGCAAATGACTTGCAAGGATGGCCGTGAGCATTTAATGGGGATAATGCTGTTGTTGCCACATTCCACCACTGCGGCAGCCTCCTTGTGCAGGGTGCACAGGTGCTCTGGCAGCTGCTGCGACCAGACTAGATGAGCTCTGCCCACCAAGACTGCGGAGCGGCTAGCCACACAGGGCCGCTGAGTGAGGTGTGGCCCTCGCGCCCGGGGGACCAGACTGCTCATGTCACTCCGGTTCACAGCGCCCCCAGTGCAGAATTAGACCTGGCTTTTCTGAGCGTGCTCAGTGGTGTGGTTAGGAGCATTTAGCTTGGGAAAAAAGTCTCAAGTGGGAGCAAAATCCTGAAGGCCTTGTGGCTCTCTTCTGTGTATGCAGTCACCTCGGAGGGATCCTCACAGGGGGAGAAGGAGGAGAGGCCGCCCGAGCTGCCCCTGCTCAGTGAGCAGCTGAGCCTGGACGAGCTGTGGGACATGCTGGGGGAGTGCCTCAAGGAGCTGGAGGAGTCCCACGACCAGCATGCGGTGCTAGGTGAGTTGTGCTCTCCGCCCCCAGCCCCCGCTTCTGCTCTGAAGCCCCCTCTGCCAACTCACTTGCTTCCTTCCAGCTCCGTGTCTCTCTCTGGGGAGAATTGGAAACCAAGTGGTTTTCTTCTCTGACCTCAGTATCCTCATATAAAGATTTGCCCCTCTCTCTCTCTCTCAATAGCTGCTGTCGTGGGCTTTTAGAGCAAGGTTGTCTGGCTAGGCAGTCTGCCTGCCCGTCTGTCTGTGAGTTCAGGGAAACTCCGCCTGCCTCCGCGGCTTTGTCCCACTGCTCTTCTTTCTCTGCACGTTTTCCTTGCTCCTCCTTCTGCCTGAGCTGTCTGTGAAGGTTAAGAGGTTTGCACGGCAAGGTTCATGACGTGTTGCTCTCCTGTCGGTCCCGCCCATAGTGCTACAGCCTGCGGTCGAGGCCTTCTTTCTAGTCCACGCCACGGAGCGAGAGAGCAAGCCCCCCGTCCGGGACACTCGCGAGAGCCAGCTGGCCCACATCAAGGATGAGCCACCTCCACTCTCCCCTGCCCCCTTAACCCCAGCCACACCCTCCTCCCTCGACCCCTTTTTCTCCCGGGAGCCCTCGTCTATGCACATCTCCTCGAGCCTGCCCCCCGACACACAGAAGTTCCTTCGCTTTGCAGGTACAGGGAACCCCTCAGATCCCCCACATACAATGCAGGGTCTTGTTTGTACATTCTATGTCTAATTCTGTTTAGATCCTTGGGAGGTTAAGGCATATGTATGTTAGCCAGTGAACTGAGTATAGCCATTGCTGAAGCCCATCCGTGCTACTCAGACTGAGGGACTGTATCATGAGACCCTGGGAAGCTAGGATCAGGCAGAGCTGGCCTGATGGGTTCCCTCTGTAGGCCCCTAACAAAAAAAGGAAGAGTGTGACTGACTAGCCAGCTGTCTCCCAGCTTCCTGGGAGCCATGATCGGCTGATCCTTGCTGTCATTTCTCGCCCCCAGAGACTCACCGCACTGTGTTAAACCAGATCCTTCGGCAGTCCACCACGCATCTCGCTGATGGGCCTTTTGCCGTCCTGGTGGACTACATTCGCGTCCTCGACTTTGATGTCAAGCGCAAGTATGTACCTTTGACATCAGTTGGGTTGGGGCGGGAGAGCAGCTCTCCAAAGGGTATCTTCCCTCCTAGAAAAAGGAGTCACAAGGTTGTTCCTGGGGCCCAAAGTTTGTGTTGGTGGCAGCGCATGGCATGATGCTGGTGGGAAAGCAAGTCAGCCAGCCACAGGCATCCCACTGAAAGCCACCATGCCTAACACCCTGCCTTTGCTTCCCTTTTACCAGGATAGACGCATTCCATGCTCTAGATTAGTGACTGAGGGGCTGCCAGAATCTGTGCTGCGTCCTCATGCCCCCTTAGTTACTGGGGAGGCAGAGAATTTAGAGTTGCTAGTGTTGTGAACTACCTTCCATACTAACTTCAGCAACTAGGCATTCCCCAAGAGGTTAAGGAGGAAGAAGTCAAAGTTTCAGGCAATGGGAATTATGGGAGCTGACGCTGCATCTGTGGAGGCGGCATCCCATGGGGACACCAGTTCACTCTGCCACCCTCAGTCCTCTTTCCCTTCCTTTTCCCCACTCCCAAGGTACTTCCGCCAGGAGCTGGAGCGCTTGGATGAAGGGCTCCGGAAAGAAGACATGGCTGTGCATGTCCGCCGTGACCATGTGTTTGAAGACTCCTATAGGGAACTGCATCGCAAATCCCCTGAAGAAATGAAGAATCGATTGTAAGCACCCAGAATGGGGGGCAGGCCATGAGGGGTGGACTTCTTTCTCACAGTAACAATTTCTTATTCTGGCCTCAAATTTAGGAAGGTCCCCTCTCCCCTCCCCATTCCCTGGGGGGTGTGGCTCAGGTGGTCTTACAGAGCCGCCTCCCATCTTGTGTGCCTGCTCTACTGCCTGGCCCTTTGGCTGAAGGCCTTGCCCCGAGGCTTTGTGCTGCAATTACTGGGGATGGGAAACCAGAGGCGGGGTAGCGGGGAAGCTGTGCTGGGGTGAGTGACCCCCACCACTCCAGCTGCTACAGGAGGCCCCACATAGGCCCCTTAGCTTTGCCTGCTGGTGGTTTTTGGAATGCGCGATTATTGATGTCTTGACCTGTCCTCCGTTCATCAGGGTTGGTGTGTTTGTTTCGGACCCAAACCCCCAACCCATCCTCTGGACTCTGCTGGCACTCCCAATAACCTCCCCACCTGACACTGCACTCCCTCTCCCCTGCTGTGTGAGTAGCTGGGCCTGTGCTGGGCTGCCTGCCCAGCTCTCCTATGTCTGCTCTCTTGTACAGGTATATAGTATTTGAAGGAGAAGAGGGGCAGGATGCTGGAGGGCTCCTGCGGGAGTGGTATATGATCATCTCTCGTGAGATGTTTAACCCCATGTATGCCTTGTTCCGTACCTCACCTGGTGATCGAGTCACCTACACCATCAACCCATCTTCCCACTGCAACCCCAACCACCTCAGCTACTTCAAATTTGTTGGACGCATCGTGGCCAAAGCTGTATATGACAACCGCCTCCTGGAGTGCTACTTTACTCGGTCCTTCTACAAACACATTTTGGGCAAATCTGTCAGGTGAGGATGTGCTGCAGTCCTTGGCGTGCCCTCTGCCCTGGTGGTCGGGGCCTCGCATCCCACCGCTGCATGTCCCGGTCCCCCTCGGGCTGTGACCCTGGCTGTTATCTTTCAGATACACGGATATGGAGAGTGAAGATTACCACTTCTACCAGGGCCTAGTCTATCTGCTGGAAAACGATGTCTCCACCTTGGGCTACGACCTCACGTTCAGTACGGAGGTAGGTCACAAACAGGAAAGCCTGAGTGCCCAAAACAGTCCAGGCTATTGCCTTCTTTCCCAGCAGTAGTTCAGTTTAAGCCAAAAATGTACAGAGAGAAGTGGGGGAAAGGCCACACACTTTGCCCAAATAGTTTCTCACAAAAATTGTGCACTTGGCCCTCTGCTGTCTGCCAACCATTTTCCAGTCTGCTGCCTTCCTGGGGTTTGGAGCCAGGGAGCAGTTTCCCTCCTGGTGACCCTCTGCTCAGCAGAGCTGTGGTGGCTTGGGAGCCAGGTTGGCCTCCCGCCCAGGTGCCCATGTTGGTCCCAGCCTAGACCAAGCCTGATATGAATGATGGGTTTTTTGGGTATTCTAGGTCCAAGAGTTTGGAGTCTGTGAAGTTCGTGACCTCAAGCCCAATGGGGCCAACATCTTGGTAACAGAGGAGAATAAGAAGGAGTATGTACACCTCGTGTGCCAGATGAGGATGACAGGTAGGACTAATGTCGCTTGGGCCTCTTGTTGCTCACCTTATGAGCAAGTGCCACTCATTACATGAGCAGTTTTTGGTCCTCATCCCCTCTACCCCACCCCCACAGCATAGCCAGAACCGCCTCGCACAAAGGATCAAGACGCCTGAGCAAAAACAACCTCCTCAGTTCACCTGGAGCCACGTGGGGACTCTGAGCTCTGCCGGTCGAGGAGCTCAGAAGCCCCATGGCCTTTTGCTTCTCTTCCCAGGGGCTATCCGCAAACAGCTGGCTGCTTTCTTAGAAGGCTTCTATGAGATCATTCCAAAGCGCCTCATTTCCATCTTCACTGAGCAAGAATTGGAGCTGCTCATATCAGGACTGCCCACCATCGACATTGATGATCTGAAATCCAACACCGAATACCATAAGTACCAGTCCAACTCCATTCAGGTGAGCTGTCGCTGCCTTGAAAGAGAGACACAGACTGTGTGAGAGGAAGTAATGTCAGGTAGACCAGTACTCCCAGAGAAAGGAAGTCATGAGTGGCAGTTTGCCTGTGTCTGTTCTTCTGGAGCATATTTTCAGGAAATGTTCTTGCCCATCTTAAAACTGAGAGAACTGAAGCCCATCCCAGAGCCCGGCCCTGCCCCCTCTCCAGGGAGCTCGGTCCTCAGCAGGCTTCTTGCTGTGTCTCCTGCAGATCCAGTGGTTCTGGAGAGCCTTGCGTTCTTTTGACCAAGCTGACCGTGCCAAGTTCCTCCAGTTTGTCACGGGGACTTCCAAGGTGCCCCTGCAGGGCTTTGCTGCCCTCGAAGGCATGAACGGCATCCAGAAGTTTCAGATCCACCGAGACGACAGGTCCACGGACCGCCTGCCTTCAGCTCACACTTGGTAAGCGAAAGGGCTGCTGTGTTCCTGTCCACCTTTCAGGCTGCACTTGCACATCCTGGTGCTTCCAGGCTCCCAACCAAGGTTGGGAACACAAATCTGGCCCAGTCCAGAACCTCGGATAGTTTACAGGCTGGTGATTCTACAGAGAAGGTGATGGGAGGCCGCCCCAGGAGAGTGGGGAGTATCCAGGGCTGAGTCTTCAGTAGAGGCACAGACTGAAAGTACCACCAGATCCAAAGAGGTGTTTAGGATTGCTGTGCCTGTAGGCCAGGCTAGTCAACAGCAAGTGACAGACTGCTGCAGGGAGGGAGAGTCCAATGGCAGGCATCCTTCCTCATGCATTCATCTGTCTTTCTTTCCTCAGTTTTAATCAGCTGGACCTGCCCGCCTATGAAAGCTTCGAGAAGCTCCGCCACATGCTACTATTGGCCATCCAGGAGTGCTCTGAAGGTTTTGGGCTGGCCTAAGGAGGCCCCGCCCACCTCTGTGGGATTTTTCTACCACTGTTGGACCTAGGGAGGGGGGAAACAAAGAACCAGAAAGGAAAAATGTCAAAAACCAATAAATGAAATCCATCAGCTCACCATGTGTGTCCCGGCTGCCCACCTTCTGCAGCGCGTTACCTGCTGCTCTCTCCTGCTCATCCCCCCCCCCCGCCCCTCGCCTCTTCCCCCTTCTGTGCCGTCCATGAGCCCCACCCCATGTGTTTCAAAAGGCAGTAGCCTTTGCAGGGACCTGTTTGTCCCAACTGATTGAACAGTGTGCTCCTCAGATTCTGTGTTCAGAAGGATTTGCTGCAATGAGACTTGAAACCTTTGGATAGGGGAAAAATTATATATATATATATTTTTTTGTTCTGTTTGCATTTCTTAATTTGTGCTTGGAATGTGTTGATGTGCACAGCTAATGATTCAATGCGAGACAAGATTGGCGTCTGTGTTGTGGAGGTTTCAAATAAAGAGCACTCTTCATAACTCACCTTTCACAATGGAGGTTTTTTTTCCAAATCTTTCTTAGACTTCTGCAGAAATAATGCAGATACGCTCTCCAGGAAATCATCTCCACCCTACCCTACCCACCCAGCTGTCCCTGCCGTGACTTCCCCCTTCCCAGCTTGTCCTGGTGCACAGGAGAGAGTGGTGCTGGAGGCACACATAAAGCCTCACCTTACTCACAAGGAGCAAACCACAGCAGGGTGTGTACAAAATTGTCAGAGCTCGCTCATGCCGTCTCCAAGACGGGTCTTCTTCTGCTCCAGCCAGGGCCCCAGCTGAAGACCTTGGGTGCTTTTGCCAACGTCTGGGTTCGACCCGCTGGATCACCATTTGTTTTGTTTTGTCTGCTTCCTGTCATCCACCTGCCTGTCTGCTCAGACCATCTAGTGCTGTCTTGTGGTTTCCACTCCTTCCGGCACTCGGAAGCTCTTCAAAGAACTTTTGATGGTCCCACCTCCAAAGAAGAAAATAATCGAATAAAACAAGTTAGAAAAAGAATACGAGGTAGTGCTTTGTGTGGTGTCTCCTGTTCTGTAAGGTGCTAGCTCCAAAAGAACTCCCCCTGGCCTATGCCAGAGTGAGTGCAGGTCCACAGGACTGCATCCTTACTGGTTCTGTGTGCCCAGTGCACATGGTGACTGCACTTCCTGTGCCACGTTCCCATCCCACTAGGCCTGCTCGGACCCCTGCAAACAGCCGCTTTAGTCCTGAGGAGAGCTGTCGGCTCGGAGGGAGGAGGGCGGTATGTAAGATGGTCCTCCAGGGGTAGGTAGGGAGACCTGGACACATTCATTAAAAGTCCAGCTTTAATTTGGGAGTAGAGATGCATACTGCAATGTATCTTCACTGTATGCTTGTCTCCGTGACAGTCCAACCAATAACTTTTTTTAAAGATTTATTTTTATTATTTTTTTTTTATTGGAAAGGCGGAGAGACAGACAGGAAGATCTTCCGTCCAATGATTCACTCCCCAAGTGAGCACAACGGGCCGATACTATGCCGATCCGAAGCCAGGAGCCTCTTCCGGGTCTCCCACGCGGGTGCAGGGTCCCAAAGCTTTGGGCCGTCCTCAACTACTTTCCTGGGCCACAGGCAGGGAGCTGGAAGGGAAGCGGGGCTGCCGGGATTAGAACCGGCGCCCATATGGGATCCCGGGCGTGCAAGGTGAGGACCTTAACCACTTGCGCCACCGCGCCGGGCCCCCAATAACTTGTTTAAAATGAGTAAGATATGTATAAAAGTAAAGGGCCTAACTTCAACAGGGACACCTTTCCACAAAAGCTGCCAACCGCCCTCCACGCTGGCACTGGCCCCTCCCCTGTAAAGGCCCAGCACTGAATGGCATGAAAGGTCTTTCTGACATTTTCTCGTCTCTTTCTCTCTCTCTCTCTCTCTCTCTCTCTCTCTCTCTCTCTCTCTCTCTCTCTCTCTCTCTCCTGTGTCTGTAACTCTACCTTTCAAATAGAAATTAATGTATTGGGGCCTGGCACAGTAGCCTAGTGCCTGAAGTAGTCCTCACCTTCCATGCACTTGCATGCACTGGGATCCCACATGAACACTGGGTCATGTCCCAGCTGTTCCACTTCCCATCTAGCTCCCTGCTTGTGGCCTGGGAAAGCAGTCAAGGACAGCCCAAAGCTTTGGGACCATGCACCCTCTTGGGAGACCCGGAAGAGGTTCCTGGTTCCTGGCTTCGGATTGGCACAGCACAGGCTGTTGCAGCCACTTGGGGAGTGAAGCAACAGACACAAGATCTTTCTCTGTGTCTCCTCTCTGTAAATCTGTCTTTCCAATTTAAAAAAAAAATCTTAAAAGAGAGAGGTAAATATATCATTTAAAAACTGAATTGAGTGGGGCTAGCACAGTGGCTCAATAGACTAATCTTCCACTCTGTAGCATAGGCATTGTATATGGTTGCTGGTTTGTGTCCCAGCTGCTCCACTTCACAGCCTGGGAAAGCCATAGAGGATGGCCCAAGGCCTTGGGTCCATCATTGTTGTGGAGACCTGGGAGAAGCTCCTGGTTTTGGATGGACTCAGTTCCAGTTATTCCGGCCATTTGGAGAAAAAATCAGTGAATGGAAGATCTTTGAATATCTCTTCTTCTCTGTAACTCTGATTTTCCAATAAAAATAAATTTTAAAAATAAGGTCAAAAACTGAAAAACGGGCCTGGTGGCATGGCCTAGCGGCTAAAGTCCTCACCTTGAGCCTGCCGGGATCCCGGTGGATGCAAAGCGAGGATTTAGCCACTAGGCTACCACACTGGGCCCAATTTTGTTTTTAATTCATGTGTTATTTTTTCTTTTGTGTTTAAAGTTGTTGTTTATTTGAAAGGCAGAATAACAGAAATGAAAGAGAGATATTCCATCTACTAATTCATTCTCAAATGGCCACAGCACCTGGAGTATCCAACTCATGGCACCTTGACTCACCCGAAGCCAGGAGCCAGAAGCTTCATTTGTTCTCTCCTGCCCAAGGCCTTGGGCTGCTTTCCCAGGCCACAACAGGGAGTTGGATTGGAAACAGAGCTGTCATCCACTGCTTTCCGAGGCCACAAGCAGGAAGCTGAGTGGGAAGTAGAGCAACCGGGACACGAACCAGTGTCCACATGGGATCCCGGCAGAGCAGCTTGATGAGTATTAGCCTGATACACCATGCCATCTCGCTCTGGCTCTCCGTGGAATTCTCTTGGCGTGAATGAGCAGCAGGCTGCATAAGCCGGTGCCCGTGCCGACATCCTATTTCCTAGCTGGGACGTGAACTGGTGCTCATATGGCATGCCAGCGTTTGCAAGCAGAAGGCTAGCTGAGATGTTACGCCAGCTTCTTAGCTAGGGCTCTTGGTGAAGGCCGGAGAGCTACAGAACACGCAGTGGGGAAGGAGGCACAGGTGTCAAGGGTAGCCCCATGATCAGTTACAGAAGTGAGTAATGAAGCAGCTTGCTTGGTTTCCTCTTGCTCCCTGTGTGTTTATGCTCATGTGCTTGTGTCAGCCTCTTCTACTCACTGCTTTGCATTTTGTTCTCCGTGCAAGTCTTTGATGCAATTTCCCAAGAAGTTCTTAGGTAACAGGCTCACTGGTGGGCCCACGGTCTAACTGGAGGGTCAGCGACTCCTGGGACTGGGTGTCCCACCATGGGCGGGATAAAGGCCGCTGTTCCCTCCCACCTTGGTAGGAATGACGCTGTTTGGCAGCCCCACTTCCAAGTCCAGCTTCCCGCTCATGGACCTCAGATCTATCTGGGTGATGGCCCAAGGACTGGGGTTCCTGCCAACCTTGTGTGAAACCTGGATTGACCTCCAAGCTCCTGGCTTCGACCTGGCCCAGCTCCAGTTGTTGCAGGCATTTGGGGGAGTAGACCAGCACGTGCACAATCTCTGTCCTGTCTCTCCGCCTTTCAAATAACAGCTCAAGAAAACCTCTCCCCTTTCCAGGTCAAAAACAAGCCAGAAAGAAGCCGCTGTTTCATTGTATGAGGATTCAAATGTGAGTAGAAGGCTGTGCGTGGGTGCTATTCGGTGGTGTAGCAAATAAGGCTGCCACCTGCGACACCGCCAGCCCGTACAGGAACCAGTTTATGTCCCGGCTGCTTCACTTCCAATCAGCTCTCTGCTAATGCACCTGGACAGCCAGCAGAGGGCGGGCCACAGGATTGCTACCCTGCACCCGTGTGGAAAACCTAGGAGCAGCTCCGGCAGGGACAGCCATGTGGGGAGTGAACCAGCAGCTGCAAGTCTTTCTCGCTTTTTAAAAAATTTAATTAGATTTTTATTGGAAAGTCAGATTTACAGAGAGAAGAAGGGATAGAGAGAAAGATCTTTCTTCCATTGCTTCACTCCCCAAGTGGTTGCAGTGGCTGGAGAAGAGCCGATCCGAAGCCAGGAGCTTCTTCCGGGTCTCCCCCATGGGTGCAGAGGTCCCGGGCTTGGACCATATCTACTGCTTTCCCAGGCTACAAGCAGGGAGCTGGATGGGAAGTGGAGCAGCCAGGATTCGAGCCAGTGCACATAGGCAATGTTGGCACCGCAGGCAGAGGATTGGGCTGAAACGCCATTACCACAGACGAGCTGTACTACTTAGTAATGTTTGCCTCCTGGCTTCCAGTTCCACCCTGCTGCCTGCTCTGTGCACATGGATCTGCTCTATCCAAATGCTTTTCCTTGGTCGGCTGGTATGAGGCTTTGCCGCTAGAGGGCACTGGAGGGACATTGAAGGAAGGAAAGCCGTGTCCACTGTGTGGTTTGGGAAGCGGCCGGGCACTCAGCAGGAGTTTGTCCTCTAAGGTGCACTGGCCAGGGCGCGGCTCGGGCGGAAGAGGGTGACAGCATCTTCCTCTGACACCCACCCGCCTACAGGTAGTTCTACAGCGCTGCCAGCCAGCCTCCCCTAGAGCAGGTGGATTTCTGTCAAGTTCCAGAGAGCAGATTCCTGGAAAAGGCCACTGCTCAGGGCAACCACGTCCGTGTTGGCTCGGATAACCACTGCGCCTCAGCTCCGGATGGTCGGGGGAGCAGGTGGCTAGGGGGAAGGGGCTGCCTTGGGTGCTCTCGGCCGTGTCTGTGCTTCCCTCTGTCGTGTTGACTGCGTACAGTGGATTCATCAAAGCTCTCTAGACATCCTGTCTATTCCATCATCCCAGGCATTCCGGGGTCACCTTGCACGGATTGCTCGCTATGGGTTATGCAAAGGTCTCCGAAGAGCTCGTGTGTCCAGACAGTGGCTACACACATCCCTGCGAGCAAACGCCTGGGGTGAGCACGCCATTTCGGATGCCATCATACCACATTGGAATGGCCGGCTCGAGGTCTGGCTACGCTTCTTCCGGTCCAGCTTCCTGCTAATGTGTAGACTGGGAAGAGCAGGGGAGGATGGCTCAGGTCCTTGGTCCCTGGCACCGACATGGGAGGTGCATCCTGCTTTCTGGGATCCTGACTTTTGCTTGGCCCAGCCCTCATTGTTTTAGGACATTTTTTTAAATATTT